TATTGCATGGTGAATAACTATATATCATAAAATAATACAAAAATATAAAAACAAAAAAAATTAAATAAACAAAAATATAAAAATATAAAAACAAAAATATACGTGTTATTTACTTAAACAATATGTCAATATTATTTAGTTATTACGCTATTATGTTACTTTCGTATTTTTTCCCGTAGAATCGAGTAGCGTAATCAGTTTTGTTCTACAGTCATTATTTAGTTATTTGTTTATAACAATTCATTGCAACATTGATTTTTGCAACTTCCTTTTTACGGGAAAAATGAATCCTCATGCTACGGTTCTATTTCCAATTATCAGTTTTTGGCTAACCTTCCTGGTTCAGCCATAATTAATTTTGGCCACTTTTCGGGGCTTTCAGCACACTTCAGCAGCGGGGCTGTGCAGCGTTCCCCTGTTCCGTCGCCTCTGTCCTCATCGCCGAGTCGTCCGACGTCTCCAGAAGTTCCCTGAACCACGGTCGGATAACTTTTTGGTGCCGGAGACTGAGCCCATCCCAGTATACCCTGTCCCGGATGTCTCTTGCGTGGCAGCGCCTGCGAGTCAGGAAGGTCCAGTCTAGCAAAACTCAGGTGTGTACGTGTTTTCTGGACCTATATTTGGAGAATATAAGCGGAAAAATCGATACAACCTTTTGCAGCCGTCGAATAACTCCGTTGGTGTTGCAAATTCACCAGAGAGAAGTAATGTCACCTTTGCCCATCCTCTTGTTGGGCAAAGGGAGGTATTACCTTCCGATGCCTCGCAGTCTCTTGTTTTTCTGTCCGACGATGCTCTCACTAGAGAGTTGTTCGCTGCGGAGCTTGATAAGTGGAGGTGCCGCAATGGAATGATCATGTTCTTGATTCATGGCGCGACCTTATACGCAAGGGCCTCCCCGCTGAGCAGTGTGACTTCCTGTTCAAAAAATATTGCCCCTCGGAACCCTTCAGTTTTCTCTCTGCTCCGAAGCTGTATCCGGGACTTCGATCAGGATTGCGGAACAATTCCGTCATCAAGAGAGATGAATATTCTAGCAGAGATCAGAATCAGGTTGGTATGACCTTGTATGCTCTTGGAGCAGCAATTTCGGACCTACTCCAACCTGGAGTTGGACCAACTCTGATCCCTGCTGTACGCGCTGCAGTACTGAAGATCACGGAGGGAGCAAAGATCTTGGCCGATTTTTTTTATCATCTTTCACTGTCCCGGCATGCCCAAATTTTACCAACTCTTAATCTGCACGCTGAGAACACAGCGGTTTGATTCGACGTGGATGGCTGATCGGTGCTTTGATAATCCGTCGGTGGGGCCGGTTTTGACAAAACGATCGTAAATAACGCCATCGTGAATAACATTTTCACGAGAAACTTCATTTTTAATGTCGATGTTTCGATGAAGCGTTTGATTGGCGGAATCAACGCGTTATTTTCTCAATTGAAAATCATGAATGCGTGACGGATATTAAAATCACAACGACTCATTGAAGTTTGATACTTTCTGTCGCGTTTCTCCGACGTACTCGCTATTTATAATCATCCTTAGATGATTATGCAAGCAATCTTTCCGTAGCTTGAGGCAACTTACTTGTTTGCGCGGTTTAGAATACGACGTAGTAACTCGATCAAGTTATCCTTGAAGACTACATCACGAATAAAAATCAATCGTATTAGTTAAGAAAAGGAATAACAGAAGAATCGGGCATTTAAAGTCTTGTAAAAAGTAACGAAAAATAATATTTTTGTTTATAACGTAAGTTAACGATGTCAATGGTAGCATCATCTTTTCGAAATTGTATGGGAACCGACGGTAATTTCATAACATCTTATGATTTGCCAAAAAACGTTTAGTATAAAATTGGAAATGAAAATGAAAGTTTTTTCTCGGAGTATAATTATATATTTTAAACATCTGCTACTTTCTTGTCATTAAGAAAACGAGTTCGTTAAGAGGAATGCAGTGGCGTCATTTTTTATTTATTGTACACAGCTAATTTAATTTTATAAAAATTTTATAAAACGTGTTATAAACATTTTGTAAAATATCTATTTTAGTGGAAAAATATCTGATAAAGACAATGTGCATACGTTCGAAATCGACCTTCGTCGAGCACCGGCATTGGCCAACTTGACGGACGTAGGATTTTAGAGGGATATCGTTTGATAAAAATGTAAGACGCATGTAAGTGCACAAGCTTTTTTAATAAAAAGTACAACAATAACATAAAATATGATTCCCATGCGACACTTTGAATCGATATATTTCACTGCAAAATCGCCAAATATTGCTGTATACAACTGACGGTAAATCTGATGGTTTAAAAAGTGAACAATGTCACATGGACATAATAATAAATTGCTATCGTAGCATTGTTAGACATTATTATCATTTGTCGTGTTTTGCTTGTCATTCCTCTCGATTTACCCTTGAACAGCCAGTCTCTTAGCAATTTATGCTTAGCGAGTTTTGCACCTATTAAAAAAATTATATTCCACTAATAAAATAATCAAAGTATTATGTCTCACTGTTAAACTATCGTTATCTTTAGCTAATATTTATGAAAATAACAAAAACGTAATTACCTTAGTGAATGAAATTATTCTACTCCTTGACATTATTCATCTTTGTCTAGCCTTTGATTTTCTCGTCATTTTGCTATAATTGGAATATTTAATGAGAAACTAATAGGATTATCCGCAAAATCATCATCTATAGTATTCCATACATCCCATGGATCTTCGTAGTCTTTGTAGTCTTCATCTTCCGTGTTCTCACAAATTGTTAGTGATAAAACGATTAACAAATCGTTAGTGATAAAAAGATTAACAACACCAGCGCAAGCAACACTTTCATGGAAAAACTTCATTTTAATGTCGATATTTCAGTGAAGCGGCCGATCAGCTAAATAGACACGTTATTTTCTTAATCAAAAACCACAAATAGATCACGAACGTTACAATATTCACAACTCGATGAGGTTTGTTACATTCTGCCGCATTCTACCGACGTACCTGCTATTTAATCCTTTTAATCCTTTTCAGATGTACCTTTAACATGCAGTGCTTTCCATTGTAGCTGTCCATTGTAGTTGTCCTGTCGTATATAAAGGAGTTTCGTTGTGCTCTGAAATATGAGGAAAGATCGACGAGAAAGGAGACGTTTCCTTGAAAATTACATCGCGAATAAAAATTAATTATATGGGAAGTAAATGATAAAAAAGTCGCGTCTTTAAAACGTAATAATACCCTTGTTTATTATGTAAGTTAACGACATCAATTTTAGCATCATTTTTCCGAAATTGTATGGAAGCCGATTGTAATTTCGTAACATCTTCTATTATTCACAATAAAACATTTAGTTTTTAGTATAAAATTGAAAGTATAGGTTTTCTCTTGGGGAGAGGGTATAATTATATTTTAAACATCTCCTACTTTCTTGTCATTAGAAGAACGAGTTCATCCAGAGGAATGTGGGGGCGGCACTTTTTATTTACTTTACTTTTACACACATCTAACCTAATTTTATAAAACTTGTATAAAACATGTTACAAACATTTTATAAAATGTCTATTTTAATAGAAAAATACTTGGTAAAAGCAATGTGCATATGTCTGAAGTTGACATTCGTCGAGTATCGACATCGGCTAACTTAACAAACGTAGGATTTTAGGAAGATATCTCTTATATACGTATTATATTATATACTTATTATATTATATATTATATATTATTATATTATATACGTATTATATTATATATCTTATATACGTATGTAAAGTGTATTGGGAACTTGAATAAGTTCTCTCTGTTTCCCGACAGATGGTTATCTTAGCCTTTTTGCATCGGGGAATACTACAGCCAACTTCATCGTGAAGCTCCACCATTAGGCTCGAAGTGACAGTATATGTTATTCCACCGAAGCGTAAACAACATATTTTTTCATAGCGTTAAACATGTCGAATTTCGTGCCAAAAAAGAATATTCGCAGAGAATTTTACTGCATTACTTTTTTCAAAACAAATCTGCAGCTGAAGCACATAGAATTCTTGTGGAGACTTGGTTTAGATGCTTTGAAAATAATGATTTTGATGTTGAAGATAAAGAATGCTCTGGCGCACCGAAAAAGTTTGAAGACGAAGAATTGGAAGCATTACTCGATGAAGACTCATGTCAGACGCAAAATGAACTTGCAGAATCATTAGGAGTTGATCACACAACAGTTGCCAAACGTTTAAAAGCATTAGGAATGATTCAAAACCAAAGAAATTGGCTGCCGTACGAATTGAAACCGAGAGACGTTTTTTCACGTGTGAACAGCTGCTTCAACGGCAGAAAAGGAAAAGTTTTTTGCATCGTATCGTGACTGGCGATGAAAAGTGGATACACTACGATAACCCGAAGCGTAGAAAATCGTGGGGTGAGCCCGGCCATGCATCAACATCGACGGCAAAGCCGAATATCCATGGTTCCAAGCTCATGCTCTGTATTTGGTGGGATCAGCTGGGTGTAGTATATTATGAGCTCCTCAAACCCAACGAAACCATCACGGGAGATCGCTATCGCCTACAATTGATGCGTTTGAACCGAGTATTGGAGGAAAAACGGCTGCAATACGAGGAGAGACACGATAAAGTAATTTTGCAGCATGACAACGCTCGGCCACATATTGCAAAACCGGTCAAAACCTACTTGGAAACATTCAAATGGGAAGTCCTACCCCACCCGCCGTATTCACCGGACATTGCTCCTTCCGATTACCACTTGTTCCGATCGATGACTCATGGCCTGGCTGAGCAGCACTTCCATTCTTATGAAGATGCCAAAAAATAGGTCGATTCGTGGATAACCTCAAAAGATGAGTCGTTCTTTCGACATGGTATTCGTATGCTGCCAGAAAGATGGGAGAAAGTAGTGGCTAGCGATGGACAATAGTTTCAATGACATGTTCTTTATTAATTTTTTTAAAGAAAGCATTCATTTTCACGAATAAACAGCGAGAACTTATTCAAGTCCCCAATACATGGACAGCTTTTATTATGAAAGAATGTAACAACATGATGCTCCTGCGAGACTTTGAATCGACGTATTTCACTACATCAACAATTACAATTCGCCAAATATTGCTATACACAATTGAATCTGACAGTTTAAAAAGTGCACAATGTCTTCCACATACAATAAATTATAATCTAATAAAGTTGCTGTCGTAGCATTGTTAGATATTATTAATAATTGTTCCGTTTCGTTTGTCATTCTCCTTGATTTATCCTTGAATAGTCAAGCTCTTAGCGATTTACGCTTAGCGAGTTTCGCACCTTTTAAAAAAATTATATTCCACCAATAAATTATATTCCAAATAAAATAATCAAAGTATTTATATCTCATGTCTGTTAAACTATCTATCATTATGTGTGTTAACCTATTGTTATCTTTAACAATTATTTATGAAAATTATTTAATAACTGTTTATGAAAATAACGAAAACGTAATTACCTTAGTGAATGAAATTATTCTGTTACTCGACATCTTCCATCTTTGTCTTGCCGTTGATTTTCTGGGCATTGCGATAGGTCTGGAAATTGTATAATATGACCGTCTCTAACATCAGACGATAATCTCTCACGTGTTTTATTCCATATACCACCCCATGGATCTTCGTAGTCTTCATCTTTCGTGTCTTCACAAATCGTTGGTGATAAAACAATCAAGATTAACAACACCAGCGCGAGCAACACTTTCACGAAAAACTTCATTTTTAATGTCGATGTTTCGATGAAATATGCGATTGGCGGAATCGACACGTCGTTTTTTTAATCGAAAATCACAAATGGATCACGGACGTTGCAATATCAATAGCTCACTGAAGTTCGCTACATATTGCCGTGTTTCACCGACAAACCTGCTATTTATAACCGCCGTTTGTAACCTTCAGACGATTATGTATGTAGCTCTCGTGTGTGAAGCAATTTACAATACTTGTTTGTATGTTCTATGATATAGGTAAAGATTGATCAATGAGTTTCCTTGAAGACTATATCGCGAATAACAATCAATCATATGAGTCAGAGAAGAGAATGGTAAATGAATCGTGTCCTCAAAGTCTTATAAAAAGTAACGTAATAATGTTCTTGTTTATGATATAAGTTAACGACATCAACCGTAGTATCATCTTTCCGAAATTTTATGGAAACCGACTGTAATTTCTTAACATCTTTTATTATTCGCAATAAAACGTTTAGTTTTTCGTATAAAGTTGAAAGTACAAGTTTTTTCTTGGGGGAAGAATATAATTGTATTTTAAACACTTCTTACTTTTTTGTCAGTAGAAAAACGAGTACGTGAAGAAGGATACGATGACGGCACTTTTATTTATTGTACTCTTACATACAACTAATCTAATTTTATGAAACATGTTATAAACATTTCATAAAATGCCTATTTTAATAGAAAAATTTCTGATAAAAGCAATGTGCGAACGTCCGAAGTTGACATTCATCGAATACCGGTATCGGCTAATTTAACAAAGGTAGGATTTTAAGAAGATATCGTCTGATATATGAGTATAACGCGCTTGTGGGCTGCTTCTTTTTTTATAAAAAAAATGCAATAACACGATTCTCATGCAACACTTTGCATTATTATATTTCTCCGCAATCCATCAAACATTCATACTTATTATTATAATTGTGAGGTTGACAGCTTAAAAAGTGAACAATGTCTTCTATGTACATGCAATAATGTATAATCTGATGAAATTGCCATCGTAACATCGATATGAATAATATTTGTCCTGTTTTGCTAGTCATTCTTCTCGATTTATCCTTGAATAGCCAGCGATTGTCTCTTAGCGATTTTCGTCAAGCGGATTTTGAACTCCTTTTGAAAAAATTATATTTTAGGAATAAAATAACTAAAGTGATTTTGATTCACTATTAAACCTATTTTTAGCTATTATTCGTGAAAATAATGAAAACGCAGTTACCTTAGTGAGTGACATTATTCTATCACTCGACAGTTCCCATCCTTGTCCAACCGTTGGTTCACTGGACATGATCCACCAATGTATCGAAGTTTTATAAAAAAAGTGTTGTTGTCTGTTGATTCTTCATCATAGATTTGACAAATCGCCGGTGACAAGACGATCGTTAATAATGCCATCGCGAACAACATTTTCACGAAAAACTTCATTTTTAACGTCGCTGTTTCGATCAAGCATTTGATTGGCGGAAGCAACGCGTTATTTTCTTAATCGAAAATCACAAATGCGTTACGGATATTAAAATCTCAACGACTCATCGAAGTTCGTTACTTACTGCCGCATTCCTCCGACGTACCCGCTATTTATACTGCAAAGAAGTAGAATAATAAGGCCGGTTGTAAAACCCAGGAATGCTGAGAAGTACGCGGGGAAGCGGGGAACTCAGGGCGCGGGGTATGACGTCGCGCGGGAAAGGGGAACTCATGGTGGGACGTTACGCAAGATGGCGACCGTGACGTCACGCATACGTAACAAGAAAAAAAAATGTATCGGGATGTAGGTAGACTCGAACCCGGGCCCTCGTTACTACCTAATACTCCAAAAGCTCCTAAACCACTGTCGCCTGTTGCTATTAGACGTCTAGTCAAGGTTCTTAGAGTGGGCATGATGACGTCACGAGAGAAAAACTGTCGGGATGCTGCTAGACTCGAACCCGGGTCCTCGTGGTTATTACCCAAATGCTCCAAAGCTCTTAGACCCCCGTCGTTTGTTGCTAGTACATGTCTAGTGAAGGTTCTTAGAGTAGGCATGATGACGTCACGAGAGGAAAAATAAGTCGAAACTAGGTCAGACTCAAACCCCAGGCCCTTCGTTATCTGCGCCATATCGAACGTCTATCGAACGTCTATTAAACGTCTATCGAACGTCTATCGAACGTCTATCGAACATCTATTGAACGTCAATCGAACATCTCTCGAACGTCTAATAAGCATCATACTGCAAAGAAGTATTTCTATCAACACAATTACCATATAAAATCCTAAGAAAGGGGATAAGGGAAAGTTGGAAGAAACATCTGTACATTTGAAATAATGATTTATTATATAGCGTCGTACAATTTTCTTCGAGACCACCAATTGAAAATATTTAGTACATTCTGTAATGCGCAGTTTTTCATATGATTATTACATCGAAAAATATTATTCAATTTTTGCAGGGAAGGCATATCATCGTAATCGGTATCCATGGTCTTAATGATCACGCTGCTTCTCGCATTGTCATCCAGAAGTTGTAACAGCCATTCCCGCTTCTCATGTCCCTTCACATACACAAATTGAGATGCATTGTCTTCAAGCTCGTCATACATATCACCCGCCATAGCTGCAGTAACCAGATGTTGAGCTCTGCAGTATTTGACGGTTCCATCTTCCCATCGTAATCCATGATGATTAGCAGTTAAACAGTAGGCCCTCGATTTGTCCGATCTTGTGAGCAGATGCCATGGCATCGGACTCGTGAAAATGTAGTGCGAAAGAATAGTTCCGTTCTTCAGTATCGCCGCTTCTTTTACAATAAATCTTTTTCCAACCATGAATCCTTGCAAGTCGACAAATGTCGGAACATGGTGAAATATTCTTCGATACGTTCAGGAGAGAAATGCCGTTTATAGCACTTTGTTTCGTGTATTATTCTTTTCTCATATATACTTTCCAATGTTAGTTGAGTTTGCGCACTATGTCGGTTAGCGGGCTGTATTCAACTACACGATCATGCAGGATGAGAAAGCACGCAGTAGTATTCGCCGATATATTCTCCTTACACTCAAATTCTATCCGCACATCCACAGTGGCACTCTTGACGGACTCATTTTGACGCGAACAATCGATAACCACGAAAGGACCTAGCCGCCGAAAGTCGGTAATTGCTAACCATACCTCAGCACTGTCGCATCCATAATACGATTTACGAAAACGTCTATACATATCGTAAAGTATGGCGCATTTATTTTTTGCAAAGTCTAAATTCATGTCGTCGTACGGATAACACTCTGAATTCAAATAGAGCTTCACATTGATCAATTTGCAGTCATCGAAACGAGCTATATTTTCCGACATTACATTCTTCCGACCAGTCTGCAACGCAAAGATAACGTATCGAGGTTTTTCTAAATTAGTAGCAGTTTTGACGGTCCAATGGTGTTTGGTCGTGCTTTGCAGTAGAGGAAATTCATACAGATCCCACGAGTGAAAACTCATACTCAAGTATTGTCCGTTCTCCAAAGTTTTCAGCATTGAAAGTTTATTGATATCGTTCAAGATTACGTGAGGCATTCGCCATTGTATCTTGAATAGCTCAGTCTTAGGATCCAGCGTTGGAGATCCTAATAGACTGTTGTTGTCGCTGCGCGATCGTAATAGAATTAATTCGTGACGCGCGTTAATCACTATACGCTTGTAGTCTTCACAGAATCCTAGCAACACGCTGAGTGGGACGCAAAAGTTGAAGTACCCGTCCGGCGAAATAGTGTCACTCGTATCCCACGCGGCATTTTTCATGACAGCATTTTCGTCTAAAGATATCGATATATAGTTTTTGAGCGTTGAAGTTATTCCCACGTTTCTGTTACGATCAATCTCCACACCTTCCAGTTCATAACGGATCTCATCAAACATGAATGCAATGCAATTATATCCCAACGTTACAGTCGCACCATCGACTTGTTTCGTCATCTTCCCCTCGACATAGAGATAACTCTCGCATGGCAATATGTATAAATCCTGCTGCTATATGGGTATTCGTATCTCGTCGCTATATCCAAACGTTGTATTAGCGTATGGGTTGTACGTATGCATCTCAATCTTGACGATGCACTCGTCAAAGACCGGTTCACTTTCAATTTTCAAAATGTCAATCATCTTTCTCAATCGTTTCGTACGATGAATCCCAGAGATTTCAAAAATTCAACGTTAAACGCGCTGAGTTTCTTTCGAACGAGGGATTTTGTACTGTTAATCGCGCGTCTCGTAAAAAATATATTCCCGCTTGTTTCTCCTGTTCCACTTGATTCACCACAAGCATTTCATAGATTACGTTTATTATCGTCGCCGTCGTACATGCAATCTAATAGTAATCTCTTCTCCACAAAAATCGAGCGATTGTCCTTCTTGATCGACGACACACACCGTTAAATCTGTAATGCTTCGTGTGATGATTGGAAGGTAAATAACATGTATCGGCGTTTCCGATATCTTATATCCTGGTGGTACTTTAGGCGAGAATTCATGTATCGTATGTACACGCATACTGTTACTGTACATACCACTGACAACGCTGCATTCTATACGAATGATATTCACGTTGATAATCTTGTGCGTCTTGATAATCGGTGCGTCCGATTCGTACCATCAGTGCGATTCTAATACACGGCTTGATGAGAATCCTAAAAGCGAGCCAATGTTGTTTGGTTTGCTCAAATTTATCCTATAAGCACATTTTATTTCACTCTTCATCGTATTATTATTGGCACGAATTATTATAGGATATTCATTATCATCATCTCTATATGGGTTATTTTTGGAACGCACTGTTTTTTGAGAATGTGAAATTGCACGTTTTAGATATTCGTATATGGCGCGCAATTCGTACGATCCTTCAGGAATCGTAATTTCTTCGTCGTTAGCACCATAGTAAAATTTATTATTCAATGAATTTACATTTGGTATCGTATTATATGTTTCAAAATCCGTTAAACCAAGCTCATAATCACCGTCGCTCAAATCTATAGCGGGAAAATAGCTCACCGTAAGGACGCTACTGTTGCCAGTCAACGTAAGCGTTAGCGACATGTTCGCAAAATGCCAAGCGAATACTGACTGCTGTTAGTGGAATGTCGTCATTTAAATCCATATCGATCTTCTACCGTTTGGAGAAACTATAAGCACAAACATTCGAGAGACGTTCGATAGACATTTGATAGATGTTCGATAGACGTTCGATAGATGTTCGATAGACGTTCGATAAATGTTCGATAGACGTTCGATAGATGTTCGATAGACGTTCGAGAGACGTTCGATAGACGTTCGATAGACGTTCGATAGACGTTCGATAGACGTTCGAGAGACGTTCGATAGACGTTCAATAGATGTTCGATAGACGTTCGATATGGCGCAGTAAACGAAGGGTCTGGGGTTTGAGTCTGACCTAGTTTCGACTTATTTTTTCTCTCGTGACGTCATCATGCCTACTCTAAGTACCTTCACTAGACGTCTACTAACAACAAACGACGGTGATCTAGGAGCTTTGGAACATTGGGTAGTAACCACGAGGGTCCGGGTTGGAGTCTAGTAGCATCCCAGTACATTTTTTGTCGTGACGTCACAGTCGCCATCTTGCGTGACGTCCCACCATGAGTTCCCCTTCTTCGCGCGACTTCATACCCCGCGCCCTGAGTTCCCCGCTTCCCTGCGTCCCCCTCAGCACTCCTGGGTTAGAACCGGCCCTATTATTCTACTCAAAGAATCTTTCTATCATAGTTTAAGATAATTTATTTGTTTGTGCGGTTTAGATTACGACGTAGAAAAACAATCAAGTTATCCTTGAAGACTACATCTAATAATAAAAATCAATCGTACCAGTTAAGGAAGAGTATAACAAAAGAATCAGGCATTTAAAGTCTTGTAAAATGTGACGTAATAATATTTTTGATTATTATGTAAATTAAGGACATCAATTGTAGCATTATCTTTCCGAAATTATATGAAAATCGACTATAGTTTCATAATATCTTTCATTATTTTTATTTTTATATTTTTATTATTATATATATTTTATTATTTATATATTTTTATTATTCGCAATAAAACATTTAGGCCCATATTCTGAACCCTCTTTTACCACTAAGAGTGACTCTAAAAGTGGCTTATGATCAATCAGGAAACTTATAAATGACTTTTATATATTTTTTGTCAGAACTTCTATTTCTAGCAATTCTTTTTAGAGCTACTGTTTTATTAGTTTTTTAAAGATTTAACATTTGGTTTTAGAGTTACTTTTCCACAGATTTTTTTTGAGAACTTTTTTGAGAGCTAATTTATGAATAAGTTCTTTTTAGAGCTACTTTTCAATCAATTCTTTTCAACTTGCGATTACTTCGGTTTTAAGAAAATTCTGTAATATTCTGAGCAAAATATTTTTACGTTTTGAAAGTAGCATAAAATGAAACGAATGAACATCTAATCAGACAACATCCAAAAAATGAGTGATTTTTTGCTGGGTGATGCTTTGATCTTGCCTTCGCTCGCTGGATCATCATCTTGCCTTCACTGGTTGGATCATAAATTCAATCTTGTATATCTCAGCCAAGAAAAAACCGTATAGCAGCAATCGAAAATGGATTTTAAAGCTAAGGACCAATATTATACGATACCGTTTTCTGAAATAAAAATAAATATTTCCTTTCCCTACAAGAACTTCACAAAATTGACCAAAATGGCCATTTTTCGATCATTTAACCTAAAATTACTCATAAACCTAACATGCTAGGGAATTTCTGCGGTCAGATTTGTTTTCAGCGTTAAAAAGTCTATAAGATACACCCCCTGTCATTTCTGTAACTAACCCTCGCAGGACTGTGTTCTATATAGGGGGTGGACAAAATAATATGAATATCTGACAAATACACAATATTTATTTATTAACAAGATGTAGGCCCATCATTTGCCTTTAGGACAGCTGCAATTCATCGCGGAATAGATTCATAGAGTTTACGAATAATTTACAACGGAATGTTATCCCATTCTTACACCAACATCTCGGCCAATTGCTTCAATGATGATGGAAATGGAAGTTTGCTCCTCACTCTCTGCTCCCAAATTCCCCATAGCGGTTCCATTGTGTTGAGGTCTCACGATGGTAGGGTAGGACTAGCCAGGGAAGATGTTTGATGATATTTCGATGCCCCTCGAACCAAGACTGAACCTTTTCGGCTATGTGTATGGGTGCATTATCATCTTGGAATATGGCAGTTTTTGGCAGCAATATGCTGGTCATAGTAAGAACTTCGTCGTTGAGGATGCCGAGATATTTATTCGCAGTAATACGGCCATTAATGGTAATAATCGAGCCAGCGGAATATCACCATACAGCCGCCGAAATCATCACGGAGCCACCTCCGTGCTTGACTATGGGTAGCAGGTAATTCGGATCATAGGCTTCTTTGAGGGTTCTCCATACATAGTATTATGATGAAAAAATATCCGAACCTTATTTTTAAAAATCAAAATTGCAATTCAGTCATGAAAATTCTTATAGTCTTCTTCAAAGTAGTCCCCGTTGCTTGCAACGCACATATGCCAGCGTTTGATCCAGTCTTGGAAACATCGATCATACGCGGCAAACGGTATGGCTTTCAATTCAGGCAGCGATTTTTCTTTGACGTCCTCAATCGATTTGAAACGCTGTCCGCGAAGTGGTTTTTTCAATAGGGGGAACACACAAATGTCACAGAGGGCCATATGTGGTAAATACGGTACTTGCGGAGCGATATTCGTTGAGTTTTTGGAGAAAATTTTGCAGAAAATTCAAGTTTTTCGGAATCAAACGCGATGCGACCCGTTTCATGTCCAGTACATTGGACAAAATGTGCTAGCACGATCCAAATGATATTCCAACTTCATCTGCTATCTCTCGCACAGTCAATCGACGATTTTGGAGCAACAATTCTTTCACTTTCTCAATGCGAGCGTCATCTGTTGACGTTGTTGGTCTTCCAGAGCGTGGGTCGTCTTCAACGGATTCTCGTCCTTCTTAAAACTTCTTAAACCACCCAAACGTACTTGTTTTCGATAAACAATCATCGCCATAAGCTTTTTGCAACATTTTGAATGCGTTTGCGGTGAACGAAATTTCATTCCCAACACAAAATTTCAAACAAATTCTTTGCTCCATATTTTTCGACATCGTAAAAATCGCCGTGCACAATAATCTTCACTGACATAAACAACTGCCACTTTCAAACGGCTTGAAGGAACGCCATGATGTTTTCACCAAATGTGAAGGACACGTGTACCAATTTGAGAAAGCAAACGGATTTGATTTACAGTTTACCCGCGATTTTTAAAAAATAAAGTTCGGATACTTTTTTATTACACTAGTAAACTCGGTCGTTTATAGGGAACAAAGTAAATGATGATTCATCGGACCATATCACATTCGTCTAATCATCAGTCATCCAAGTTTTATGATCGTGACCCCACTTCTTTCGCAGCTTCGCGTTGGCTTCCATTTTAAGGGATTTCCGTAAGGGATTTCGAAATTGCAGCCTTACCATAAATGTTACTTTTGTGGAGTTCCCGCTGCACTGTTCTTGTCGAAATAGGATTGCTCAGATGACTGTTGAGTTCTGCTGTCACCTTTGCTGCGGCAATTTTATGCTGCTTGGCCACGATTCTTTTTAATGTTCGGCGGTCCCTGTTTGTTAACGTTGCTTTGCGCCCACATTTTTTCTTCGCAGGTGTCGTTTTCCCATATTTTGTGTAGGCTGTCATCACCGTGGATACTGTTGCTCGTGAAACTCTAAGCAGTTCAGCTGTTTTCGTCACAGACGCTCTCGTTAACCGAGCACTCACGATTTGCCCTCTTTCGAAGTCTGACAGGTTGCCCATTTCAGCGTCCGATTGTTGAGACTGTCGCAGAATAAAACATGTAATACATTAAAATATAAACTAGAAAGGTTAGCACGTGAACTGCGCTATCGCACCGTTTATATCTTAGCAGAGTTGCCAATACAAACAAATGTGAAATATTTAGCATGGTGTCCACATTATTTTGTCCAACATTTTATACATCTCCTACTTTTCTGTCATTAGAAAAACGAATTCCTTCAGGTAAATGCAGTGGCGGCACTTTTTGTTTATTGTATTCTTTCACACAACTAACTTAATTTTATGAAAATTGTATAAAACGTTTATCACGTTTATACAATTTTCGTGATAAACATTTTACAAAATATCTATTTTAATAGAAAAGTACTTGATAAATACAATGTGCATACGTCTTTGTGTCGTCTAAAGTTGACATTCGTCGAGTATTGGCATCGGCTAATTTAACGAAGGTAGAATTTTAGAAAAATGTGGTCTGACATTCATGTAAGACGTACATGAGCAGCTTTTTTATAAAAGAATGTAACATGATTCTTATGCGACACTTTGAATTGATATACTTCACCGCAATTTGCCAAATATTGATATACACAACTAACAGTAAACCTGACGGTTTAAAAAGTGAACAATGTCTTCCACATACGCACAATAAATTATAATCTAATAATATTGCTATCGTTGCATTGTTGGACATTATTAATATTCGTCTCATTTTACTAGTCATTCTTCTCGATTTATCCTTGAATAGTTTAGCGATTTACGCTTAGCGACTTTCGTACCTCTTAAAATAAAAATTATATTCCACCAATAAAATAATCAAAGTATTTATGTCTCATTGTTAAGCTGTCATTATCTTTAACAATTATTTATGAAAATAACGAAAACTTAATTACCTTAGTGAATGAAATTATTCTGCTACATCTCTCATCTTTCTCTTGCCGTTGATTTTCTGGGCTTTTAATAGATCTGTCAATTTTGATATATCTGAATATCTGGAGATTTTGATAGATCTGGTAAACTTATGATTTGAGTACGAGTTATATTCGGTAAACCAGAATGTGTACTATTCCATACACCACCCCGTGGATCTTTATGGTCTTCATCTTTACAAATGGTTGGCGATAAAACGATCAAGATTAATAACGCCAGCGCGAACTCCATTTTCATGAAAAACTTCATTTTAATGTCGACATCTCGATGAAGCGTTCGATCAGCAGAATCGACACGTCATTTTCTTAATCGAAAATCACAAATGGATGTTACAAGATCAACAATTCACTGAAGTTCGTTACATACTGCCACCGACGAATCTGCTATTTATATCTTTCTTCAGACGATTACGCAAGCAGTTTTTTTATCGTAGCTATTGTATGTGAAGCAATTTACAATATTTGTGTGTGTGTTCTGAGATATGAGCAATGATCGACGAAAAAGACGTTTCCCTTGAAGATTATATCGCGAATAAGAAAGTTATAAAAAAATGGTGTCCTTAAAATCTTGTAAGAAATAACGCAATGGTCTTATTTATGACGTAAATTAATGTCGTCAATCATGGCATCATCTTCTCGAAATTGTATGGATATGCACTGTAATTTCGCACGTCTTTCGTGGTCCGCAATAAAACGTTTGGTTTTTAATATGGAATTTAAAGTTTTCTTTTGTCGGGAGAGTATAATTATATTTTAAACACCTCCTACTTTCTTGTTAAAAAAATGAGATCGTCAAGAGAGATGCGGTGATGGCATTTTTTATTTATTGTATTCTTACGCACAACTAATTTAATTTTATAAAAATTTTATAAAACATGTTATAAACATTCCGCAAAATATTTATTTTAATAGAAAAATATCTGATATAAAGAATGCATACGTTCTTCTGTCGTCCAAGGTTGACATTCGTCGAGAACCGACATCGGATAAATTAACGAATGTAAGATTTTAGGAAGATATCGTTTGATATACGTATAAGACGCATGAATCTTGAAGGACAGCTTTTTTATAAAATAATGCAACAACATGATTCTCATGCGACACGTTGAATTATACGTTGAACAAATAATGTAATAATATTATTGTTTATTATGTAAGTTAACGATGACAATTATAGCATCATCTTTCCGAAATTGTATAGAAACTGACTATAATTTAGTAACATTTTCTTTAATTCGCAATAAAACGTTTAGTTTCTAATATAAAATTGAAAATATAATTAAACGTTGTTTCTTGGGGTATAATTATATATTTTAAACATCTCCTACTTTCTTGTCATTAGATAGAAAAACGAGTTTGTCCGAGAGGAATGTGGTGACGGCACTTTTTATTTATAGTACTTATACACAACTAATTTAATTTTATAAAAATCTTGCAAAACGTATTATAAACATTTTGTGAAATATCTATTTTAATAGAAAAATGATAAAGAAACTTGATAAAGATAATATGCACATGTCCTTATGTCGTCCGAAATTGACACTCGTCTAGTATCAGCATCGGGTAACTTAACAAACGTAGGATTTTAAGAAGATATCGTCTGATATATATATGTAAGACACATGTGGGCGATTTTGCTTGTCATCCTTTATCTCTGAATAGACAATTATAGTCTCTTAGCGATTTTCGCTTAGCGCTCTTACTGCTCTTAAAAAAATATATATGTATTATTATATTTTATGAACAAAATAATCAAAGTATTTGTGTCTTACCATTCAACTTATCTTTAACAATTATTCGTGAAAGTAATGAAAACGGAATTACCTTAGTAAGTGAAATTATTCCATCACTCGACATTTTCCATCTGGGCCCACCCGTTGATTCTCTGGACATGGTGGTATATATGGAAAAGTTATGACATAAGGATAACCACTACCACCACCCGAATATGGCTGATCTTTGGTGTTTTGACAATCTGCCGGTCTGTGCGGTTTTGATAAAACGATCGTTAATAATGCCATCGCGAATAATATTTTCACGAGAAACTTCATTTTTAATGTCGTTTCGATGTTTCGAATTAATGGTGTTTCGATGAAGCGTTTGGTTGGCGGAATCGACGCGTTATTTTCCCGGTTGAAAATCACGAATGCGTTACGGATGTTAAAATCTCAACGACTCATTGAAGTTCGTTACTTTCTGCCGCGTTCCTCTGACATACCCGTTACTTATAATCATCCTCAGGTGATTATGTAAACAATCTTTCTATTGTAACTTGGGGCAATTCACATGTTTATGCAGTTTAGAATACGACATAGAAAACCGACTTAATTATCTTTGAAGATAAGATCGCGAATAAAAATCAATCCTATCAATTAAGGAAAGGAATTACAAAAGAATCGGACATTTAAAGTCTTGTAAAAAGTGACGGTATATTCTTATTTCCTTGAAAATTACATTGCGGATAAAAATCTATCATATAGGTCAGGGAAAAAAGTGATAGAATAATCACGTCTTTAAAGTCTTGGGAAAAGTAACGTAATAATATTCTCGTTTGTTATGTAAGTTAACGACATCAATCTTAGCATCATCTTTCCGAAATTATATGGAAACTGACTATAATTTCCTAATATCTTTTATGATTCACAATAAAACGTTTAGTTTTCAGTATAAAATTGAAAGTCTTTTCTTGGGGTATAATTATATATTTTAGCCCTTTTAGTGCCGATTGAAAGAATTGTACCTAAGCGAAGAATACTGAACCTAGTTGATGTAATTTAGAAAGTTCGAGGAAAAAAGTAAGTAAAACATAAAAGTAAGAATGATATTTACCAAATTCCAAAAGGAACATATTACAAAATAAAGGGAGAATAAATTAATGCCAACAAATATTTCAATATTTGTTGAAAATCATACTAATAATGTTTGTTCAAAATCATTAGGAAAAATGGAAAAATCAGTTATTTTTTATAAACAGTATCTGCAAATAAAAAGAATCGTCGTTTGGTCATAGTTTAATGTAGAACACGTAGTATAAAACATAAATATTGCATTATCAATTATTTATAACAAAATTATTAATATCAAAACACAAAACTAAATGATAATCCCATAATGCGCAGCAAGCATCACAGGAGCATCGCGGAATATAACAGAAAGTTAAACCCATAAACAATTTTTTCAATTCGTGGAACATCTTACATAGGACTTCTGAAGAGAAATTTAACCATTTATAATGTTTTATAAATTTATTTTGAGACAGAGTTCTCTCACGATGCGAATAGTAAAGCACCATCGCATGCGCAACGATATATCGTTGGTTCTTTTCGCAAGTGTTATTAACAACGATATATCGTTGGTCGGCGCTATAAGATTTAAACATCTTTTGTTACTTTCTTATCATTAGAAAAACGAGTTCGTCAAGAGGATGGCGGCACTTTATATCTATGGTATTCTTACACAACTATTTTAGTTTATTTTATTTTATTTTGTTTTATTTTATTTTATTTTATAAAAATCTTGTAAAACATTTTATAAACACTTCGTAAGATATCTATTTTAATAGAAAAATATTTGATAAAGATAATGTGCATATGTCCTTGTGTCGTCCGAAGTTGACACTCGTCTAGTATCAGCATCGGATAACTTAACGAACGTAGGATTTTAAGAAAGTATCGTCTGATTATGTATTAGGTGTGTGAATTAATTCGATCCATCTAGCAGTCAATTGCTGTACTATGTAATTTTCTAACCTCTAATGTCTGCAACAGGCTTTATTTTTTTAGTTTTGATACCTAGCAATAATATTCAGTTGATAAACGTTTGGATTTGTAACAATAACATCGTGTTTATCTGATTCGAAAATGTCGAAATTCGAGCCAAAAAGGTATCATTTCCGGGAAGTTCTCATTTTCTGTTTTCATTTGAAGAAAACAGCCGCTGAAGCTCATCGAATGCTCGTAGAAGCTTATAGTGAAAGTGCTCCCACCGATAAATCATGTAGAGAATGATTTCGACGTTTCAAAAGTGATGATTTCTGTGTCGATGACAAATCTCGTCCAGGCCAGCCGAAGAAGTTCGAGGATGAGGAATTGCAGGCGCTAATCGATGAAGATTCGTGTCAATCGCAACATGAACTCGCGCAATTGTTGAATGTTGATCGATCAACAATTTCTGTGTGTTTGGCAGCCATGGGAAAGATTTACAAAGAAGGAAGATGGGTGCCATACGAAAATACTGAAAGAAAGAAACATCGAGAGGCGAAAAGCCATGTCTGAAATCTTGCTTGTCAGGCAAAAAAGAAAAGGGTTTTTGCATCGTATTGTGACTGTAGACAAAAAGTGGATATATTTCGATAATCCCAAACGAAGGAAATCCATTAGCGACCTAGGAAAACCATCCACATCGATACCAAAGCGGAATATTCACGGCAAGAAAATAATACTCTGTATATTTATACATTAATTAATTACATTTATACATTATAATTATAATTATACATTAATTAACTGTATAATATGATGGGACCAGAAGAGTGTAGTGTATCATGTACTATTAAAACAGAGCCAAACCATCACTGCCGAACTTTGCCAACAACAATTGATCCATTTAAACAACACATTGAAGAATAAGCGGCCGGAATATGCAAAGAGACACGACAAAGTGATCTTCCAGCACGATAACGCTCGGCCACATGTTGGAAAGATTGTGAAGGCTACCTTGAAAGCACTTGGCTGGGACGTTTTACCTCACCCGCCGTATTCACCAGACATTGCTCCATCCGTTTATCACTTGTTCAGATCGATGGCATACGGGCTTTCGGACCAACACTTCAACAATTATGAAAAAATAGAGAAATGGCTTATTGAATAGATTGCTTCGAAGGACGAGTCGTTTTTCCGTCACGGAATGCAACAACTGCCAGACAAATGGGAAAACATAATAGCAAGCGATGGCAAATACTTTGATTAGTGTACGTTTTCATGTTATTTTATACTAAAGTCTTTTTTTGGAAGGAAAAAACGGACCGAATTAATTTGCGCACGTGGGCTTGTAAAATAATGCAACAACACGATTCACCTACGACACTTTAAGTCGATATATTTCACCGCAATTCGTCAAACATTCATACGTATAATTGTGAGGTTGACAGCTTAAAAAGTGAACAATAACTTCTATGTACATAAAAAAAATAAAGTATAACTATAAAATAAAATATAAAGTATAACCTCATAAAATTGCCATCGTAATATCGACATGAGTAATATTTGTCCCGTTTTGCTCGTTATCCTCTCAATTTATCCTTGAATAGCCAGTCATTGCTTCTTCGCAATTTTTGTCAAACAGATTCTGATCCTTTCAAAAACAATTATATTTTAAGGAATGAAATAACCAAAGTAATCATGTCACGCTATTAAACCTATCTTTAGCTATTACTCGTGAAAATAATGAAAACGGAGTTACCTTAATGAGTGAAATTATTCCATCACTCGACAATTTCCATTTTGGTCCTGCCGTTGATTCTCTGGACATGGTGATTTATATGGAACATTTATGAGATAAGGATAACCACCACCGTATTGGTTCGACGTGGATGGTTGATCGGTGCTTTGATAATCCGCCGGTGGGGTCGATTTTGACAAAACGATCGTAAATAACGCCATCGTGAATAACATTTTCACGAAAAACTTCATTTTTAATGTCGATGTTTCGATGAAGCGTTTGATTGGCGGAATCAACGCGTTATTTTCTCAATTGAAAATCACGAATGCGTGACGGATGTTAAAATCACAACGACTCATTGAAGCTTGATACTTTCTGTCGCGTTTCTCCGACGTACCCGCTTATTTATAATCATCCTCAGATGATTATGCAGGCGATCTTTCCGTAGCTTGAGGCGATTTACTTGTTTGCGCGGTTTAAAATACGACGTAGTAACTTAACCAAGTTATCCTTGAAGACTACATCACGAATAAAAATCAATCGTATTAGTTAAGAAAAGGAATAACAGAAGAATCATGCATTTAAAGTCTTATAAAAAGTAGCGAAAAATAATATTCTTGTTTATAATATAAGTTAAGGATATCAATGGTCGCATTATCTTTCCGAAATTGTATGGGAACCGACGGTAATTTCGTAACATCTTTTATGATTCGCTATAAAACGTTTAGTTTTTAGTATAAAATAGGAAATGAAAATGAAAGTTTTTTCTCGGAATATAATTATATAATATTTTAAATATCTGCTACTTTCTTGTCATTAAGAAAACGAGTTTGTTAAGAGGAATGCGGTGGCGGCACTTTTTATTTATTATACACAACTAATTTAATTTTATAAAAATTTTATAAAACGTATTATAAACATTTTGTAAAATATCTATTTTAATGGAAAAGTATCTTATAAAAACAGTGTATACGTTCGAAATCGACATTCGTCGAGTACCGACATTGGCCAACTTGGCGGACGTAGGATTTTAGAAGGATATCGTCTGATAAAAATGTAAAACGCATATAAGTGCGCAAGCTTTTTTAATAAAAAAATATAACAATAACATATAACATGATTCTCATGCGACACTTTGAATCAATATATTTCATTGCAGTCTGCCAAATATTGCTATACATAACTGACGGTGAATCTGATGGTTCAAAACGTGAACAATGTCTCCCACATAGACACAGTAAATTATAATCTAATAAAATTGCTATCGTAGCGTTGTTAGACATTATTATCACTTGTCCTGTTTTGCTTATCATTCTCCTCGATTTATCCTTGGCAATTTATGCTTAGCCAGTTTCGCACCTATTAAAAAAAGTTATATTACACTAATAAAATGATCAAAGTATTATATCACACTGTTAAACTATCGTTTTCTTTAACAAATATTTATGAAAATAACAAAAACGTAATTACCTTAATGAATGAAATTATTCTACTTCTCGATATTTCCCATTTTTGTATAGCCTTTGATTTTCGTGATATTTTGCCATAATGGAATATTTAATACGACATGACTAGGTCCATTCCCAAAATCATCATCTGTTCTATTCCATATACCACCCCATGGATCATTGTAGTCTTCATCTTCCGCGTCTTCACAAATCGCTGGTGATAAAACGATCAAGATTAATAACGCCAGCGCAAGCAACACTTCCATGAAAAACTTCATTTTTAATGTCGATATTTCGATGAAGCACGTGATCGGCGGAACTGACACGTTATTTTTTTAATCGAAAATCACACATGGATCGCAGACGTTACAATACAACAACTCGTTGAAGTTTGTTACATTCTGCCGCATTCCACCGATATACCTGTTATTTATAATCTTTTTCAAACAATTAACGTGCAGTGCTTTTTGTCGTAGTTGACGTATATGAAGCAATTTCCTCGTATGTATTCTAAAATATGAGGGAAAATCGATGAGGAAGGAGACGTTTCCTTGAAAATTATATCGCGGATAAAAATTTATCATATGGGACAGGGAAAAAATGATAAAAGAATCGCATCCTTAAAATCTTGAAAAAAGTAACGTAATAAGATTCTTTTTCATTATGTAAGTTAACAACAATCAATCTTAGCATCATTTTTCCGAAATTGTATGGAAACCGACTATAATTCCCTAATGTCTTTTATTATTCGCAATAAAACATTTAGTTCTTAATATAAAATTGAAAGTACAGATTTTCTTTTGGTGAAAGGGTATAATTATATTTTAAACATCTTCTACTATCTTGTCATTAGAAAAACGAGTACGTCAAGAGGAATACGGTAGCGGCATTTTTTATTTATTATACTTCTATACACTACTAATTTAATTTATAACAATTGTATGAAACATGTTATGAACATTTTATAGAATGTCTATTTTAATAGAAAAATTGGTAAAAACAATGCATATGTCCGAAGTTGACATTTGTCGAGTACCGGCATCGGCTAATTTAACGAACGTAGGATTCCGGGAAAATATCGTTTGATATAAGTGCAAAGTGCAAGTGAGCAGCTTTTTTATAAAAGAATGCAACATGATTCTTATGCGACACTTTGAATTGATATATTTCATCTCACTTCGCCAAATATTACTATACACAGTTATACACAGTACTATACATAATTAACGGTGAACCTGACGGTTTAAAAAGTGGACAATGTCTTCCACATACGCACAATAAATTATAATCTAATAAAATTGCTATCGTTACATTGTTGGACATTATTAATATTCGTCTTGTTTTGCTCGTCATTTTTCTCGATTTATCCTTGAATAGCTTAGCGAATTACGCTTAGCGACTTTCGCACCTGTTAAAAAATTATATTCCATCAATAAAATAATCAAAGTATTTATGTCTCACTGTTAAGCTGTCGTTATCTTTAACAATTATTTATGAAAATAACGAAAACTTAATTACCTTAGTGAATGAAATTATTCTGCTACTCGACGTTTCTCATCTTTCTCTTGCCGTTGATTTTCTGGGCTTTTATTAGATCTGGCAATTTTGATATATCTGGAGATTTTGATAGATCTGGCGAACTTATGATTTGATAACGAGTTATATTCAGTAAACCAGAATGTGTACTATTCCATACACCATCCCGTGGGTCTTTATGGTCTTCATCTTTACAAATGGTTGGCGATAAAACGATCAAGATTAATAACGCCAGCGCGAACAACATTTTCATGAAAAACTTCATTTTAATGTCGATATCTCGATGAAGCGTTCGATTAGCGGAATCGACGCGTTATTTTCTTAATCGAAAATCACAAATGGATCACGGACGTTACAAGATCAACAACTCACTGAAGTTCGTTACATACTGCCGTATTTCACCGACAGACCTGCTAATTATACTTTTCTTCAGACGATTAGCAAGCAGTGTTTTTTATCATAGCTATTATATGTTAAGCAATTTACAATACTTGTGTCTGTGATCTGAGATATGAGCAATGATCGACGAAAGAGACGTTTTCCTTGAAGATTATATCGCGAATAAAAAAGTTATAAAAAAGTTGCGTCCATGAAATCTTGTAAGAAATAACGCAATGTTCTTATTTATGATGTAAATTAATGTCGTCAATCATGGCATTATTTTCTCGAAATTGTGTGGAAATCCACTGTAATTTCGCACGTTTTTCGTGATCCGCAATAAAATATTTAGTTTTTAGTATGGAATTGAAAGTTTTCTTTTGTCGGGAGGGTATAATTATATTTTAAACATCTCTTACTTTCTTGTTAAAGAAACGAGATCATCAAGAAAGATGCGATGATGGCATTTTTTATTTATGTTATTCTTACGCACAACTAATTTAATTTTATAAAAATTTTATAAAATACGTCATAAACATTCTGTAAAATATTTATTTTAATAGAAAAATATCTGATATAAGGAATATATACGTTCTTCTATCGTCCACGGTTAACATTCGTCGAGTACCGGCATCGGATAAATTGACGGATGAAAGATTTTAGGAACATATCGTTTGATATACGTGTAAGACGCATGAATCTTGAAGGACAGCTTTTTTATAAAATAATGCAACAACATAATTCTCATGCGATACGTTGAATTAATGTATTTCATTACGATTCGTCAAATATTTACACATATAACTTTGAGGTTGACAGTTTAAAAGGTGGACAATGTCAACCGTGCACATGCAATAAAGTATAATATGATAAACTTGCCTTTGTAACATTGATATGATTAATATTTGTTCCGTTTTGCTCGTCATCTTTCTCCATTTATTCTTGAATAGTCAGTTATTGTCTCTTGGCGCTTTTCGTTTAGCGAATACTGTTCTTTAAAATAAGTAAAAATATATATTTTATGAACAAAATAAACAAAGTATTTATGTCTCACCATTAAACTTATCTTTAGCAGTTACTCGTGAAAATAATGAAGACGCAGTTACCTTAGTGAATGAAATTATTCCATCACTCGACATTTTCCTTCTTACTCTGACCGTTGATTGTTTGGACATGGTGATCTGCATGAGACACTTAAGAGATAACCAGTGTCTTCGGTCAACGAAGAACAGTCTTTAGTGTTTTGACAAATCGCCGGTGACAAAACAATCGTTAATAACACAATCGCGAGCAACATTTACTCGAAAAGCTTCATTTTTAATTGTCGATATTTCGATGAAGCGTTTGTTCGTTGGAATCGATGAGTTGTTTTCTCAATCGAAAATTACTAATGTGTTATGAACGTTACAATCTCAACGACTCATTAAAATTCATTACTTTTTGCCGCGTTCTTCCGGTGTATCGGCTTTATAATTATCTTCAGGTGATTATGCAAGCAAGATTTTTATCATAGCTTGAGGCAATTCACTGGTTTGTGCGGTTGAGAATATGACGTAGAAAACCGACCAAGGTGTCTTTGAAGATTACATCGCAATTAAATATGAATCATATCGGTCAAGAAGAATGACAAAGAATCGTGCATTTAAATTTTTTTAAAAGTAACATAAAAGTAATAACGTTCTTGTTTATGATATAAGTTAAAAACGATAATCGTAGCATCATCTTTCCGAAATTGTATAGAAACCGATTATAATTTCGTAACATCTTTTATGATTCGCGATAAAACGTTTAGTATAAAATTGAAAATAAAATTGGAAGTCTTTTCTTGAGGTATAATTATATAATATATTTTATGCATCTCCTGCTCCTTTGTCATTAAAAAAATGAGTTCGTCAAGAGGAATGTGGTGGGGGCACTTTTTATTTTTTTTTATAATACTTTTTATATTATTTTATATTATGTATATATTAGGTGCTTGAATTAATGCTCGCTGTTGACTAATAGAGGTCAGTAGTTGTGTTATTTCAACATGGCCGAAAGTGACCGTTGGTGTATATGAAAGTGCTGTCAGTAGGCTTTAATAATAATCAGTGTATGACATTAGATCGGAATGCAAAGAACACAATTTTGTCTTGCATTGAATATGTCGGGTTTCCTACCAAAAAAGAGTATTTGCGGGTACTTTTCTGCTTTCATCTCAAGAAATCTGCTGCTGAAAGTCATCGTTTGCTAGTGGAGGCTTATGAGGAGCATGCTCTATCTGAAAAAACTTACAGATATTGGTTTAGACGACTCAAAGACAACGATTTTGACATGAACGACGAAAAGCGCCCTGGTCAGCCGAAAAAGTTCGAAGATGGAGAATTGGAGGCATTACTGGAAGAAGATTCATATCAGACGCTCAAACAGTCGTTGGAAACATTAAATGTCGATGAGTCAATCGTTAGCAAACATTTAAAAGCAATGGAAATGATCCAGAAGCTAAGAAACTGGATCCCACATGAATTGTGAGAAAGAGATATTGCGAAATGTTTAACCATTTGTGGATTGCTGCTTCAAAGACCAAAAGGGAAGTCGTTTTGCCATCGAATTGTGATTGGCAATGGAAAATGGATTCGTTACAACAATCCTAAGCGCAAGAAATCATGGGTGCGTCCCGGCGAACCATCAACATCAACGCCACAACAGGATATTCATGGGAAGAAGGTCATGCTGTGCATTTAGTGTCGGTAGTGTATTATGAGCTGCTGCAACCGAGTCAAACCATTAATACTGAACGCTACCGACGACAATTATTCAATTTAAATCGAGCATTCAAAGAAAAACGCCCGCAATATGCTGAAAGACATGACAAATTTATTCTTCTTCATGACAATACTAAACTGCATGCTGCAAAACTAGTGAAAGAAATTTTGAAGGCACTTGGATGTCTTATCCACCCGCCTTATTCATCAGACGTTGCTTCTTCAAATTACCATTTGTTTCGGTTGATGCAGCATGGCCTTTCTAAACAGCATTTCAAATCTTTCAAAGATATCAAAAAATGGCTCGATGACTGAATCGCCTCAAAAGAACCTGAATTTTTCTACCGCGGAATCCATATGTTACCTGAAAAGTAGGAAAAGTATATAGCTTCCGAAGAACAATACTTTGAATAAAATATAATGTACTGTTCTGTTGAAACAAACATGAATTTTTGTTGCAAAAAACAGCGAAAATTAATTCAAGCACGTAATATTATTTTACATTATTCATAGTACTCTAACACAATTAATCTAATTTTATAAAAATTTTATAAAATATGTTATAAACATTTCGTATATCTATTTTAATAGAAAAATACTTGATGAAAGCAATGTGCATATGTCGTCCGAAATTGACATTCGTCGAGTATTGACATCGGCTAACTTAACGAAGGTAGGATTTTAAGAAGATATCGTCTGACATGCTTATATGGGCAGTTTTTTTATAAAAGAATGCAACAACATGATCTTCATGCGACACTTTGAATCGATGTATTTCACTGCAATTCCAAATATTGCTATACACAATGTGAGTCTGACAGTTTAAAATGTCTTTCACATACAATAACTTATAATCTAATAAAATTGCTATCGTTGCATTGTTGGACACTATTAATATTTGCCTCATTTTGTTCGTCATTCCTTTTGATTTATCCTTGAATAGCCAGCCTCTTAGCAATTTAGCGTTTGGCAAGTTTCGCATCTTTAAAAAAAAATTATATTCCACTAATAAAGTAATCAAAGTATTTATGCCTTACCATCAAACTACCGTTATCTTTAACAATTATTTATGAAAATAACGAAAACGTAATTACCTTCGTAAATGAAATTATTCTAGTACTCGACATCTTCCATCTTTGTCTAGCCGCTGATTTTCTGGGCATTGTGGTATGTGTGGAAAAATTATGATGGTACTGTCAATAAAACCTACCTTCCCGGAAATAATATTTAATTTTCGATATGTTCTGTTCCGTACAACAACCGATTGATCGTCGTAGTTTTCGTAGTCTTCAATTATTATGTCTTCACAAATTGCTGGTGGTAAAACGATCAAGATTAACAACGCCAGCGCGAACAACATTTTCATGAAAAACTTCATTTTTAATGTCGATATTTCAATGAAATGTTCGATCAGCGGAATCGACACATTATTTTTTTAACCGAAAATCACAAATGGGTCACGGACGTTACAAGATCAACAACTCACCGAAGTTCGTTACATACTGCCATATTCCACCGACGAACCTACTATTTATAACCTTCTTCAGACGATTACGCAAACAGTGCTTTTCATCGTAGCTATTGTTTCTGAAGCAATTTACAATACTTATGTGTGTGTGTATGTTCTGAGATATAAGCAATGATCGACTAAGAAGATATTTTCCTTAAGGATTAAGTCACGAATAAAAATCAATCATGAATCAGGGGAGAAAGTGATTAAAGAATCGCGTCCTTAAAGTCTTGTAAAAAGTAATAATATTCTTGCTCATTACGTAAGCTAACGACATCAATCGTAGTATCATTTTCCGAAATTGGAAACTGACTGTAATTTCTTAATATCTTTTATTATTTGCAATAAAACGTTTAGTTTTTAGTATGAAATTGAAAGTCTATAATATTGGAAGTCTTCTCTTAGGGTATAATTATGTAGGGTGATTTAAAAGTCTGGAAACGGCTAATTATCTTTGAAAGTAGCGATCCTGTAGGAAAATGTTTCAGACAAAAGTTGTGGGGTTTTAAATAACGCATTACATAGTAATATTATTACGACCTTGAAGTGTGTTGTCATAGTCACATAAAAATCACTTTGAATTTTTTAATCAGAAATCTCCATTTTTTATTACATACTCTTATAACTTACTTCAAGAGCTTTCCAAAACACTATATTTAAGTCATTTTTCATGAAGTACTTTCCGAATTATGAGGCTTGAATGTTACAGTACCGCCGCGGTATACCTTGGATAATTAACATTATCCAAGGTATACCGCGTGGAGGTTGCACGATCGGATTTACACCTCTGTTGTGTGTATTGTGTATGTGTGTATGCGTACGTGTTGTATATGCTACGGTTAAAATGATAAATTGGTTATTATGCATAATAACCGGTTATTATATATAATAACCAACAGCTTTGGTTAATGTGATAAAATACATGCAATTTATTACTTTAACCAGTTATTTTACATAACCAAACTTTATTGGTTAAAGTGATAAATGATACTTAGAAAATGATTTTGGAGAAACTTTTGAAAACCGTTTATGTCCAATTGTCATGAATATTGACAGAAATGCTCCAAACGATATCAAAATGTTACAAAATTATGAACAATTAAACCTACGCGTAAGTTGCAAGTGCATTTTGCATTGCGCGCTACGAGCACGATTGTTGAAACCTACGCGTAAGTTAAAAGCGCGTAAGCTGCACGCGCGGTTATTAAAACTCACACGTAATTGGGTGTGCGCAGCGCGCGATGCAAAACGCACTTGCAACTTATGTGTGGATTTTAATAACCGCGCGTGCAGTTTACGCGCTTTTAACTTACGCGTAGATTTCAACAACCGCGCGCGCAGCGAAACATTTTTTTCGAGTAGTTTACTCTTGTAGCCAGCACACGTCTATAGGCTATTTCCCCGGCTATTTTTAACATACCGATTTTTGGCGAAACGTCTGGCGCATTAAAATCAGGAATAAAGCAACAAATTAGCAACAACATCATAGTATAAAAATATGTATTCGTTTTTAGCTTTTTATTCTATTTTTCGAATGGCTGTGCTAACTTTAATGTTAAGCTAGCACAGCCATTGTTTTCTTCGAAATGGCTGGAGCAATAAAATCGGGAATAGAGCAACAAATTAGCAACAGAAAAGCACTAAATTTCTGTGCTAGTCCTATGCGATTGTGCTGAAATGGCTGTGCCAGCTTAATAGACGTAAATGTGTATTCGATTTGTACGATAGCGCTGAGGAAAGAAAAGCGAATTCACATGAAACTTACACTGAAACAAAAATCAGAATTTATTTGTCAACCCAATATATCAAGGTTAATGTCATTGGTGTATAGGCCCGTCTTTCAAAATATTAAATTCGAACTTGCGGAAACATGAGATTTATCACTTTAACCTAGAGCATGTTGGTTATTATTCATAATCACCGGTTAATGTGATAAATTTTACAAAAATATGAATAATTTATCAAATTAACCAAAGCTGTTGGTTATTATGCAGTAACTGGATTTATCACATTAAACGTAACATATTAGGTGTATAGTACAAATGAATAATTCAAATTATTTTAAGCAGTTATGAAATCAATTTTAAATTGAATAGATTTTCCCGCTCTTTTGTGATTATATAATGTTGACATATAGCTATTAAAAAGAACATATAGTTTGGCGAAAGACCCAATATAACCTTCAAAAGCATTCAGTTCAGTACAGTCGAAAATGGCAACAGATAAGGTGCATATCCGACACTGCATTCTTTACGAATTCCAACAAGGAAAAAATACTGCAAGAGCATGCGAATCGATTTGTTCGTTTCTCGGCGAAGGTGTTGTATCGTATGATGTGTGCGCATTTTGGTTTAAGCGGTTTAAAAGCGGTAATTTCAGTCTAATCAACAAATAACGCCCTGGAGGCCCTCCGAAGTGCGATAATGATGATTTGGAACAACTGCTCGCTGAGAATTCGGCACAAACACAAAATGAGCTTGCAGAACAGTTGGGAGTAACACAACAAACGATTTCCAAAGGCCTACATGAGATGGGAAAGATCCAGAAAGAAGGAAAATGGGTTCCGCATGAACTCACTGAAACCAACAAAAATCAACGAGTGGCAGCGTGTCTTTCTCTTCTCAATAAGCAACGTCGAAAGTCTTTCTTGTGGAAAATCGTTACGGGCGATGAGAAATGGATATTCTATGACAATCCGAAACGCAGAAAGTTATGGGTAAATCCCGGCGAATCATCAAAATCGGTCGCAAAACCCAATCGCTTCAGAAAAAAGGTTCTTCTCTGCATTTGGTGGGATATCAAGGGCATGCTTTATTATGAGTTGTTGGAACCGGGTGAAACAATTACTGCGGACTGCTACCAACATCAATTAATCTGCTTGAGTCAAGAATTGGAACGAAAACGCCTGTGTTCTGGCAAAGGAGAACGTCCAGTGAAATTGTTGCATGACAACGCCAGGCCACACATTGCTTCCAATACAAAGCACCATAATGAGTTTTGGCTGGGACGTCTTGCAGCACCCGGCGTATTCACCAGACATTGCTCCTTCCGATTATCACTTGTTCCGGTCGATGCAACACTCCTTGTCCGATATACACTTCCAATCAGTGGATGAGATCCGAAAATGGCTTTATGGAAAATTGACGACTTTATCGTGTCCAAAGACGTAACATTTTTTCGAGATGGAATTCATCAGCTGCCTGAAAGATGGCTTAAAGTTATAGAAAGCAATGGCGAATACTTTGATTGAACAATTTAAGTTGCTTTCTTTTAAAATAAACCTTGAATGTAGCTGAAAAAATTGGATTATTCATTTGTACACCTAATACATACCGATTGTTAAGATTTCATGAATCTTTTAAAAGAAATGAAGATTATTTGATACTTCGTATTATTACACGAAAATATAATTCTTGTGAGAATTTCCAATTACTGACAAAACGTTTAAGAAAGAAGAAGGTTTGTCATGATAATATTGGGTGAGTGCAAAAGTTCGTGAGGAGTTTGTGAGTAAAAGTCACACAGTGATTAGGCAAACAAAAATCTTTATTCAATCAATGATATATTCTCCATCGTTTTCTATAATCTTTTCCCAACGTTCTGGTAGCATACGGATGCTTTGATCATAAAAACTGCGCGGTTTAGATTCGAAGAACGAAGAGACGCCGTTTTTTAAGGCCTCCAAAGAGTCAAAGTTTTTTCCATTTAAATAATTTTGCAATGACCGGAACAAGTGATAGTCAGATGGTGCGAAATCAGGAGAATACGGTGGATGCGTTAAGACATCCCATTTCAGGCTCTTCAGTTTGCGCAGCGTCTTTTTCGAAACGTGTGGTCTGGCGTTGTCGTGATGAAAGACGACTTCCTTGCGATTTGACAAAATCGGACGTTTCTCTTTTATTTCTCGATTCAGATTAGTTAATTGGCGACAGTACTTGTCCGAATCAATCGTTTCGCCAGCGGGGAGAAGCTCGAAATAGATTATGCCCTTGCAATCCCACCAAACAGAGAGCATCACCTTCATCGGGTGCAAACTGGCCTTTGGCATTGCGTCACCATGCTCACCTGATTGTTTCCATGTCCGTTTGCGCTGAACATTGTTGTAGAGGACCCATTTCTCATCGCCCGTCACTAGTCGATCCAAAAACGACTCGTTATTGAGCCGCCCGAGTAAAGAAACGGCTGCAGAAATTCGCTTGATTTTGTTCTTCTCGGTCAGCAAATGGGGCACCCATATATCGAGCTTCAAATCGAATCCCATCTTTTTTAAACGCCGAAAAGCGGTTGATCGGTTAACGTTTAGTGCTGTAGCAACTTCTTCTGTTGAAATTCGTGGATTATTGAGCACTAAAGTACGCAAAACATCGTCATCAATGTCAGAAGGTCGACCAGAGCGTGGCTCGTCTTCAAGGTTAAATTCTCCGCGCCGAAATTTAGCAAACCATTTTTCCACAGTTCGTTTAGCTGGTGCTTCATCCTGATAAACATCCTGAATGTTTTTTACGGCTGCGGCAACGTTTATTCCCTTCCGAAACTCGTAAAGCATAACATGCCGTAAATGCACCTTATCGATACTCATTTTTAAAGTGATATTTCTCGAAGCAGTTTGTATGAAAACAAATGATCTTTTTTTTAATAACAGCTGAAGACGTCACCTTTCCAACGTTATATAATATGTAGATGGAAGTATTAATGACAACACTTTACGACGCTTATAACTCCATCTATTGAAACTCCGCACGAACTTTTGCACTCACCCAATATAATTCATATAATCGATACGCTAAGCTCAATTGGGACAACTCAGGATAACAGATGAGATGTTTTGCTATTTTAATACAGAGTTCGCACTTCGCTGCTGCTTTCCCCTCTCCAGGCTCCGGGCTAGGTTTTGGGGTCCGCCCCTCAAAACGTACGCACACACACACATAATACACACACGGAGGTGTAAATCCGACCGTGCAACCTCTACATGGTACACTTTGGGTAATGCTAATGCTGGTGGTACTGTAACATTCAAGCCTCATAACTCGAAAAGTACTTCATGAAAAATAACTTAAATATAATAACTTAAATGTTTTGGAAAACTCTCGAGGTAAGTTATAAGAGTATGTAATATAAATGGAGATTTTTAATTAAAAGATTCAAAATGATTTTTATGTGACCTTGACAACATTCTTCAAGATCATAATAATATTGCTATGTAATTGGTTACTTAAAACCCTACAACTTTTGTCTGAAATATTTTCCTACAGGACTGCTACTTTCAGAAATAATTAGCCGTTCTCAGACTTTTAAATCACCTTGTATATTTTATACATTTCCTACTTTTCTGCCATTAGAAGAACGAGTTTGTCCAGAAAAATGCGGTGGCGGCACTTTCTATTTATCGCATTATTACACACAACTAATTTAATTTAATAAAAATTCTATAAAACATGTTATAAACATTTTGTAAAATGTCTATTTTAATAGAAAAATACTTGATAAATATAATGCGCATACGTCCGAAGTTGACATTCGTTCAATATCGGCTAACTTAGCGACCGTAGGATTTTAGGAAGATATCTCTGATATATGTGAAAAGTACATGTAGGCAACTTTTCTTATGAAAGAATGCAACAACATAATTCTCCTGCGACACTTTGAATCGATATATTTCGCTCTAATTCGCCAAATATTGTTATACACAACTGTGAATCAGATGGTTTAAAAAGTGAACAATGTCTTCCACATAGACACAATAAATTAAAATCTAATAAAATTGTTATCGTACCATTGTTAGACATTACTGATATTTGTCCCGTTTTGCTCGTCATCTTTTTCCATTTATTCTTGAATAGCCAGTTTCTTAGATATTTACGCGAGTTTCGCACCTTTAAAAAAAAATTATATTTCACTAATAAAATAAACAAAGTATTTATGTCTCACTGTCGTCAAAATATCGTTATCTTTAACAATTATTTATGAAAATAACGAGAATGTAATTACCTTAGGAAATGAAATTATTCTACTACTCGACATCTCCCATCTTTGTCTAGTCGTTGATTTCCTGGGCATTGTGGTATATTGAGTCGACGAAATATTATCATACGACGATTGCTAGGAGGAATTTTAGTTGCTGGTAAATATATTACTAGTTTACGTGTTCTATTATTCACACCATCCCATGCATCTATGTAGATTTTATTTTCACAAATCACTTGTGATAAAAGGATCAAGATTAACACCAGTACGAGCAACATTTTTATGAAAAACTTCATTTTTAATGTCGATATTTCGATGAAGTGTTCGATCAGCGGAACGGATACGTTACTTTCTTAATTGAAAATTACAAATGGATCACTGACGTTATAATTATAATATCAACACCTCATGGAAGTTTATTACATTCTGCCGCGTTCCACTGACGCACTTACTACTTATATTCTCCTTTAGACGATTATGCAAACCGTACTTTTTATCATAGTTATCGTAAGTGAAGCAATTATTTACTTGTATATGTGTCCTGAAATGAATCACGGGAAAAGATCGACTAAGGAAACATTTCCTTGAAGTTTATATCGCGATAGAAACTTATCATATGAGTCAGGGAAGAAAATGATAAAAGAGTCACGTCTTTAAAGTCTCGTAAAAAGTATCTTAATAATGTTCTTGTTCATGACATAAATTAACCATGTCAATAGTAGCATTTCTTTCCGAAATCGTACGGAAACCGATTACAATTTCGTAACATATTTTATTATTCTCAATAGAATACTAAGTTTTTAGTATAAAATTGAAAGTAATATTGAAAGTCTTCTCTTGCGGTATAATATAATTATATTTTTTAAACACCTCCTACTTTATTCTCATTAAAAAAACGAGTTCGCCAAGGAGAATGCGGTGGTGACACTTTTTATTTATTGCACTCTTACACACAACTAATTTAATTTTATAAAAATTACGTATAACATGTTATAAATATTTTGTAAATAATATCTCTTAGTAGCAAAATATTTGATAAAAACAATGTGTATATATCGTCCGAAGTTGACATTCGTCAAGTATTGTCATCGGCTAACTTAATGAAAGTAGAATTTTAGGAAGATATTGTTTGATATACATTTAAGGTGTGTGTAAGTAAACAAGCTTTTTTTATAAAAAAATTCAATAACATGATTCTCATGCGTCACTTTGAGCCGATATATTTCACTACCATTCGCAAAATATTGTTATACACAACTGTGAATCTGACAATTTGATAAGTGTTCAATGTCTTCCACATACAATAAATTATAATCTAATAAAATTGCTATCGCAGCGTTGTTAGACATTATTAATGTTTATCGCATTTCGCTAGTCATATTTCCCGATTTATCCTTAAGTAACCAGTCTCTTAGCGATTTACACAGTCTGTCCCAGATCCAATGAGACTGGTCTAAAAAAAATACAAAGCGTTTATTATTTTGATTTTTTATTCTTGTTTATTCAAAATAGTCTCCTTCTGAGTCAATACAGCGCTGGAAACGTTCAACAAATTTTTCGAAACATTTTTTATACTCATCGGCTGGAATGGCTTTTAGTATGGCGGTCGAAGTCTTTTGGATGACCAGGATGGTATCGAAACGATTTCCTTTCATCGCCAATTTCAGTTTGGGAAATAGCCAGAAGTAGCACGGAGCCAAATCAGGTGAATACGGTGGATAATCGATAACAATGATGCCTTTTTTGGTCAAAAATTCACGTACCATGATGGCTTTGTGCGATGGTGCATTATCGTGCAATAAAAATCAACTGCCTGGCTCTCGATATTCCGGTCGAACTCGTCGAATTTTGGCCCACAATCGTTGTAGAACTCCCAGATAATATCTGGATGGCTTCGAAGCGGTCGCTTCGAAGAATTTCTTTGACTTTCTCGATGTTTTCTTCATTGCGAGTGGTTTTTGGCGGCGGTGCTCGGTTATCGTCTGCAAGGTACCCGTACACATTTTTTAGCGTTTCGTACGTTTCGTACCACTTTTACCCAATTTAAAAGTTCGTTTTTCGACCGACGTACACAAAGTGACTTTACATAAAATGTTAAACCACAATAAAATATCAACCGAATTCACTCAAATTTTGAGGTTAAGTAGATGAAGGGTAGAACATTCACCTATCATCATTCACTCATAGATATCGCTGCGCTAAGAACTTTGATGGAACCAGCCTCATCGTATCTGGGACAGATTGTGTACGCTTAGCGTACACAGTCTGTCCCAGTCTGTTTAAGTTTCGTGTCCTTAAAAAAAAATTATATTCCACTAATAAAATAATGAAAATATTTATATCTCACTGTTAACCTATCGTTATCTTTAACAATTATTTATAAAAATAACGAGAACTTTTACCTTAATTACCTTAGCAAATGCAATTATTCTACTCGACATCTCCCATCTTTGTCTGATTTTATTGGTAAAATAGACCTGGAAATATAGCAGAGAATTGCCAAGCCAACCAATTTTCCACAAACTACTCTGGGAATTTAGAGTAATCGGTGGATATTCATCTGTAATATTCAATATACAATTCCATTCATCTTGGTCTTCTTCATAGTCTCCAGCATTCACGTCTTCAAAAATCGCTGGTGAAAAACACCAAAATTAATAACGTGTGATCAAAAACGATGATCAAAATTAATAACGGCGCGAGCAACACTTTTATGGAAAACTTCATTGTTAATGTCGATATTTCGATGAAGCGTTCGATCAGCGGAATCGACACGTTATTTTCTTAATCGAAAATCACAAACGGATCACGGGCGTTACAATATCAACAACTCGTGGAAGTTCGATACATTCTGTTGCGTTCTACCGACGTACCTGCTACTTATAATCTCCTTCGATTATGCAAGCAGTGCTTTTCATCGTAGCTATCATATATGAAGCAATTTTCTTGTTTATGCGTTCTGAAATATAGGGAAAAACCGATCAGTGAGTCGTTTCCCTTGAAGATTATGTCATGAATGAAAATCAGTTATATGAGTCAGAGAAGAGAATGGTAAAAGAATAGTATCCTTAAAGTCTTCTAAGAAGTAACAAAATAATGTTCTTGTTTATGATATAAGTTTATGTTAATAACGACAATCGTAACATCATCTTTGCGAAATTGTATGGAAACCGACTGTAATTTCGTAACATCTTTTATTATTCGCAATAAAACGTTTAGTTTTTAGTATAAAATTGAAAGTACAAGTTTTCTTTCAGGGGAAAAGTATAATTATGTTTTGAACACATCTTACTTTCCTCTCATAGAAAAACGAGTTTGTCAAGAGAAATGCGATGGCGGCGTTTTTATTAATTGTACTCTTACATATAACTAATCCAATTTTATAAAAATTTTATAAAGCATGTTATAAACATTTTGTTTAATGTGGGTCATTCTCTGTCAAATCAGACACCTCCCCTGTCCCAAAATTAAGGTCACCTGGAAAATTGCCTCGGGATTTGTAGCTATACATATATAGTTTTATTTGAGCTGTGGCCTTTTGAAAAATCAACATGGCGTACTTCAGTATGGTGGCCGAAGTCTGTAGGTAACGAGGTACAACAGATAGAATCATTATTTAGAAGTTATAAAACAGTTTCGATTTTCATAGAAATATGTGTTAATGGGTTTATTTAATAGGTAGCATTGAATCCATAAAAAAAATGAATTTTTAGTTTGTCCAAAATCAATAGCGGCCAAATTTTCCGTGAAATGCTAAAAAAAAAACTGTTTCGTTTTTTAAAAATTACAGAATTGCGTTTAATTTTCATGAAAATTTATCATGATATATTTTGAGACGTGTTCATAAATTAGCAATCGGGACATTGTATTTAAGTATGACGAAAACCAATATGGCGGCTGTATATTCGAAAAAATGCTAAAAAATAATGAAGCCGATATTCAAATCATACAGACTCATTCTAATTATTATTAATTTGTGTGTTACGATATTTTTCAGTTGCTGTTCATCAACATGAATGTTTAATTTTAATAAGTCGAAACCAACATAACGCTCAGTTTATAAATAAAATGCTGAAAAATGATTATCATATAAAATGAAACTCACGAACTTTGTTAAATTTTCATTAAAAAATTTTCATTAAAAAATTTCGTGTCCCTACAATCTTTTGGTCAGTAGTCACAAATTAATTATTTTTTCAAATATGGCCGGACACAACATAGTGACCAAATATAAATAATCTTTTATTATTCGCAATAAAAGGTTTAGTTTTTAGTTGACAAAATTAAAAATAATATTGAAAGTCTTCTCTTAGGGTATAGTTATATATTTTATACATCTCCTACTTTTCTGTCATTAGAAGAATGAGTTTGTCCAGAGACAGGAGGTGGCGGCACTTTTTATTTATTGTACTCTTACATATAACTAACTTAATTTTATGAAAATTTTCATGAAAACATGTGATAAATATTTTGTAAAATATTAAGTGTGTGAATTACTTCGGTTCGTTTTTTTTCCAAAAAAAGACTTTAGTATGAGAAACATGAAAAAGTACACTAATCAAAGTATTTGCCATCGCTTGCTATTATGTTTTTCCATCTGTCTGGTAATTGTTGCATTCCGTGACGGAAAAACGACTCGTCCTTCGAAGCGATCCATTCATTGAGCCATTTCTCTATTTCTTCATAATTGTTGAAGCTGGTCCAAAAGCCCGTATGCCCATCAATCTGAACAAGTGATAATCGGATGGAGCAATGTCTAGTGAATACGGCGGGTGAGGTAATACGTCCTAGCCAAGTAGTTCCAAGTTGGCCCTCACAATCTTTCCAACATGTGGCCGAGCGTTATCGTGCTGGAAGATCACTTTGTCGTGTTTCTTTGCATATTCTCGGCCGCTTATTCTTCATTGCGTTGTTTAAACGGATCAATTGTTGTTGGTAAACTTCGGCAGTGATGGTTTGGCTCTGTTTTAATATTAGGTTGTTGCAGATGAAATGGCCATTTTTTAATTTTTAATTTAAATTTTTATTCAACACACTTTATATATATCTCATCAATCAAAATGGTCTCTCTCCACCTCAATACACTTCCCCCAACGTGATACAAGCGCATCAATGCCTTTCACGTAGAAATTAGAAGAGTGAGTTGCAAGAAATTAGTTGAACGCATTTTTCACGTCGCTTTCTGTTTGGAATACCTTTTCACTTAAAAAGTTATCCAGATGCTTAAATAAATGGTAATCAGTTGGAGAAAGGTCAGGAGAATAAGGAGGGTGAGGGAGAACTTCGCATTTGTATTCTGTTAATGTTTTTACAGTTATTTTTTGCAATATGCGGTCTAGCATTATCATGGAGCAATAACATACCGCGTCTATTTAATAACGTCGGCTGTTCAATATGCAGTTTTTCCATCACAATGTCAATTTCTTGGCAATATTTGTCAGCATTTATAGTTTCACCCTATTTCAAAAACGAAAATGCACAATACCCTTGGCAGACCACCATACAGATACCATAACTTTACGTGGATGAAGGCTCGGTTTCGGCATGTATTTCGGAGCTTGATCAGCATCTAACCACTGGGCAGAACGTCGACGATTGTCATAAAGAACACATTTTTCATCACACGTTACTATTCGATTCAATATTTCTTCATTATTGTGTCGGGAAAGCAAAGATGAACTGATTTCCATACGGCGAAGCTTGTCTCTCTCAGTCAGTTCATGTGGTACCCACTTGTCAAGCTTTTTCACTTTCCCCATGGCCTTTAGATGTCGGGAAACAGTGGAATAGTGAACGTTGATGCTGTGTGCAATATCCCGAACTGATAAACGCGAATCTGCTTCAACCATGTCTTTCAAAACATTATCATCAATCATTGATGGTGCATGGCCGCGAGGCAAATTGTCGAAATTTGTATCACCAGACCGAAACTTTTCAAACCAACGTCTAATGCTTCGATCACTTACAGAACCTTCCCCAAAAGCAGTGTTTATGTTTCGCGTTGCCTCGGCCACACTATGACCAAGTTTGTATTCGTACAAGAATATTATCCGCATTTCCTTACTTTTCATGTCGAAGAGACAGCGATTTTCAACAATATAAACAATGTGATAAAAGTAAGGTTATGCGTGCGAATTTACGTGTGGGGCATATACTTTTCAAATATCACGCATGCAACAACAGCTGCATGAAAAGAGCAGAACTACTCGGCCGGGAAATTTGAATTTTGAAAAACGGCCATTTCATCTGTAACAACCTAATAGTTCATGATACACTACATCCTTCTGGTCCCACCATATACAGAGTATTACTTTCTTGCCGTGAATATTCCGCTTTGGTATCGATGTGGATGGTTTTCCTGGGTCGCTAATGGATTTCCTTCCTTTGGGATTATCGAAATATATCCACTTTTTGTCTACAGTCACAATACGATGCAAAAAACCTTTTCTTTTTTGCCTGGCAAGCAAGATTTCAGACATGGCTTCCGCCTCTCGATGTTTCTTTCTTTCAGTTTTTTCGTATGGCACCCATCTTCCTTCTTTGTAAATCTTTCCCATGGCTGCTAAACACACAGAAATTGTTGATCGATCAACATTCAACAATTGCGCGAGTTCATGTTACGATTGACACGAATCTTCATCGATTAGCGCCTGCAATTCCTCATCCTCAAACTTCTTCGGCTGACCTGGACGAGGTTTGTCATCGACACAGAAATCATCACTTTTGAAACGTCGAAATCATTCTCTACATGATTTATCGGTGGGAGTACTTTCACTATAAGCTTCTACGAGCATTCGATGAGCTTCAGCGGCTGTTTTCTTCAAATGAAAACAGAAAATGAGAACTTCCCGGAAATGATGCTTTTTTGGACGACGTTGAAGTTTGGAACGTTCTTCGAGCGAAAACTGAAATTAGCCTTTATTTAAAAAAAACTACTTCATATAAATATAAATACATATAAAAGATAAATTTGTGTTAAATATGAGAGAGTGAAAATTGTCAGTTTTTGACACAGAGCGCTGTGAGTGCCGAAAGTAATTATAATTGGTTTGAGTGTGGCGGTATGCACACAATTTTCGGGGAGAACGAAAATATTCCAAGACGCGATTGCTATTAAACTATTTTTTTTCTATTTTCCCACATACCGGAGAGTGAAAGTGCACTGTCAGTTTTTGGCACAATGTATTTGGATATCCTGTGGAAATTATCATGTGTATGAATGATTATATGTGCATAATTTTCGGGGAGAACAACTTTCTTATAATGTTATGTCATATTTAACACAAATTTATCTTTTATATGTATTTACATTTATATGAAGTGGCTTTTTTTTAAATAAAGGCTATTTTCAATTTTCGCTTGAAGAACGTTCCAAACTTCAACGTCGTCTTTTTGGCTCGAATTTCGACATTTTCGAATCAGATAAACACGATGTTATTGTTACAAATCCAAACATTTATCAACTGAATATTGTTGCCAGATATCAAAATTAAAAAATAAAGCCTTTTGCAGACATTAGAGGTTAGAATATTACAGAATATTAGAATAGTATAGCAATTGACCGCCAGATGGACCGAATTAATTCACACACCTAATATCTATTTTAATAGAAAAGTATCTGATAAGTACAATGTGCATACGTCGGCCGAAATTGACATTCGCCGAATATTGGCATCGACTGAGTTAACGGACGTACGATTCCAGGAAGATATCGTCTGAGATGCGTATAAGACGTACATGTACAGTTTTTTTTATAAAAGAATGAATTTTATAAAATGAATTAGAGAAGAAGAACAACATTCTCACGCGACTTTGAATCGATGTATTTCATTGCAATTCGCTAAATATTGTGCTATACATAATTCTGAGTCTAACAGTTTAAAATATTTTCCACATACACACAAAAAATTATAATTTAATAAAAATGCTATCGTTGCATTATTGGATACTATCAATATTCATTCCATTTTGCTCGTTTGCCGTCATTCTTAAATAGCTTAACGATTTACGCTTAGCGAGTTTATACCTTTGAACAAAAACTATCCAATAAAATTAAATCGTTGGTGATAAAACGATCAAGATTAATAACGCTAGCGCGAGCAACACTTTCATGAAAAACTTCATTTTTAATGTCGATATTTCGATGGAGCATGCAATCGACGGAACTGACACATTATTTTCTTAATCAAAAAATAACAAATGGGTCATGAACGTTATATTATATTAACAACTCGTGGAAATTCGTTATATTTTGCCGCTTTCCACCGACGTACCTGCTATTTATATTCTCCTTTAGACGATTTTTATTGTTCTATATCGTAGCTACGGTATGAGAGACAATTATTTACTTGTATATGTGTCCTGAAATGAATCATGGGGAATGATCGACCAAGGAAACACTGTCTTGAAGATTATATCGCGAATAAAAACTTATCATATGAGGGAAGAAAATGATGAAAGAATTGCGTCTTTAAAGTCTCTTAAAAAGTAACGTAATAATGTTCTTGTTCATGACATAAGTTAACCATGATATACATGGTAAGTTTACCAGTTAACATAATATTAGTAGCATCATCTTTTCGAAATTGTACGGGAACCGATTATAATTTCGTAACATATTTTATTATTCGCAATAGAATACTAAGTTTTTAGTATAAAATTGAAAGTAATATTGAAAGTCTTCTCTTGCGATATAATATAATTATATTTTTTAAACACCTCCTACTTTATTCTGATTAAAAAAACGAGTTCGTCAAGGAGAATGCGGTGGCGGCACTTTTTATTTATTGTACTCTTACACACAACTAATTTAATTTTATAAAATTCACGTATAACATGTTATAAATATTTTGTAAAAAATATCTTTTAATAGAAAAATATTTGATAAAAACAATATGTATATATCGTCCGAAGTTGACATTCGTCGAGTATTGTCATCTGCTAACTTAATGAAGGCAGAATTTTAGGAAGGTATTGTTTGATATACATATAAGGTGTGTGTAAGTAAGCAAGCTTTTTTATAAAAAAATGCAACAACATGATTCTCATGCATCACTTTGAGTCGATATATTTCACTGCTATTCGTAAAATATTGTTATGCACAACTGTGAATCTGATAGTTTGAAAAGTGTTCAATGTCTTCCACATACAATAAATTATAATCTAATAAAATTGCTATCGCAGCGTTGTTAGACATTATTAATATTTATCCCATTTCGCTCGTCATATTTCCCAATTTATCCTTAAATAACCAGTCTCTTAGCGATTTACGCTTAGCAAGTTTCGCGTCCTTAAAAAGAAATTATATTCCACTAATAAAATAATGAAAGTATTTATGTTTTACTGTCAAAATATATCGTCATCTTTAACAATTATTTATAAAAATAACAAGAATCTAATTACCTTAGCGAATTATTCTACTACTCGACATTTTCCATCTTTGTCTAGCCGTTGATTTTCTGGGCATGATGGTAGATTTGGAAAACTTATGATACCATCACCAACACAACAATTTTTCGACAGTGTATTCTCGTATTTTGAATATATTGTATTCGACACATCAGCCGATGGATCTTGATCTGTATGTATACAATCCCATTCATCTTCGTAGTCTTCGTAGTCTCCATCTTTTATGTCTTCACAAATCGCTGGTGATAAAACGATCAAGATTAACAACACGAACGCGAGCAATACTTTTAAGAAAAGCTTCATTTTTAATATCGATATTTCGATGAAGCATCGGCAGAACTGACACCTTATTTTCTTAATCGAAAATCAACAATGGATCACGGACGTTATAATATCAACAACTCGTGGAAGTTTAGTACATTCTGTCGCGTTCCACCGACGTACCTGCTATTTATATTCTCCTTTAGACGATTATTACTCTTTCTCGTAGCTACCGTATGTAAGACAATTATTTACTTGTATGTGTCCTGAAATGAATCATGGGGAATGACCGACCAAGGAAACACTTCCTTGAAGATCATATCGCGAATAGAAACTTATCATATGAGTCAGGGAAGAAAATGATAAAAGAATCGTGTCTTTAAAGTCTCGTAAAAAGTAACATAATAATGTTCTTGTTCATGACATAAGTTAACCATGTCAATAGTAGCATCAACTTTCTGAAATTGTACAGAAACCGATTATAATTTCGTAACATATTTTATTATTTGCAGTAGAATACTAAGTTTTTAGTATAAAATTGAGAATAAAATTTTTGTAAGCCTTTCTTGGAGTATAATTATATATTTTATATATCTCTTACTTCCTTGTCATTAAAAAAACAAGTTCGTCCGGAGGGATTTGGCAATAGCACTTTATATTTATTGTACTTTTACACACAAGTAATTTAATTTTATAAAAATCTTATGTAACATGTTATAAAAATTTTGTAAAGTATATCTATTTTAATAGAAAAATAGTTGATAAAAACAATGTGCATACATCGTCCGAAGTTGACATTCGTCGAGTATTATCATCGGCTAACTTAACAAAAGTAAGATTTTAGGAAGATATCATCTGATACACATGTAAGACGTGTGTAAGTACGTAAACATTTTTTTATAAAAAAAGTTCAATGAACTATGATTCTCATGCGACACTTTGAACCGATATATTTCACTGTTGGCAAAATACAAAATAATTATACACAACTGACGGCTAATCTACTAGTTTGAAAAGTGAACAATATCTTCTACGTAGACACAATAAATCATAATCTAATAAAATTGCTATCGCAGCGTTGTTAAATAGTTATTAATATTTGTCCCATTTTGCTCGTCATTCTTCCCAATTTATCCTTCAATAAGTGTCTTCACAATTTACGCTTAACAAGATTCGTACCTTTTAAAAAAAATTATATTCCACTAATATAATAATCAAAGTATTTATATCTTACTGTCAAACTACTGTTATATTTAATAATTATTTATGAAAATGACGAGAACGTAATTACCTTAGTAAACGAAATTATTCTGCTACTCGACATCTCCCATCTTTGTCTGGCCGTTGATTTTCTGGGCATTTCTGTGATATATCTGGAAAACTTATGATATGACCGTCAGTATAAGTTATATTAGGTACACCAGAATCTGTACTGTTCCATACACCACCCCATGGATCATCGTAGTCTTTGTAGTCTTCATCTTCCACGTCTTCACAAATCGCTGGTGATAAAACGATCAAAATTAATAACGCCGGCGCGAGCAACACTTTCATGGAAAACTTCATTTTTAATGTCAAATTTAATATTTCGATGAAGCGTTCGATCAGCGGAATCGACACGTTATTTCCTTAATCGAAAATCACAAACGGATCACGGGCGTTACAATATCAACAACTCGTGGAAGTTCGTTACATTCTGCTGCGTTCTACCGACGTACCTGCTACTTATAATCTCCTTCGATTATGCAAGCAGTGCTTTTCATCGTAGCTATCATATATGAAGCAATTTTCTTGTTTATGCGTTCTGAAATATAGGGAAAAACCGATCAGTGAGTCATTTCCCTTGAAGATTATGTCATGAATAAAAATCAGTTATATGAGTCAGAGAAGAGAATGGTAAAAGAATAGTATCCTTAAAGTCTTCTAAGAAGTAACAAAATAATGTTCTTGTTTATGATATAAGTTTATGTTAATAACGACAATCGTAACATCATCTTTACGAAATTGTATGGAAACCGGCTGTAATTTCGTAACATCTTTTATTATTCGCAATAAAACGTTTAGTTTTTAGTATAAAATTGAAAGTACAAGTTTTCTTTCGGGGGAAGAGTATAATTATGTTTTGAACACATCCTACTTTTCTGTCATAAGAAAAACGTGTTTGTCAAGAGTGGCGACATTTTTTATTAATTGTGCTCTTACACACAACTAATCCAATTTCATAAAAATTGTATAAAGCATGTTATAAACATTTTGTTTAATATATATTTTAATAGAGAAATATCTGTTATAAAGACAATGCATATGTTTCTGTGTCATTTAAAGTTGACATTCGTCAAGGTCTCGCATTGAATAAATTACGAACGAAGGATTTTAGGAAGATATCGTCTGATATCTTACAGGACGTATAGGATGAAGCTTGAAGGACAGCTTTTTTACAAAAGATTATAACAACATGATTCCCATGTGATATTTTTAATTAGTGTATTTCACTACAATTCGCCAAACATTCATACATATAACTGTGAAGTTAACAGTTTAAAAGGTAAACAATGTCTACCATGCACACACAATAAAATATAATCTAATAAACATGTCATTGTAACATTGACATGATTAATATTAGGTGTACAAATGAATAATTCAAATTATCTTAAGCAGTAATGATATCAATTTTAAATTGAATAGATTTTCCCTCTCTTTTGTGATTATGCAATGTTGACATATAGCTATTAAAAAGAACATATAGTCTGGCGAAAGGTCCAATATAACCTTCAAAAGTATTCAGTTCAGTACAGTCGAAGATGGCAACAGATAAAAGGTGCATATCCGACACTGCATTCTTTACGAATTCCAACAAGGAAAAAATGCTGCAAGAGCGTGCGAATCGATTTGTTCGTTTCTCGGCGAAGGTGTTGTATCGTACGAAGTGTGCGCATTTTGGTTTAAGCGGTTTAAAAGCGGTAATTTTAGTCTAATCTACAAACAACGCCCTGGAGGCTCTCCGAAGTGCGATAATGATGATTTGGAACAACTGCTCGCTGAAAATTCGGCACAAACCCAAATTGAGCTTGCAGAACAGTTGGGAGTAACGCAACAAACGATTTCCAAAGGCCTACATGAGATGGGAAAGATCCAGAAAGAAGGAAAATGGGTTCCACATGAACTCACTGAAACCAACAAAAATCAACGAGTGGCAGCGTGTCTTTCTCTTCTCAATAAGCAACGTCGAAAGTCTTTCTTGTGGAAAATCGTTACGGGCGATGAGAAATGGATACTCTATGACAATCCGAAACGCAGAAAGTTATGGGTAAATCCCGGCGAATCATCAAAATCGGTCGCAAAACCCAATCGCTTCAGAAAAAAGGTTCTTCTCTGCATTTGATGGGATATCAAGGGCGTGGTTTATTATGAGTTGTTGGAACCGGGTGAAACAATTACTGCGGACTGCTACCAACATCAATTAATTTGCTTGAGTCAAGAATTGGAACGAAAACGCCCGTATACTGGCAAAGGAGAACGTCCAGTGAAATTGTTGCATGACAACGCAAGGCCACACGTTGCTTCCAATATAAAAGACACCATAATGAGTCTTAGCTGGGACGTCTTGCAGCATCCGGCGTATTCACCAGACATTGCTCCTTCCGATTATCACTTGTTCCAGTCGATGCAACACGCCTTGTCCGATATTCACTTCCAATCAGTGGATGAGATCCGAAAATGGCTTGACGACTTTATCGTGTCTAAAGACGTAACATTTTTCCGAGATGGAATTCATCAGCTGCCTGAAAGATGGCTTAAAGTTATAGAAAGCAACGGCGAATACTTTGATTGAACAATTTAATTTACTTTTTTTTCAAATAAACCTTGAATGTAACTGAAAAAATTGGATTATTCATTTGTACACCTAATATTTATCCCGTTCCGCTCGTCATCTTCCTTGATTTATCTTTAAATAGTCAGTTATTGTCTCTTAGTGATTTTCATTCAACGGATACTGTTCTTTAAAAACGATATCAGGTGTAGTAAAAAGAAATCCATTATTTTTGCATGAAATTGAAGGCTTTAATTACCATAGTTAGAATGATCCGATTTAGATCAAATATGCGCCGTTTTGTTCGATAACTTGTTGCCATTTTGAAGGTAATTTCATTATGCCTCTCTCATAGAAGCCCTCGTCCCTATTGGCAAAAAATTGAGACAGTCGATTTTCACAAGCCTCTCTTGAAGCGAATTTTTCACCAGCAAAATTGTTCGCCGTGGACAGGAACAGATGGTAATCACTTGGTGCCAGGTCCGGACTATAAGGTGGATGCATAAGAACCTCCCAACCAAGCTCCCGGAGCTTCTGTCACTATCGATGTGTGTGGCCTGGCGTTGTCCTGATGGAACACAATTCCTCTCCTATTGGCCAAAGCTGGCCGCTTCTGGGCGATTGCTTCCTTCAGACGGTCCAATTGTTGACAGTACAGTTCCGAGTTAAGAGTTTTGCCGCAGGGGAGCAGCTCATAGTAGATAATTCCCTGCCAATCCCACCAAACACACAGCAAAACCTTCCTCTGGCCGTCAATCCTGGCTTGGCCACCGTTTCCGCCGGCTCACCGCGATTCGACCACGACCGTTTTCGCTTGACGTTGTCGTAAGTGATCCACTTTTCATCACCAGTGACCAACCGCTTCAGAAATGGGTCGATTTTGTTGCGATTCAGCAGCGATTCGCAGATGGAAATTCGGTCCATGAGGTTTTTTTGCGTTAACTCGTGTGACATCCATACATCGAGCTTCTTTTTGTATCCAGCCTTATTCAAATGGTTCCAAACGGTTTTTTGTGCAATCTTTAGCTCTTGGGCAATCGAAACAGTGCTTACATGACGGTCGGACTCGACAATGTCCATGATTTTATCGATATTTTCGACAATTGGCCTTCCAGTGCGTGGTGCATCTTTGACATCGAAATTACCGGAACGGAATCAACGAAACCAAAATTGCGCGTGATTGGCTGTTACAATATCAGGACCATAAACACTATTCACATTTTCAGCCGCCTGGCTTGCGTTTTCGCCTTTATCGAAGAAAAACTGTAAAATATAGCATATTTTCTCTTTGCTAGTGTCCATCTTTGACGCGTGCTTAAACAAAACTGAGTCAACTAATCACAAAACTGTCAGAAAAGTTTTTTTAGTACGAAATCTCATCTTTCTAACGCCATCTAGTGGAACCCGATCGGACTTATACAACGCGAGATACAGATAACTAAAGCCATCTATTGGAAAAATAATGGATTTCTTTTTACTACACCTGATATATTAGGTAAATCGGAAAGTTCCGTCCATTTAACGACAAGTAGCTATAGCTAGAACTGTCGTTAACCTCTAATGTCTAAACGAAGCTTAATAGTTTATTTTGACATCTGTCAATAACATTCAGTACATAGAAATATACGTTTGCATCAATAACATTGATTTTCACTGCATCGAAAATGTTGAAATTTGAGCCAACTAAGCGTCATTTGCGCGAAGTGTTAATCTTTTGCTTCAATTGGAAGAAAGCTGCAGCTGAAGCTCATCGAATGCTTGTAGAAGTTTATGGTGATAATGCTCCTTCCGATAAAACATGCAGAGAATGGTTTCGACGCTTTAAAATTGGTGATTTTGATGTAGAGGACAAAGAGCATCTTGGACGGCCAAGAGTATTCGAAGACGAAGAATTGCAGGCATTGGTGGACGAAGACCCATGTCAAACGCAAAAGCAATTTACAGAAGCATTAGATTGTGCTCAATCTGTCATTTCCGATCGTTTTAAAGCCTAGGAAAGGTTTACAAGGAAGGAAAATGGGTCCCATATGAACTGAAGCCAAGAGACATTGAAAGGCGAAAAATCACCTGCGAAATTCTGCTTACTAGGCAACAAAGAAAGGGGTTTTCACATCGTATCATCACTGGGGATGAAAAATGGATTTATTTTGACAAACCCAAACGTCGAAAAACTATTTGCAATCCCGGTCAACTCTCAACATAGACACCAAAGCGGAATATCCATGGAAAGAAGGCAATGTTCTGTATTTAGTGGGATCAGAAGGATGTGCTGTACCATAAGCTGTTGAAAAGTGGTCAAACAGTCATAGGGAATCTCTACAGAGAACAAATGATCTGTTTCAGTCGAGCATTACACGAAAAACGACGAGAATATGAAACGAGACAGCATAAGGTGATTTTGCTTCATGACAACGCTCGGCCTTACGTCACAAAATCTGTCAAGGAAGCGTTAGAAGCACTTCGCTGGGAAGTGTTACCCCATGCGGCTTATTCACCAGACTGTGTCCCTTCCGACTACCACTTGTGTCGGTCGATGGCATACGCACTTGTTGAGGAATGCTTCAATTCTTATGAAAACGTCGAAAAATGGGTCTCTAACTGGATAGCCTCCAAATATGATTCTGTCATTCTTTCACCGTGGAATTCGCTTGCTGACCGAAAAATGGGAAAAAGTCATCGCTAACAATGAACAATGGTCCATCGTTAAATCGTCGTTAAATGATACTTTGATTGATGTACTTTTTCATTTTGTTTCTTAAATAAAACCATACGTTTTGCAAGAAAATGGACGGAACTTTCCGATTGACCTAATATATATATATGGGACATTCTCTGTCAAATCAGACACCTCTCTTGTCCAAAAATTAAGGTCACCTGGAAAATTGATTCGCGCCTCATTTTATAGCTATACATATATAGTTTTATTTCAGCTGTAGCCTTTTGAAAAATCAACATGACGGACCCCAATATGGTGGCCGAAGTCAGTAGGGAATGAGGCAAGACAGATGAAATTGTTACTTATATGTTTTGTACATCTCCTACTTTTCTGTCATTAGAAGAACGAGTTTTCAAAGAGGGATGCTGTGGTGGCACTTCTTGTTTATTGTTATGTATCTTACACACAACTAATTTAATTTTATAAAAAGCATATATAACATGTTATAAACATTTTGTAAAAAACATCTATTTTAATAGATAAATATTTGATAAAAACAATGTGTATATGTCGTCTGAAGTTGACATTCGTCGAGTATTGTCATCGGCTCACTTAACAAAGGTAGGATTTTAGGAAGATATCGTCTGATATACATAAGGCGTGTGTAAGTGCACAAGCTTTTTATAAAAAAATGCAACAACATGATTCTCATGCAACACTTTCAATCGACACATTTCACTACCATTTTCAACATATTGTTATACACAACTGTGAATCTGACAGTTTGAAAAGTGCTCAATGTCTGTCACATACAATAACATACAATAAATTATAAAATTATAAAATAATAAAATTGCTATTGGGGCGTTGTTAGACATTATTAATATATGTCCCATTTTGCTCGTCATTCTTCCCGATTTATCCTTAAATAATCAGTCTCTTAGCGATTTACACTTAGCAAGTTTCGCATCTGTAAAAAAAGATTATATTCCACCAATAAAATAATGAAAGTATTTATGTTTCACCCTCAAACCATCGTTATCTTTAACAATTATTTATGAAAATAACGAAAACGCAATTACCTTAGTAAATGAAATTATTCTACTACTCGACATTTTCCATCTTTGTCTAGCCGTTGATTCTCTGGGCATGATGGTAGATTTGGAAAACTTATGATACCCCAACCACTAACATAATCATTTTTCAACAAACTATTCTCATATTTTCGATATGTTGTATTCGATACATTAGCCGGTGGACATTGATCTGTCTTATTCCATATACGATCACACTCATCTTCGTCGTCTTTGCAGCCTCCGGCCTTCACGTCTTCACAATTCGTTGGTGATAAAACGAAGATTAACAACGCCAACGCGAGCAACACTTTCATAAAAAACTTCATTTTTAATGTCGGTAGTTCGATGGGGCATGCGATCGGCGGAACTGACACGTTATTTTCTTAATCAAAAATCACAAATGGATCACGGACGTTATAATATCAACAACTCGTGGAAGTTCGTTACATTCTGCTGCGTTCCACTGACGTACGTGCTATTTATATTCTCCTTTAGACGATTATTGCTCTTTCTCGTAGCTACCGTATGTGAGACAATTATTTACTTGTATGTGTCCTGAAATGAATCATGGGGAATGACCGACCAAGGAAACACTTCCTTGAAGATCATATCGCGAATAGAAACTTATCATATGAGTCAGGGAAGAAAATGATGAATGAATCGTGTCTTTAAAGTCTCATAAAAAGTAACATAATAATGTTCTTGTTCATGACATAAGTTAACCATGTCAATAGTAGCATCATCTTTCCGAAATTGTACGGAAACTGATTATAATTTCGTAACATATTTTATTATTCTCAATAGAATACTAAGTTTTTAATACAAAATTGAAAGTAATATTGAAAGTCTTCTCTTGAGGTATAATATAATTATATTTTTTAAACATCTCCTACTTTATTCTCATTAAAAAAACGAGTTCGCCAAGGAGAATGCGGTGGTGACACTTTTTATTTATTGCACTCTTACACACAACTAATTTAATTTTATAAAAATTACGTATAACATGTTATAAATATTTTGTAAAAAATATCTTTTAATAGAAAAATATTTGAAAAAAACAATATGTATATATCGTTCGAAGTTGACATTCGTCAAGTATTGTCATCTGCTAACTTAATGAAGGCAGAATTTTAGGAAGATATTGTTTGAAATACATTTAAGGTGTGTGTAAGTAAACAAGCTTTTTTTTATAAAAAAATGCAACAACATGATTCTCATGCGTCACTTTGAGTCGATATATTTCACTGCCATTCGCAAAATATTGTTATACACAACTGTGAATCTGACAGTTTGAAAAGTGTTCAATGTCTTCCACGTACAATAAATTATAATCTAATAAAATTTCTATCGCAGCGTTGTTAGACATTATTAATATTTATCCCATTTCACTCGTCATATTTCCCGATTTTTCCTTAAATAACCAGTCTCTTAGCGATTTACGCTTAGCAAGTTTCGCGTCCTTAAAAAAAAATATATTCCACTAATAAAATAATGAAAGTATTTATATCTCACTGTTAACCTATCGTTATCTTTAACAATTATTTATAAGAATAACGAGAACGTAATTACCTTAGTAAATACAATTATTCTACTACTCGACATTTCCCATCTTTGTCTCGCCGTTGATTTCCTGGGCATGTTGGTAGATCTTGGAAAATTAGGATAGAACCGTCAAAGAGACCACTTCTCGGCAAACTATTCTGGGGTCTTGGAGTAGTCGGTGGATTTTTATCTGTAGTATTCAATATACGATCCCATTCATCTTGGTCTTCTTCATAGTCTCCAGCATTCACGTCTTTACAAATCGCTGGTGATAAAACGATCACGATTAACAACACCAGCGCGAGCAACACTTTCATGAAAAACTTCATTGTTAATGTCGACGTTTCGATGAAGCAAGCGATCGTCGAAACTGGCACGTTATTTTCGAAAGTTTCGAAAGTTATAATCGAAGTCACAAATGGATCACGATTATAATATCAATAACTCGTGGACGTTCGTTACATTCTGCCGCGTTCTATCGACGTACTTGCTACTTATAATCTCCTTCGATTATGTAAGCAGTGCTTTTCATCGTAGCTATATATATGAAGCAATTTTCTTGTTTATGCATTCTGAAATATAAGGATAACCGATCAGTGAGTCGTTTCCCTTGAAGATTATATCACGAGTAAAAATCAGTTATATGAGTCAGAGAAGAGAATGGTAAGAGAATAGTATCCTTAAAGTCTTCTAAGAAGTAACTCAATAATGTTCTTGTTTATGATATAAGTTTATGTTAACAACGACAATCGTAACATCATCTTTCCGAAATTGTATGAAAACCGACTGTAATTTCGTAACATCTTTTATTATTCGCAATAAAACGTTTAGTTTTTAGTATAAAATTGAAAGTACAAGTTTTCTTTCGGGGGAAGAGTATAATTATGTTTTGAACACATCTTACTTTCCTCTCATAGAAAAACGAGTTTGTCAAGAGGGATGCGATGGCGGCGTTTTTATTAATTGTACTCTTACATATAACTAATCCAATTTTATAAAAATTTTATAAAGCATGTTATAAACATTTTGTTTAATATCTGTTTTAATAGTGAAATATCTGGTATAAAGACAATACATACGTTCTTGTGTCGTTTAAAATTGACATTCATCGAGTACCGGCATTGGATAACTTACGAACGAAGGATTTTAGGAAGATATCGTTTCATATCTAATAGGATGAATCTTGAAGGACAAGTTTTTACAAACGAATGCAACAATATGATTTTCATGCGATACTTTTAATTAGTGTATTTTACTACAGTTCGCCAAACATTCATACATATAACTGTCAGGTTGACAGTTTAAAAAGATGACGGTTTAAAAAGAAAAAAGATAAACAATGTTTACCATGCACACGCAATAAAATATAATCTGAAAAACTTACCATTGTAACATTGACGTAATTAATATTTGTCCTGTTTTGCTCATCATCCTTCTTGATTTATCTTTAAATAGTCAATTATTGTCTCTTAGCGATTTTGGTTCAGCGGATACTGCTCTTTAAAAAAAAAAAAATATATATATATATATGGGTCATTCTCTGTCAATCAGACACTTCCCCTGTCCCAAAATTGAGGTTACCTGGAAAATTGCCTCGGGGTTTGTAGCTATACGAGGGTGGTCCGATAAGTACTTAGCCTACAAAAGAAAAACGAAAATTTTGGAAAAGTGGCGATTTATTTCTCAACATAGTCTCCTTTTAGCTCGATACACTTGACCCAGCGATGCTCCAACTTTTTTAACCCGTCTGAAAAATAGGTTTTCCCGAGGTCTGCAAAGTAGGCCTTCGTGGCGGCGATGACCTCCTCATTCGACTCAAATTTCTGCCCGGCGAGTGACTTTTTCAAGTTTGGAAACAAAAAGAAGTCGCACGGGGCCAAATCTGGAGAATACGGTGGATGGGGCAGCAGTTCGTAGCCCAATTCGACCAATTTGACCGTGGCGAGGGCGGAGGTGTGAACCGGTGCATTGTCATGGTGGAAGAGCACTTTTTTCTTCGCCAAATGGGGCCGTTTTTTCTGCTATTCGGCGTCGAATCGGCCCAATAATTCGGCATAGTACAGCCCTGTGACCGTTTTGCCCTTCTCCAGGTAGTCGATGTAGATCACACCTTGTGAATCCCAGAAAACGGTGGCCATCACCTTTCCGGCCGATAGGACAGTCTTCGCCTTCTTCGGAGCACGTTCGCCGGGTGAAGTCCACTGTTTCGACTGTTCCTTGGTCCCTGGTGTGTACCAGTGGATCCATGTTTCGTCGACGGTCACGAAACGACGCAGAAACTCCTTCGGATTGCGCTTAAACAGCGTCAAACACTGCTCTGGAGTGGTCTCACGGTTGCGCTTGTTGTCCGGAGTGAGCAAACGCGGCACCTATCGCGCCGACAGCTTTCTCATGCCCAAAATTTCATGCAGGATATGACCCACGCGGTCTTTTGAGATGCCTACTGTCTCAGCTATCTCGCGCACCTTCAATCGGCGGTCTGCCAATACGAGATCGTGGATTTTTGTCATGTTATCCTCCGTGGTAGTCGTTTTCGGGGCACCTGGGCGTGGTTCATCAAAAGCCGACGTGCGACCACGTTGAAACTCGTTAAACCAATTTTTGACGGTCGCCATCGAAGGAGAAGAGTCACCGTACATAGCATCCAAGCGCTCTTTGATTTCGCTGCGCGATTTCCCTTCCCAAAACAAGAATCAAATCCGATCGACCGATATTGCTCTTTTTCCATTTTTCTAAAATCCGCGGACACGCCCGCTTCCACACGCGGTCAAAACAAAACTACGAATCCGATTCGGCTGAAATTTCGACAGTAGCCGTCTACGAGAATGTACTACACGATAGTAAATTTCTCTTGCGATAGTGGCGCCATCGGGCGGTGAGGCTAAGTACTTATCGGACCGCCCTCGTACATATATAGTTTTATTTGAGCTGTGGCCTTTTAAAAAATCAACATGGCGTACTTCAGTATGGTGGCCGAAGTCTGTAGGTAACGAGGTACAACAGATGAAATCATTATTTAGAAGTTATAAAACAGTTTCGATTTTCATAGAAATATGTGTTAATGGGTTTATTTAATAGCTAGCATTGAATCCATAAAAAAAATGAATTTTTAGTTGGTCCAAAATCAATAGCGGCCAAATTTTCTGTGAAATGCTAAAAAAATAACTGTTTCGTTTTTTAAAAATTACAGAATTGCGTTTAATTTTCATGAAAATTTATCATGATATATTTTGAGACGTGTTCATAAATTAGCAATCGGGACATTGTATTTAAGTATGACGAAAACCAATATGGCGGCTGTATATTCGAAAAAATGCTAAAAAATAATGAAGCCGATATTCAAATCATACAGACTCATTTTAATTATTATTAATTTGAGTGTTACGACATTTTTCAGTTGCTGTTCATCAACACGAATGTTTAATTTCAATAAGTCGAAACCAACATAACGCCCAGTTTATAAATAAAATGCTGAAAAATGATTATCATATAAAATGAAACTCACGAACTTTGATAAATTTTCATTAAAAAATTTCGTGTCCCTACAATCTTTTGGTCAGTAGTCACAAATTAATTATTTTTTCAAATATAGCCGGACACAACATAGTGACCAAATATAAATAATCTTTTATTATTCGCAATAAAAGGTTTACTTTTTAGTTGAAAAAATTAAAAATAATATTGAAAGTCTTCTCTTAGGGTATAGTTATATATTTTATATATAACTATACCCTAATATATTTTATATATTTTATACATCTCCTACTTTCTGTCATTAGAAGAATTAGTTTGTCCAGAGGCAGGAGGCGGCACTTTTTATTTATTGTACTCTTACACATAACTAACTTAATTTTATGAAAATTTTGTGTTATGAAAACATGTGATAAATATTTTGTAAAATATTAAGTGTCTGAATTAATTCGGTCCGTTTTTTTCCCAAAGAAAAGACTTTAGTGTGAAAAACATGAAAAAGTACACTAATCAAAGTATTTGCCATCGCTTGCTATTATGTTTTCCCATCTGTCTGGCAGTTGTTGCATTCCGTAATGGAAAAACGATTCGTCCTTCGAAGCGATCCATTCATTGAGCCATTTCTCTATTTCTTTATAATTGATGAAGTGCTGGTCCGAAAGTCCATGTGCCATTGATCTGAACAAGTGATAATCGGATGGAGCAATGTCTGGTGAATACGGCGGGTGAGGTAAAACGTCCCAGCCAAGTGCCTCCAAGGTGGCCTTCACAATCTTTCCAACATGTGGCCGAGCGTTATCGTGCTGAAAGATCACTTTGTCGTGTCTCTTTGCATATTCCGGCCGCTTATTCTTCAATGCGTTGTTTAAACGGATCAATTGTTGTTGGTAAAGTTCGGCAGTGATGGTTTGACTCTGTTTTAATAATTCATGATACACTACACCCTTCTGGTCTCACCATATACAGAGCATTACTTTCTTGCTGTGAATATTCCGCTTTGGTATCGATGTGGGTGGTTTTTCGGGGTCACTAATGGATTTCCTTCGTTTGGGATTATCGAAATATATCCACTTTTCGTCTCCAGTCACAATACGATGCAAAAAACCTTTTCTTTTTTGTCTGGCAAGCAAGATTTCAGACATGGCTTTTCGCCTCTCGATGTTTCTTTCTTTCAGTTCTTTTGGCACCCATCTTCCTTCTTTGTAAATCTTTTCCATGGCTGCCAAACACACAGAAATTGTTGATCGATCAACATTCAACAATTGCGCGAGCTCATGTTGCGATTGACACGGATCTTCATCGATTAGCGCCTGCAATCCCTCATCCTCGAACTTCTTCGGCTGACCTGGACGAGGTTTGTCATCGACACTGAAATCATCACTTTTGAAACATCGAAACCATTCTCTGCATGATTTATCGGTAGGAGCACTTTCACCATAAGCTTCTACGAGCATTCGATGAGCTTCAGCGGCTATTTTCTTCAAATGAAAACAGAAAATGAGAACTTCCCGGAAATGATGCTTTTTTTGGCTCGAATTTCGACATTTTCGAATCAGATAAACACGATGTTATTATTACAAAACCAAACGTTGATGAACTGAATATTATTGCCAGATATTAAAACTAAAAAATAAAGCCTATTGCAGACATTAGAGGTTAGAATATTACAGAATATTAGAATAGTACAGCAATTGACCGCCAGATGGACCGAATTAATTCACACACCTAATATCTATTTTAATAGAAAAGTATCTGATAAGTACAATGTGCATACGTCGGCCGAAATTGACATTCGCCGAATATTGGCATCGACTGAGTTAACGAACGTACGATTCCAGGAAGATATTGTCTGAGATGCGTATAAGACGTACATGTGCAGTTTTTTTTATAAAAGAATGAATTTTATAAAATGAATTAGAGAAGAAAAACAACATTCTCACGCGACTTTGAATCGATGTATTTCACTGCAATTCGCCAAACATTGCTATACATAATTGCGAGTTTGACAGTTTAAAACGTTTCTCACATAGACACAGAAAATTATAATCTAATAATAATAAAATTGCTATCGTTGCATTATTGGACACTATCAATATTCGTCCCATTTTGCTCGTTTGCCGTCATTCTTCTCGATTATCCTTGAATAGCTTAACGATTTACGCTTAGCGAGTTTTACACCTTTTAACAAAAATTATATTTCATCAATGAAATAATCAAAGTATTTATATCTCACAGTTAACCTATCGTTATCTTTAACATATTATTTATAAAAATAACGAAAACGTAATTACCTTAGCGAATAAAATTATTCTACTATTCGACATTTTCCATTTTTATCTAGCCGTTGATTTTCTGGGCATTGTGATAGATCTGGAAAATTTATGATATGACCATCAGTATGAGTTATATTCGGTAAACCAGAATCTGTACTGTTCCATGCACCACCCCATGGATCATCGTAGTCTTCATAGTCTCCATCTTCCGCGTCTTCACAAATCGCTGGTGATAAAACGATCAAGATTAACAACGCCGGCGCGAGTAGCACTTTCATGGAAAACTTCACCATTTTCAATGTCGTTATGTTCAATGAAGCGTTCGATCAGCGTTCGATCAGCGGAATCGACACGTTATTTTCTTAATCGAAAATCACAAACGGATCACGAATGTTACAATATCAACAACTCATTGAAGTTCGGCGACGTTCTGCTGCGTCCTACCGACGTACCTGCTACTTATATTCTCCTTCAGATGATTATGCAAGCAGTGCTCTTTATCGTAGCTATCTTATGTGAAGCAATTTACTTGTTTATGTGTCCCGAAATGAATCATGAGAAAAGATCGACCAAGGAGACGTATCTCTTGAAGATTATGTCGCGAATAAAAATTAATTATATGAATCAGGGAAGAAAGTAATAAAAGAATCGCGTCCTTAAAGTAAAAAATAAAAAATAACGTAATAATATTCTTGTAAAAAATAACGTAATAATATTCTTGTTTATTATGTAAGCTAACGACATCAATCGCATCATCTTTCCAAAATTGTATGGAAACTGACTGTAATTTCGTAACACATATAATTTCATAATGTATAATTTCGTAACTTTTATTATTCGCGATAAAACATTTAGTTTTTAATATAAAATTGAAAGTAAAATTGAAAGTCTTCCCTTGAGGTATAATTATTTATTTTATAGATCTCCTACTTTTCTGTCATTAGAAGAACGAGACTGCCCAGAGAAATGCAGTAGCGGTATTTTTCATTAATTCTACTCTTACACACAACTAGTCCAATTTTATAATCCAGTTTTATAAAAATTTTAGAAAACATGTTATAAACGTTTTGTTTAATATGTATTTTAATAGGGAAATATCTGGTATAAAGATAATGCATACGTCCTTATGTCATTTGAAATTGTCTCGAGTGTCTCGTCGAGTACCAGCATCAGATAACTTAACGAATGTAGGATTTTAGGAAGATATCGTCTTATATACATATAAGATGTGTGTAAGTGCGCAAACTTTTTTTTTAAATATGTAACATGATTCTCATGCGGTACTTTAAATCGGGATATTTCACTGCAATTCGCCAAATATTACTATATATAACTGTGAATCTGATGGTTTCAAAAAAGAACAATGTCTTTTACATAGACACAATAAATTATAATCTAATAAAATCGCTATTACAGCGTTGTTATCACAGTTATTAATATTTTTCCCATTTTGTCCGTCATTCTTCTCGATTTATCCTTGAATAACCAGTCTTTTAGCGACCTAGGCTTAACGAGATTCGCACCTGTCAAAAAAATTATATTCCACCAGTAAAATAATCAAAGTATTTGTCTCAATATTAAGCTATTATAAGTTATCGTTAACAATTATTTATGAAAATAACGGGGACATAATTACTTTAGCGAATAAAATTATTCTACTACTCGACATTTCCCATCTTTGTCTGGCCGTTGATTTTCTGGGCATTTTTGTGATATATCTGGAAAACTTATGATATGACCGTCAGTATGAGTTATATTCGGTAAACCAGAATGTGTACTGTTCCATACACCACCCCATGGATCATCGTAGTTTTCGTAGTCTTCATTTTCCGCGTCTTCACAAATCGCTGGTGATAAAACGATCAAGATTAACAACGCCGACGCGAGCAACACTTTCATGGAAAACTTCATTTTTAATGTCGATATTTCGATGAAGCGTTCGATCAGCGGAATCGACACGTTATTTTCTTAATCAAAAGTCGCAAACAGATCACGGGCGTTACAATATCGACAACTCGTTGAAGTTCGTTACAGTATGCCTTTCTCCATCGACGTACCCGCTATTTATAATCTCCTTCAGACGATTATGCATGCAATGCTTTTTATCGTAGCTATCGTATATGAAGCAACTTACAATACTTGTTTGTATATACTTGTATATACTTGTTTTAAGATATAGGTAAATAAGTCGACTAATGAGTCGTTTTCCTTGAAGATTATATCGTAAATAAAAATCAGTCATATAAAACAGAGAAGAGAATGGCATAAAAAGTCCTTAAAGTCTTCTAAAAAGTGATGTATACGTAATAATGTTCTTGTTTATGATGTAAGTTAACAACGTCAATCATCATCATCATCATTAGCATCATTTTTCCGAAATTGTATAGAAACCGACTATAATTTCTTAACATCTTTTATTATTCGCAATAAAACATTTAGTTTTTCGTATAAAATTGAAAGTACAAGTTTTTTCTTGAGGGAAAAGTATAATTGTATTTTAAACACCTTCTACTTTTCTTGTCAATAGAAAAACGAGTTTGTCAAGAAGGACGCGGTGGCGGCACTTTTTATTTATTGCACTCTTACACACAACTAATCTAATTTTATAAAAATTTTATAAAACATGTTATAAACATTTTATTTTATATCTATTTTAATAGAAAAATATCTGATATAAAGACAATGCATACGTCCTTGTGCCGTCCGAAATTGACATTCGTCGAGTACTGGCATCGTATAACTTAACGAACGAAGTATTTTAAGAAGATATCGTTTGATATACGTGTTGGATGCAAATAAATGAAGAACAGTTTTTTTTATAAAAGAATGCGATAACATGATTCTCATGCGATATGTTGAATTAATGTATTTCACTACGATTTGTCAATTATTTACACATATAACTGTGAGGTTGACAATTTAAAAGGTGAACAATGTTTACCATGCATGCGCAATAAAGTATAATCTGATAAACTTTTCATTATAACATTGATATGATTAATATTTGTCCCATTTTGTTTGTCATCCTTCTCGATTTATCCTTGAATAGTCAGTTATTGTTTCTTAGCGATTTTCGTTTAGCGGATTTCGAAAACGAAAAAAAGTTGTATTTTATGCAACAAAATAATCAAAGTATTTATGTCACACTATTAAGTTATCGTTATTTTCAGCAATTACTCATGAAAATAATGAAAACGTATTTACTTTAGTGAGTGAGTTTATTCCACTGCTCGACATCTCCCATCCTTGTCTGGTCGTTGATTCTCTAAGCATGATGGCTTATATGCAAGTCTTACGATATGAGAGTCAACCGAAATATTATTAATTGCTGGTAGAGCAATTAAAAATTTAATTAGTGGAATCGTGTGATTTTCGATGTTTTCACAAATCGCTAGTAGTAAAACGATCAAAATCAACAATGCTATCGCGAGCAATATTTTCAAGAAAAACTTCATTGTTGATGATGATATTTCGATGAAGCATTTGATTGACGAACGAACAGAATCGACACGTTGATTTCTTAATTGGAAAGCACGAATGGATCGCGGACGTTCCAATCTCAACGACTGATTGAGGTTTGTTACATTCTGCAGCGTCTTTCCGATGTATAACCATTATTTATAATCATTTTCAGAAGATTATGCAGGCAATATTTTTATCGTAGGAACAATTTATTTGGTTATGTGCTTGAAAACACGAGGTAAGACCGACCAAGGAGAGGTTATCCTTGACGATTACATAGAAAGGAATGAATCACATCGATTAAGTAGAGGGAGGGGATAAAGGAATTGCGCATTCGAAGTCTGACAAAAAGTGACATAGTCACTCGTTGTTGACATTAATTAATATCGTCATTCGTTTCATCATTTTCCTCAAATTGTGTAAGAATCAACTGTAATCTCGCACATTTTTTATAACCCGCAATAAAATGTTTAATTTTCAATATAAAGTTGGAAATACGAGAGCTGTTTAATATGTCAGTGACTGAAATGAAAGATTTTGAAATGAAAGGATTTTTTTTTACCGAAATTCGGTTTATCTTTCGACATAGTCCTCTTTTAGTTCGACACACTTTGCCCAATTGTTTCCCAATTTCTTTAAACCTTCCAAAAAATACGATTTCTCAAACTCTACAAAATAGGCGTTTGTTTCAGTGATGGTCTCCTCGTTCAATGAGAATCTTTCTTCATTGAGCTGGTCCATTATCGTGAAAGAGAATTGGTTTCTTTGTCAAATCGGGCTGCTTTTCCACCAATTCAGCGTAAAATCGATCCAATAAAGAGGCATAATACTGTCCTGCGATCGTTCTTCTTTTTTCCAAGTAATTGATAAAGATCATGTCATATAAATTCCAGAGAATTATAGCCGTGACCTTTCCAGCCGATGGAACCTATTGTGTGTTTGGAGCACGTTCGCCAGCAGAAATCTATTGTTTTGATCAATCTCATTTCTGAAACGTAGTGATGAATCCATATTTCATCAACGGTTACATATCGCCGCAAAAACTCACTTGGATCGCTCTTGAACACGTTTAAACTGCTGTTTCGAAATGATCGCGCGATTCTGTGTTTAGTCAACTATGAGCAAACACGTTTTAATGATGGCTTTCTTATATCCAAATGTTTATATGCAGTTTATGTGAAAAATACGTTCGTCTGAGGTAGTTGCTCATCTACGCGATATCTCGCATATCTTTACTCGATGATCGTCCAACATAACCAAGGAACAGAGTCCTCAGAATTCTTTTTTAGCTTTTCTTCAGTTTCTTCAATGGTTTCTTCACACAAAAAATAGTGCTTTATCAGCACACAGAATCCACTTTTTTCTATTGCAGCAAAGAGACACAAATTTATCCGCTTTCGACAATGTCAAAAGTTTCTATTTGACAGATCTATTAGAGATATGCAAAAGTTCCCATTGTTCATGTATAAATGGCATTCTGAAATATTTACATGAAAATTGCGACGCGTTTTTATTACATTATATCAGTATTGGCCAATCTGCATAGAAACTGATGCAATAAGTCATATTTATTGACATAAATATCTTTAATTCATATGAAGATAAAAGTCGATAAGTCGATAAGTCGCATATTCGCCATTGTATGTATTTTTATTTCATCAGCGCAAAACAGTTGCCGGAGCAATCAGAATTATTTGCGAAATTTATGGTGAAGGAACGATAGCTGAAAGTTCATGTCGTGAGTAATTCCGGCCCTTTAAAAGTAGCGATTTTGACTTGAAAGAAAAGAACCGTGCCGGGCGACCGCAAGAGATGAATTTGGATGACTCGGAAGCGTTATTTCAAGAAGATTCGACTCAATCGAGTGTAGAACTTACGAAAAAGTTACATGTTAATCAGAGCACTGTAATTCGATTTTTGCATGAGATGGGGAAAATTCTGAAGGAAGGAAAATGGGTTTTCCGTGAATTATTCCAAGAACGCTATTGCCAGTCGAGTCATCATTTGCCTTTCACTGCTCAATAGACACAAATACAAATCTTTTTTGTATCGAATAGTGATCGGAGACAAAAAATAGATTTATCATGACAATCCCACTCACTAAAATCCCGGAGTGGGTAAATCCCGGACAACCTTTCACGTCACTACCAAAACGAAATATCCATAGTCATAAGGTTCTCCTGTGTATTTTGTGGGACATGCAAGGAATACTATATTGTAAGTTATTAAAGCCATCTCAGACTATCACCGCGGAATTATACAGTCGACAATTGAGGCAGTTGAATGAGCAATTGATCAAGAAACGGCCATATTTTGCGACAAAGCAAAGTGGTTCTTCCGCACGACAATGCCATGTTGCATTATTGACGAACCGGGAAACTTTAATGGAATTGTAGTGGGAAGTTCTACCACATCCGGCATATTCTCCAGATATTATCTCATCGGATTTTCACTTATTTCCTTTTATATAGCACAGTCTTCCTAGTATACGATTTTGCGATGTTGCGGAAATGCAATGATTCATCGATAACTTCATTCATTCCAAGAGCAAAGACTTCGTGATATCCATCTTTTGCGCGAAAGATGGCAAAAAGTAGTAGATAATGCCGGAAAATATTTCGATTAAAGATACTGTGTCATTTATAATAATATTGATAAAAAATATTGTCTTAAAAACGACGGAAACTTTTGCATACCCCTAAAATATGAAATTTTATATATACTATTGTGATCAAAAAGTATTCGAACTTTATTTTTTAAAAATCGCGGGTAAATTGCAAATCAAATCCGTTTGCTTTCTCAAGTTGGTACACATGTCCTTCACATTTGGTGAAAAAATCATGGCATTTCTTCAAGCCGTTTGAAAGTGTTGTTTATGTCAGTGAAGATTGTTATGCACGGCAATTTTTACGATGTCGAAAAATATGGAGCAAAGAATTTGTTTGAAATTTGTTGTGTTGCGAGCGAAATTTCGTTCACAAACGCATTCAAAATGTTGCAAAAAGCTTATGGTGATGATTGTTTATCGAAAACAAGTACGTTTGGGTGGTTTACGAAGTTTCAAGAAGAACGAGAATCCGTTGAAGATGACCCACGCTTTGGAAGACTTTCAACGTCAACGGATGACGCTCACATTAAGAAAGTGAAAGAATTGTTGCTCCAAAATCGTCGATTGACTGTGCGAGAGATAGCAGATGAAGTTGGAATATCATTTGGATCGTGCCAGCACATTTTGTCCAATGTACTGAACATGAAATGCATCGCGCTTGATTCTGAAAAACTTGAATTTTCTGCAAAATTTTCTCTAAAATCTCAATGAATGTCGCTTCGCAAGCACCGTATTCACCAGACATGGCCCCCGGCAATTTTTTCTTGTTTTCCCTACTGAAAAAACCATTTCGCGGACAGCGTTTCGAATCGATTGAGGAGATCAAAGAAAAATCGCTGCGTCAATTGAAGGCCATACCGTCTGCCGCGTATGAACGATGTTTCCAGGACTGGATCAAACGCCGGCATATGTGCGTTGCAAGCAATGGGGACTACTTTGGAGGAGACTATAAGAATTTTCATGATTGAATTATAATTTTGATTTTTAAAAATAAAGTTCGGATATTTTTTCATCACAGTATGTATACTTAATGTTAAAAATAAAATTAGACTTGCAATTTAAACGCCATCTCTTGTCAAAGTCATTGACTTATCAAACAGTCCTTGTACAAGGTTTCTTGAGATATAATTATATCTTATGCATTTATGCATTTATCAAAAAAACAAGTTCGCCAAGAGCGAATCAATGGTGGCACTTTTTATTTATTGTACTCTTACATTCAACTAATCTAATTTTACAGGAATCTTATAAAATGCTTTATAAAATTTTGTAACATATTTTTAATAAAAAGATCCCGTTCTTGAAAAGTACAGTTCGCGGGAATATTATTTCGAAATGAGAAGATGTTAGAGACTCTCTGATAAGAAAGGATAACAAGAGGAGGACGTTTATATAACGCTCGTACGGCGGAAGGCCGTGAGTCATGAGAATATTCGCAGCTGACAAATGAATTTTTTCCTGCTAAATAGCACGTCCGATCTCGCGAGTATCTCGGGAATGCTTCGTTACGCCGGCAGTTGTAGTGGCGAACGGAACATCTTAACTAATGTAGTGGATGGCAGAGACGAAAAGCGCGATATCAGCATACGTGAATTTTGTAACAAATTGGCGTATCGTTGACCGGTAAGGCCGCGCGAGACCGCCTCTCTTTATATTTATAATAGCGAGCCTTTTATCATCCTGATCGTTTTTCGCGGCACGGCTAACTGCTCCATACGCAGGGCAATTAATTATGAGTAGTCTGCATTAATCTTTGCAAATTGGAGCCGAAATCCTCGGAGTACGCCCCGCAATTTATAGCACTCCCTATACATCAGATCTCGTAACAAAACCAAACCGTCCTATAAAACAAACGCGCTTTTCTCCTTTTTCAGCCTTTTGCCTCCCGACTCAACCGGACGAGCCGGACAGAGAAGAGTAGGGTCTTTTGTCACAGGAGTGAGTATTACGTCCGCCTTGATCGTCTTCCTATGGAATTTCTTAACTGATGCAAACCTGCGCGAAACGGAACAAAATTCTGCTCACACGTGAACACTTCGAGAGCGAATAAGCAAGACGCGAATTACTCGTCACCTTTTTATTTCGCCACTTTACGGACACAGGACTGATACGACTGCTTTGTTTTTCAACGCTCGAGAGAACATCTAAGTCTTTGAATCTCACGGCCGAGTATCGCGATGCTACAAAAGCGTGTGCGACGAGTATTGCGGTCGCGTCTGTCGGTCACTCGATCTGGTCGAGAATCGACTTCTGCGTCTCGTAAATCCTCTGGCAAGATACCGTCATCAGTTCCTGCTCCCTGAGTGTGTACGGCAGACGAATGACCGATTGCACGCCGTTTCTGCCTACTACGCACGGTAATGACATGAAGATATCTTTCTCCATTCCGTGTCGGCAACCCTGAAATATGTTTCACGTTTCTTCACAAACGGAAAGTGCTTGCTTTACCTATGAAACTCAGGTTTGCACGAACGATACTAATTTACTAAGGTAAACGGCTCATTTTCTCACCCTGATCCATTTATTGACCCTCTCGATATATTTTAATTTTAGCTATTTCAGACATTTTGAATGAATAATTATCATTAAGTCTCTTGACTGAAACAGAGAGCCACGCTTTGAAACTGTTTTTCCGTTTTTTTTATGTAACCAGTGTCATGTGAGCCGTGTTATATTTTTACAGACTTTTATAAACATATGAGTATAAAATATTATAAAAGTTGTATGATTAAGTTCAAAAAAAGCAAAATGTTTGTTCTGTGTGTGACACGAAAACTTTTCTTTCGACATTGATTTTCCGACTAAAGACGAATTAATTAGTGGGTCATACCTTCGGGGCTATGTCTTATTCATTGACTATGAAGTTACTACGCATTAAAATCTGTCCCCATATCGATTATATATCTCAATATTCGAATATTATGAATTATTAAATGTAATTATTTAAATACAGTTTTACTTGATATTATATAATATGATATAATAATACAGAAATATTTTCTCACGTTCATATATTAGGTGTGTGAATTAATTCGGTCCGTTTTTTTCCAAAAAAAGACTTTAGTATGAGAAACATGAAAAAGTACACTAATCAAAGTATTTGCCATCGCTTGCTATTATGTTTTTCCATCTGTCTGGCAATTGTTGCATTCCGTGATGGAAAAACGACTCGTCCTTCGAAGCGATCCATTCATTGAGCCATTTCTCTATTTCTTCATAATTGTTGAAGCTGGTTCAAAAGCCCGTATACCCATCGATCTGAACAAGTGATAATCGGATGGAGCAATGTCTGGTGAATACGGCGGGTGAGGTAAAACGTCCCAGCCAAGTGCCTCCAAGGTGGCCTTCACAATCTTTCCAACATGTGGCCGAGCGTTATCGTGCTGAAAGATCACTTTGTCGTGTCTCTTTGCATATTCCGGCCGCTTATTCTTCAATGCGTTGTTTAAACGGATCAATTGTTGTTGATAAAGTTCGGCAGTGATGATTTGACTCTGTTTTAATAATTCATGATACACTACACCCTTCTGGTCTCACCATATATGGTACAGAGCATTACTTTCTTGCCGTGAATATTCCGCTTTGGTATTGTTGTGGGTGGTTTTTCAGGGTCACTAATGGATTTCCTTCGTTTGGGATTATCGAAATATATCCACGTCTCTAGTCATAATACGATGCAAAAACCTTTTCTTTTTTGTCTGGCAAGCAAGATTTCAGACATGGCTTTTCGCCTCTCAATGTTTCTTTCTTTCAGTTCTATCGCATCGTTCAGTTCAGTCGTATGGCACCCATCTTCCTTCTTTGTAAATCTTTTCCATGGCTGCCAAACACACAGAAATTGTTGATCGATCAACATTCAACAATTACGCGAGCTCATGTTGCGATTGACACGGATCTTCATCGATTAGCGCCTGCAATTCCTCGTCCTCGAACTTCTTCGGCTGACCTGGACGAGGTTTGTTATCGACACTGAAATCATCACTTTTGAAACGTCGAAACCATTCTCTGCATGATTTATCGGTGGGAGCACTTTCACTATAAGCTTCTACGAGCATTCGATGAGCTTCAGCGGCTATTTTCTTCAAATGAAAACAGAAAATGAGGACTTCCCGGAAATGATGCTTTTTTTGGCTCGAATTTCGACATTTTCGAATCAGATAAACACGATGTTATTGTTACAAACCCAAACGTTGATAAACTGAATATTATTGCCAGATATCAAAACTAAAGAATAAAGCCTATTGCAGACATTAGAGGTTAGAATATTACAGAATATTAGAATAGTACAGCAATTGACCGCCAGATGGACCGAATTAATTCACACACCTAATACATGAAATTGTGGGAATTTGTTTGTAAAATTACATCGTGACAGCATGAAGACTTAAAAATTGGGTCGGCAATGAGGTCAGAAAATGCGGTATCAGTGCTCTCAGAGAGTTAGGAACATCGACAGCGAGCTGGTATTTTTAAATAAATAATTTTATTGTAATTTCTATATCTATTTACTTGCAAAATAGATGTATCTTCTGCAGAAAACTTTGATTCACAGGACAAAACTATTAGAGGTATGCAAAAAAATTTCCATTGTTTTTAAGGCAATGTTTTTTATAAATGACATAGCATCTCTAATTAAAATATATTCCGGTATTATTTACTACTTTATGCCATCTTTCAAGCAAAAGATGGATACGATAAAAGAAGTCTTCGCTCTTGGGATGAATGAAGTTATCGATGAATCATTGCACTTCCGCCACATCGTGAAATCGTGTACCACGAAGATTGTGCTGCGTAAAATAAGTGAAAATCCGATAAGGCAATATCTGAAGAATATGCCGCATGTGGCAGGACTTTTCATTGCAATTCCATTAAAGTTTCCCGGGTCGTCAATGCAACATGGGTTCTAGCATTGTCGTACGGAAGAATCACTTTGTTTTGCTTTGTCGCAAAATATGGTCGTTTCTCGATCAATTGCTCATTCAACTGCCTCAAATGTCAACTGTATAATTCTGCGGTGATAGTCTGAGATGGCTTTAATAACTCACAATATAGTACTCCTTGCATGTCCCACCAAATACACAGGAGAACCTTATGACTATGGATATTTCGTCTTGGTTATGATGTGGAAGATTCTCCGAGATTTATCCACGATCTTTAGTGATTGGGATTGTTATGATAAATCCATTTTTTGTCTCCGATCACTATTCGATACAAAAAAGACTTTGTGTTTGTGTCTATTAAGCAGCGAAAGGCAAATGATGACTCGACTGGCAATAGTGTTCTTGGATAATTCACGGAATGATTAACATGTAACTTTTTCATAAGTTCTACACTCGATTGAGTCGAATCTTCTTGAAATAATGCTTCCGAGTCATCCGAATTCATCTCTTGCGGTCGCTCGACACGCTCCTTTCCTTTCAAGTCAAAATCGCCACTTTTAAAACGCCACTCACGACATGAACTTTCAATATTCGTTCCTTCACCATCAATTTCGCAAACGATTCTGATTGCTACAGCAGCTGTTTTGCGCTGATGAAATAAAAAAACATACAATGGCGAATATGCGTTTTATCGTCTTATTCCTTCTTCATACGAATTAAAGATGTTTATGTCAATAAATATAACTTATTAAGCATCAGTTTCTATGAAGGTTAACCAGTACTGACATAATATAAGAAAAATGCGTTGCAACTTTGATGTAAATATTTCACGATGCCATTTGTATATGAACGATGGGAACTTTTGCATACCCCTAATATTTATGATCAATTTCATCTTACCTTGCTTCCATAAATAAACAATAACTATCTTTGCTATTCTTAATGAATCAATAAGTGGGCCGTTTACCTCACACTTGCATATCGAAAAAGACTTCATCTCTCAGCAATCTGCGAAGGCAATATTCAAAAATCTCTAGTATCTCTACTTTCGTATTTCTTTCGGGCTCTTTTTCCGTTATGCAAGTCTCTCTGTCCCAAGCAAGATGGATTGGTATATCGCTAAACAAAAGCGTAGTAATTTTCAACAAATCTCATCGTTAAACCTTCATGTACGTCGAGACGGTGAAACAGGCGCAAGTATTGCGCACGATGGCGTCGACTACCTCGCTCGCGCAGATGCCCATCCCCCAGCTATGATAACCCTTTCTGGCGATCAGGTTGTTGTCAGTATCGATGACTTTCGTATGCAGATCGCCCCACGATTCCGGGTCCTCCTTCGTACCGATCTTTTTGTTTATTTCCTTCAACGGCAAGCCCATGCACGCAACGGTCGACCAAACTGGCACTGGTGCGTATTCGAATGCAAATGAAAGCGCAGACATTAGTGAGTAACGAAAAGACTAATTGAGAGAAAGATAATACTATACGAGGCAAAACGCTGCGATCAATTTTTGTCAACGCGTTCATTACCAGAAGCTGGTCCGCTCTCTCCGATGATCAACGCTTGAATCATGCTCGCTGAAATGCCAAGTTTCTGTGCGACAAAATATTGAAACCTGCAGCTATCCTGAAACGTTCCTATTCCGATCACGCGATTCGGTGGGAATCCCGACAGCTTCATGGCGACGTACGACAAGATGTCGACTAAACGAGGAAATCGGAAACGATTATTCCACATAAGAAGAACAAACGCGTTCATTACTGACTTGCGTACTTTTGTATGTGTAATATCTGTCTGTGATATAAATATTTTTTTAACGCAGGATTGGGAAATAACTCGTTACTCGTAACGAAGTTACAGTTATTTTTTTTGTGACTGTAAACTAACTTTGTTCCTTTTCTTCTATCCATAATTGTAACTTAACTTAGTTACATTTGTTTGATAATTAGTAAAAACTAATTTAATAATTACTTTAATAGTTACTTTATATATATCAAACCTAAGTTTCTGGCAGACCAGCACAATAATGCGACTTGCGATACTTGATATCCAATAAGCATATAGTTATTTTGGCTGCACTTGGAAAACGCTATTGCGTCATCTATCTTTATCGTTCATTAGATGTAAAACAAGAGTAAAATGACATAATAGCGCTGATAGTCTCCCCTCCAAACGCAACCTGTATTCCTTTCAAAAAAGTTGTATGCCTATTGGACATTTCTGTCGCGTGTTGCCAGTCTTTATTCGTTAACATAACCTGCTTTCAGCATGAAGTGCGCTATGTGGTTTCAGTTATATAAAAAATTCAAGCAATAAATAAAACATTCAATCTTCGGAGAAGGATTATAAAATGCCTTGGCCAGTATATGCAGAAATATTCGAGTTACAACTTCGAGTTAAAACTTGGAAACGAGAACAACTGGGCATTTCCTTGCCTAGTTGTTGTTAATAGTCTTAAAGAACAAATATGAATTGTTTACTTAAATTGCTTATTTAAATTAATGAATCTAATTTGTATAAATTATATACAATATGAGGAATATATAATAACACAGGCCTGCAAAATTTCAGAAACTTTATGCGTTTTGGATTTCAAAGGTCATTTCCTACGTAATTTTGTCCGCTGAATACGAATCCGGCCTTAGGATTTTTCTATCACGTCAGGTTTTCGAGATAATTACGTTTAAATAGCCAAAAAATGCTGTTTTTCACAATATTCAACCGATCACACCGATTAGGTTTGTATGATTTTGTGTTTTGGATGTCAAAGGTAATTTCCTATGTAATTTTGTCCGCTGAATACGAATCTGGCTTTAGAATTTTTCTATTACGTCAGGTTTTCGAAATTTTAGGTTGGCAAATAAGCTCGTTCGGTTTTTGTTGCAATGTAAGTTTCATGCGGATTCGCTTTTATTTTCTCACCGCTATTGTGCAAATCGAATACACATTTGAAAGATTATGTTTCACTGTTTATGTCGTGCTGTGTTTGGTTTGGCTAACATCAGTATTGTTTGCTGCGTAGCTGTGAACATGGAAATAAATAACGTGCATTACCGTCATATTTTGCTCTATTATTCTGAAAAAGGCAAACGAGCTGCGGATACTCATAAAAAGATATGCCGTGTATATGGAGATGATGCCTTAACAGAACGCGTATGCCAAAAGTGGTATGTCAATTTCCGTTCTGGGGATTTCGACGTCAATGATGCGCCCCGCTCCGGTCGCCCGACCGAGATTAATTCAAGTGACATTAAGGTTATAATCGAAGTAAATTCATCCCAATCGGTACGAGAGATTGCTACGACATTGCATATATCCCACATAAGCGTAGAAAAGCATTTGCGCCAACTGGGATACGTTTCTCGGCTTAATGTTTGGGTGCCGCATCAATTAACCGAGGCTAACTTGAGCACACGCATATCCATCTGCGATTCGCTACGGAAACGCCAAGAAAACGACCCATTTTTTAAACGAATGGTGACGAAAAATGGGTCATCTACGATAATGTAACGCGTAAAAGATCATAGGGGCTCATCAGCGAGCCACCGCAAACCACCTCCAAAGTGGGATTGCATCCGAAGAAAATAATGCTCTCCGTATGGTGGGATTTCAAGGGTGTCATCTATTACGAACTGTTACCGTCAGGTGAAACGATTGATTTAACTGTATACTGTTCGCAATTGACGAAATTGAACCTGGCAATTCGCACAAAACGTCCAGAATTGGCAAATCGCAAGGGTGTCGTCTTCCACCACGACAACGCCAGACCTCATACACGTCATTGACCATTCGGAACAAATTGCTTCAGCTTAGCTGAGATGTTTTGCCTCATCCTCCGTATTCACCAGATCTTGCCCCTTCCGATTATCATTTATTCCGGTCGCTGCAGAACTCTGTGAACGGAAAAACCTTCAAGGATGAAGAGACCGTTAAAAACTACTTGGATTGGTTTTTCGCCGATAAGTCCCAGACGTTTTACGCGGTATAATGAAGTTGAAGGTGGAAAGATGGTTAGAGGTCATCGATAAAGATGGCTAATATATAATTGATTAAAATTTATCTTGTGTATCAAAAAATTGTGTTTTATTCTACTCTAAAAAACCGAACGAACTTATTTCCCAACCCAATAATTAGGTTTAAATAGTCAAAAAATGCCGTTTTTCACTAGACTACCCAGCCACTGAAGACAAGGCTAAATGATCCAGCCATTGAAGGCAAGATTAAAAGGGTGCCCAGCCATTGAAGGCAAGATTAAAAGGCTGCCCAGTCATTGAAAGCAAGGCTAGATGATCCAATTACTGAAGACAAAAGCGAAAATGTTAATAAAAAAAGATTTTATTTATCCTTCACAATGGGGAGAAATAGAGTCAAAAGAGCATTTCTTGGACTTTTTACTATGAACCACATCAGGAATGTCTCGCTTAATACTCCAACAGTAATCTGCTAACATATGAATATCCCATTGACCCTGATATCTTTTTTCCATCTCTTTAATATCCTGATAAAATGTTTTCCTTTGTTCCTCGCTTACGCTTCCTAAGCTACATTTAGGGAAGTAGTCAAGATGGCTTTTCAAAAACTGTATCTTTAGATTCATATTGCATTCTAATTTCATAAACTTTTCAAGCATGTTATTCACCAATTCTTCATAGTTAGGATCCTTTTTGTTTTCCAAGAAACCCAGAATCACTTTCTTCAATGAAACCCAAGCTTCTCTTTCTAAACAAGTCATTATTTTTTCAAATTTCTCGTCTTTAGTAAGTAATCTAATTTGAGGTCCAATAAAAATACCTTCCTCAATCTTTGCATCACTAAGATGAAGAAACTTTGTACAGAGGTATTTAAAACAATTTCCTTCCTTATGCAGAGCCTTCACGAATTGCTTCATTAAACCCAATTTTATGTGCAACGGAGGTAACAAAATTTTATTAAGATCAACTAACGTTTCATTTATTACATTTTTCACGCCAAGTTCCAAGCTTTTTCTTACTTTCCATTTTTTTCTGTCCAATGAAGTTCTCTGGCTCTATTATCCCATTCGCAAAGAAAACATGGGAATTTGGTGAAACCTTTCTCTTGTCCTAGAAGCATACATAAAATTTTCAAATCACCGCAAATTAACCAATTGTGTTGTTCATAGTTAATATATCCCAACAGTGTTTCTATGTTTTCATATGTTTCTTTTAAATGAATTGAGTGTCCAATAGGTACAGACGCATATATTCCCCTATTGTGAAGGAGAACAGCTTTTAGGCTTCGTCTTGAGGAATCAATGAAAAGTCTCCATTCATTAGCATTATAAGATTTTAATCCCAAAAAATGCATCAAGTCAGATACATTATTGCAGAAAACTAATGAATCTACCATAGAAAAAAGAGGAATAAATTCTTTTCCACGATGTCTGTACCAAGAAAACGTTGTTTCTGATTCTAACAAATGCCTTTCATTCAATCTGAATCCCAGTAACTTTGCACTTTCTTTAGATAGACCTAAATAAATCTCTCACAAGATCATTTAAAGCAGACTGATTGAAAGGCTTTGGACTATTGTCATCAACCGGATCGATTTCAAAATCTACATTGTTCTCATCAACAGGATCGTCGTTGTCTAAAGATGGTAAAGAAAGGTTCATTGGTGGAGAAGGAATAGGAATATCAGGTCCATGAAAAACAGGTCTTATAGCGCATGAAAGTGTTGTATAAGAGATGTTCTTCTTATTGCGAACATTATAGCCCGTGATTTGGCATGAGCAAAAGTAACAGTTAGTTATATGATCAATTGGTTCACGCCAAAGCATTGGAATACCAAATCGCATGCTACTTCTTTTTCCTTTCAATCAATATCTCAATTCTTGATAGCAAGTTGTACAAATTGTATAAGGAACCCATGGTTTATCAAGATTTTTTATTTCAATATTAAAATATTGAAAATAACATGTTTTGATATTTTGAGTTATAGGACTTTTTGCTTTTGCGGAACGTATTCACCAGATGTAGCAAAATTTATCAGGATCGTTTTTACACTTTCGCGAAGCCATTTCATTAAAAAAAAATGTATGTATTAAAGAGAACAAATGAAATATGTAAATATTTTACACACTTTAAATGATATGTTATAATAAGGAGGATATGTTATAAACAGGATATATGAAGTTATTATTGCAGCATAGTGTTACAAACCTAATACTGCATTAATTTCACGTCAGTTCTGTGAAGTTCCTACTTTTATCAATGAAATAGCATTAATTATGCAAGCAGTTCAGAATAATCAAGAGCCTATTGTCATAATTTCCTAAAAAATTTTCACCGTGTTAACGATGTTTTTAGTTGGTATATAATATTATAAAAATAACTTCCAAAGAATCCTATCTTTTTATTTTCACTTTTTTCTTACTGTGTACAATAGAGTATTATACTTTCTTTCATTTTATGATTTTAATTTTTTTAAATTTTAAGTTATAATTATCTCGAAAACCTGACGTGATAGAGAAATTCTAAGGCCAGATTCGTATTCAGTGGACAAAATTACGTAGGAAATTAGGACTAAAAAAAATAGGACTATTGAAATTTAGAACGCAAAATCATGCAGACCTGTGTAATCAATAAACTGCTTTCATTTAAAATTGAAGGAATTTACACAATTACGAAATTTAAAATAATAGCACAATTGTTGTGAAAGAGTAACTAAAAAGTCATGTCTCGTCACTTTTTAAATAACTATAACTTAGAAATATGCGAACTATTCGAATTCGAATCAAATCAAATCGAATCTAATGTAATTCGATTCGATTCGAAATCGAATAATTCGAATAGGAATCAAATATATTATCGTTTGCGTGCATCAGCTACAAAACGGGCCATCTGGGCCTGTATGTTTGAACTCTTAATTTGTAATTAACTTAACTTATAATTAATAACTTAATTATAAATTACTTTAAATATTTAAATATATATTTTACTTTAAGATGATATTATAATATCAATATTCCCTTTCATATCTTCCATCATTATTTGCATGTTTAATAGTCATGTTAAATTTTTTAATGATTCGATTCGATTTTATTCGATTCGATTCGAATTCGAGTGAAATTTCATAGATTCGATTCGATTCGAATTTAAAAAATGAGATTCGGTTCGATTCGACTCGACATAAAAATTCTTGATTCGCACATCTCTACTATAACTGCAACATGTTATTTTTGAAGGTCAGTAACTTGTAGTTGTAACCAGTTACTTTTTCAGTGAAAAAACTGTAACCAGACACTTTTACAAAGTAACTTTCCCAACCCTGTTTTAACGTATATATAAAACAGCTTGTTAGTTTTATTGAGTTGGCTAATAAGTAATGTCATATTTTTCTGTAAGAGATTGTTTCTATTGTTTTTAAAACAAAAGACTATTTCTAATCCATAAAAAACGCATATGTAGTATAAAAGCTGAAATCTTTTAATGTACCTTAAAAAAAAAACGTTCATTATATTTGGTTAGATCTTTCGGTTTATTTAAAAATGAATAAATAAATGGAATAAATGAAATTAAAGAGTTCTATGTGATATCGAATTTACTAATTGAAACATTTGGCACAAATGTCCCGATCGTCAATTTTACGAAAGGTTGGTTAACCCAGGGTCAAACGCGCGGTAACACGAAATACCTGGCCTGGAGAGGACCAGAAGAACGCTGTTCGGCGCGTACTTGCAGACATTCGGGATGATGTCCTTGAAAATTCGCAGATTGTGATCTAGATGATCCACCGGCTGCTGATGCTCATGAGACTGATTCCCAACGGTGATCACGCACACCGCGGCGTCTCGGGCGCAAGCGTAATCTATCGAAGAGTAATATAGCGCCGGGTGATTGATCATTCGGTGTAAAATAGTCGGTCTTAAACGGGAGTTGGTTTTTCCCTCTAGCGCAACGGTACCCAAAGGAAAGGCGCGCCCAAGCGCGATTGCGGAGACACTCGGTCAAAGGTCAAGGCACCGACCGAGGCGAAACTGGATTTTATTATCCAAGTAGACGTCGCGCGCGCGCAAGGACAGCGACCTGCGTGAACGTCGCCTTCACTACGATCTTATCACTAATCACGGCCGCGCGATATACTTATCCGGGCATTAAAGCGTCACTCGTTGCGAGATAATTGCTCGTTACCGGTGGCGAGCGTAATGACGGCCTCACCGTTTCCCTTCTTCCCTCCCTCTCTGCAGCCCTCACCTTTGGTGCCAATAATCTTCGGATCGCCGAGGTACACCGCCGCGTGGCTGATGTCTTCTGCTTCCGCCTTGGCGAGGTCCTCATTCGCGTCTATCAGGATGAGCTCGGAGGCGAGGCGCTGCGGAAAATCACACGGGGGATGAACGGGTAAGGGGAGACAGAGAGACGGAGAGAAAGTGAGAGAGAGAGGGAGGGGGGAGAGTAATTAGCGGCAGCCGTTGGCGTTGGCCAGCGGGCAGCGTTATTACGCACTTGAGATCGTTACGCAACGGACATCAGGCCCCCCCGGGAATCGCATTAAGGCACGCGAACGAGCGCGCGATCGATCGCGCCACTCGCGAGATCCCCTAATGCGAGAAATCGTTAGGATCCGACACGGCGTCTGTCAAGAAGCGCCGGCTGGGCGGACGAGTCATTTTCGGAAATCGTTTGCCGATCTCCGTCAACCAAGTCGTCGTCGTCGTTGTCATCGTCGTCGTCGTCGTCGTTGCTGATGACACTAACGGCGCTTTACGTAAGACGATAACTCATTCGTGAATAATTATGGGACCGGTGGCCGGCTTCTTCTCCGCCCGTTTCCCGGCCGAGGGACTTCTGTCCCTTCGGCAGCCGCCACAGGATTTAACCGTGGCCCTCTCCGATTCGTCACGGAATGCCAAACTGGCATGAAAGAACGCCTCGGCGACCGTTTGTCCGCAGATGCTTCATTTTTCTTCGACAATCGTAGCTTCCTGGTAAATTCTTTCTACTTTCTATACGACTTTATTATCATCGCTTGCCGCTTGACGTTTTTGTCCCTCGAAGAAGTTTATTTATATTGATATATTTATTTATATATATATATATATTTATTTATATTGATATATTTAGTTTATTGATATATATTAAGAGTGTGATTTAGTTTTTTTTTAAACAAATTTACTTAAACAAGATAATGAACGAATATCTTAATCAAAATATTTTCCTTCGTTTTCTACAACGTTTTTTCCCATCTCTCTGGCAAGAGATGGATTCCGCGACAATAAAAATATTCTTCTTTGGAGTTGATTCACTTTTCAACAAATTTTCATACTTGTTCGAAGTTATGAAAGTGTATATTCTCTTGAGCAGAGGTTCCCAATCGAGGATGCGAGAAAATATTTTTAGGAGTGCGAGGAAAAGTGATTGTAATTAATAATGATTAAGATGAATTCTGGAATAGTCTGGCATTTTTATCATCAAATTAAAAACAATGTTATTAAAATTATGTATGTTTTACGTATCTGTACGTATATATTCATTACGTAACACTATGCGAAGCTTGATACCATGGATAATAATTCAATATAATATTAAATTTTATAATATTAATATTATAATATTTTATAATATTAATTATAATATTAAAATGATAGTTAATTTCTATAGAACAGTACTATGTATATAAATTATTATAAAGTAACTTCTTACTTTAAAATCCTAACAATTAATTTGTACCATAAAACATATGAATAATTTCTTTTGTAGGGACGTTATTAACATTAATAAATTTTTAGGAGTGCGATTTATTATTATTATATTATTTATATTACTATTATTATTTATATTACTATTATATACGACACTCGTCGTATATAATATTTTCTTTATATCTGATTTAATCTTTCCTTAGCGAGAAGCTCCCCACACACTGTGTTGTATCGAAATAATTTTTCTCGAGTAAACTTTACCGAGTAATAAATTCAAACGCACGCTCAGGAGACAACCGTGAGCGCCTAAATCGAGATTACTTTCCAAGGTGGTTTCGAATCCCGTGATAGCCTTTGCCGCTTAAATATACTCACGCAGAACTGTCGTCCCACCGACGATCTCTCGGTGGGAGCCGGACTTAAATGCCTGCGTATTAAATATCGACACAGATTTGGCCCGAGAGATACGCAGATGACGTATCTCTCTTTCTTTCTCTCTCTCTCTCTCTCTCTCTCTCTCTCTCTCTCTCTCTCGCTTACTCTCGGCCGAGGGTTTTGTCCGCTATAATTTGCACAGCTTGATACGAGCGGCCCAGCGCTGCGCGTAGTGTCGCAGCGAGCGGCAACGGTAAGGGGAGAGAAAACAAGAGGAAGACGAATGTCTCGCGCGTGTAGGAACCGCTCGAGAGGAACGTGGAGAACGGTAGATCCGCGAGGTGGACAGTGGGCAAGCTTTAGTAGTCGTACGCGCTCGTACTCGGCGATCATCTCGTTGATGCGATCTGCCGAGTTACGACGCGAGGTGCAACAGCACGGCACGACCGTATCTTTTCGCTCTCTTCCTGCTCTCCTGCTCTCGCTGTCGGACTTTACGACGACGATCGCGGTCACGTTGGACAAGCGCCAGTGAGATTTCGGCTCTCGCGGTGATCCCGAACAAACGTTGGGAAGGTTCCACGCATCGCGCGCGTCGGCTTTAATGAAGGCCGACTGTCGCGCCGGAGGAAGCCATTCGTCAGCGTCGAAGAGGCCGAGGCAGCTCCGAGGAAATCCACGGCATTAATATGACGCGAGACACGCGCAATTTCCTTTAAAAACTGTTATCGTCCGCGGTAATGAGCTCTCTAATATCCTAGTTATCCTCGATACCCCTGTGACCTCAAGTCTCTCTCTCCCTCTCTCTCTCTCCCTCTCTCTCTCTCCCTCTCTCTCTCTCTCTCCCTCTCTCTCTCTCTCTCTCTCTCTCTCTCTCTCTCTCTCTCTCTCCCTCTCTTTCTCTCTCTCGCTCTCTCTCTCTCTTTCTCTCTTTCTCTCGTAACATCATCCGACAAGGAGGCTCTCGTCTCTGCCAGATACGCCCTCCGCGCACCAACGTATGCGAGCTCCATTGTTTGCCCTCGTAAATTTGCGGAAACCGAAACATGGAATTAGTCCCCCACGTTTATTACCTTCTACCGGAATATAACGAGTGTATGGATCGGTCGACGCTGCTGCGCACCCCCTTGTAACCTTATAACTTCACGCTCCGTCCATTTTGCCACATTGCACCTTGATAAAGCTAGTTAAGGTCATTAAGTATGAGATGTCCGATTTCGAATCAAAAGTTTGGTTTATTATACCTCAAACTAGAAATAGTACAATTAATCAGTATGCGCCTAAACTATCGACACAGTTCTGCCATCTTAACGGTAGCTTATTTATGCCAGCAGCGAAGAAGCCTGAAAAGTGGATGACGATGAAATTGCGGAAGGCGTTTTATACAGCTTGTTGAGAATTGAATATTTTTCCCTGCAAGAAGTGGTCCAGTATCTGGAAGAAGTGATAGTCAATTGGTGCAAGGTCTGGTGAATACAGTGGGTGACAGAGAGTTTCCAAGTCCAGCTTCTGTAGTTTGAGCAACGTTGTTTGTGCGACATGTGGTCGAGCGTTGTCTTGCTAGAGGATTGGCCTGTCTCCATTGACCAATCTCGGTTGCTTAATTGCAAGCATCCTCATTTCGTCCAGTTGGTTACAGTAGATATCCGTTGTAATCGATTAACCAGGTTTCATGAAGCTATAGTGGGTAATACCAGCGCTGGACCACCAAACAGACACCATTAGCTTTCTTTTGTGAATATTCAGTTTCGAACTGTGTTTCGATTTCGAATTTCATCCATGTCTAACTATTGTGCCGAACGCTTGCAATTGTCGAAAAGAATCCAAATTTCATCACACGTAACAATACGATGTAAAAATAGTTCGCCTTTATATCGTGATATTAAAGAAAGGCAAACTTCGAAACGATTTCTCTTCTGACGTTCGTTTAATTCATGCGGAACCCATCTATCCAGCTTCTTTACCTTGCCGATTTGTTTCAAATGATCCAATATTATTGGATTAGTAACGTTGAATCTTGCTACTAATTTATACGTAATTTGAGATATATCCGCTTCCACTACAGCTTCCAGTTCATCATTATCCACTTTGGTCTCGGGTCGCCCACGTGATTCATTTTCAAGATTAAAATCGCCAGAACGAAACTTCTCAAACTATCGACATATTCTGCGTTCATTAGCCACATCTTCACCAAACACTTCGTTGGTATTTCGAGTTGCCTGCACTGCATTCCACGACGGAACTCATGTTCGAAAATAACACGAACTTTTGACTTATCCATGGTTACACAAAAATTGCTTTAATAAAGACAGCTCGAAAGATAATCACAAACTAAAACATGCGTTTGGAAGAATGATAATATACCTTCGTAACAAAAAAAACCAAGAGCTGTAAAAATGAAATGTCAGAGATATCGACTGTCGAACTTGATACTTGAGAAAACTGAACATCTCATATTTAACGACCTAATAATACAAGAATGCGTGACCCCATTCGGGACGTAATGGAGAGCCCGGAATTTCCCCGCGTTTCGCATTACTCTCGGCTCGCAAGTAGGGTTGCCAGATGGCCGAGATTTCTGGGAATGTCCCAGAATTCTTAAGCCTGTCCCGTGTACAGGAATTTAAGTCTTCTCTCCCGGAAAGTGAGAATTTCAACAAAATCATAATCATAATATTCATGTTTCTAACTGGTACTAGATAGAAACCTGAGAGCGGTCACCGCGATTTATAGGATCGAATTTTTCGATCGGGTCACCTAAGAAAATTGATGTCAACTAAGCCATTCGCGTAGTGAAAAATAGAATCGCACGGTTTATGTCCAAACTTCTGTCTGCTGGTACCTAATTCACGCGTTAGTTTATCGCAAGTACACAGCGGCATCTCTTAGCCGTCTTACCCCTCCATCTCTCAAAGAACATTCGCAAAAAATGCTCGTTTTTCAGTTCCCGATTTCTTAATTGAATTTTATGCGAAATGATAGCCTATGATGAGATATTAATCATAAAAAAGTTTTACATTGAGCATATGATTGGTTTCGGAGATATGGAGGGTCAAAGTGGTCACTACCTACTAAGAAAGTATGATATTAATAACGCTTTATCGTACAAATTTTTGCGAAATCGGGTATCTATGAGTAAATTGGGTATTCTTTGAATTGCTGATTACGAATCTAATGTCAGATTTTTTAAATTCAAAATGGCGGATGTAACATGGCGGACACAAATAGTGAAACAATCATCTATCCCAAGTTAGATCACTGTACTTTGAGGTTCACGATACAACAATAAATAATATGGAAAACAATCAATTTCTTGGGTTCCCTCAGCTTGAGCTAAATTATTTATATTATCTTAGTCTTTGTCCATATCAGGTAAATAATTCCATCTCATATTACGCTGAACATCAAAACAAAGGAATCTTTCTTGTGCACAAGTTTGAACCAAATTCTAGATACCAATCTATTACTATTAATTATGAAAACTATGGTATTGTAATTGAAAATCCCTTACTTATCAAAGCTTATATGAAATCACGGTACCGCAACGGGAAACATCACATTTTTGTTCTCATCAGGACAAATCCAAATCCGAATGAGACTCAATAAGAGAATATTATTGTACGTACGAAAGTGGCGCTCGAACTATCGGCTGTTGCAGCTACGTTATGACGATAGTCTGGTACCTTGGATACGATCATTATAACGGAGTGCATATACCCAATCCCGGAATCTGCAATGTATTCATAACCATTCACAAAGAGTGAATTCGAAAATTAATTAATCTTGCCTTCACTGGCTGGATAACCTTTTCATCTTGCCTATACTGAAGGTAAACGTAAATCTGATAGAAAATTCGCAATTAGCTAGCCGAAAAAACCACAACATAACAGTTCCAATAAAAGTAAATGATTGTTTCACTATTTGTGTCTGCCATGTTACATTCGCCATCTTGAATTTTTAAAATCTGACATCAGATTCGCAATCAGTAACTCAAAGAACCCATAAATACCGAATTTCGCAAAAATTCGTGCGATAAAACGTTATGTCATATTTTCTTAGTAGATAGTAACTACTTTGATCTTTCATATCTTTGAAACCAATCGTATGCTCAATGTGAAACTTTTCTGTAATTAATGTTTCATCATAAGTTATCTCTTGACATAAAATTCGATTCCATAATCGAGGACCGAAAAACGGACAGAAAATCCACCCTTTTTGCGGAGGTTCTTTAATTTTCTAACAACCTATTTTTCAACCGTCGCCTAGAAAATGTCCCGGAAATAGTCACTTCGCATCTGACAATCCTACTCGCGAGGGTCAGTTACGCGCGCGAAGCCGCGAGGAACCTTCGCGGAATTCGCGGACGCTCGCTAGCCGTCGAAGCGACTGCGTTCTCGTGTGTAACGACAAACGTTGCGCGAGGACTGATAAATTTCCGCCGAGTTCCGCGTTACAGGCCACCTACTCCCCGCGAGCCAGCGATATAAATCAGTCGGTCGGTCGTCCCGCGGGGATGGCATAGTCGACGTGTAAATGCTCGCGTTACGACCCGATAACGAGCGAAAGGATGCGCGAGGCCCGCTCCTGCGTGGCTTCTCTGTCGCGCCCTCTTCCTCCCGCCATCCGCCTCCCGCCATACCCCGCACCTATATTGCCGAATTCCCTCTTCTGGTCTTCTGTGGGTCATTTGCATAATAGCCTTTTTGAGCCGGCACACTAACGAGCTTACATTCAGGACTTCGTCCTACGTAAGCCTGCACGTATACGTAAGCGCGCACGGAGCTGCACGAAGCGCCGCGCCGCGCCGGCCGACGTTCTCCCCGTCGTCCTTTGTTGCCTCTGCAACTCCGAGTTATCTCCTGAGATCCGGGCAACGTGTGTGCGCGCGCGCACGCGCTGTTGTATCGCGCTTTTGATTCGGCCGAACAAATACGAATTACCTGGCGGAGCCACGCGGACACGCTGTGTCTCGTTCATCGCGGAATCATCGAGGACGCGGCTTAGATTGACGTTCGGAACGCAGTAAGGCACGGATCGATTACGCGCGCGCACATTAATCAACGCTGAGACACGCGTTTCTCGCGCTGGCGAGACGGGGCTGTGAGCTGAGGTATTGACGCCGACACGCGCGCATCAGGAGTTTTATGAGCGGTTAACGGTGATACGCGCGGCATGTATCGCCGTCTATTCCGTGGGTCCGTTCTTTTCAGCTGAATTAGCGCTGCACTGAAACTGCATACCCAAAAAAAGTATTCTATCTGTAAAGTGATCTTTCCCATAGTCTCATATTCTAAGCGAAGCCTTTTACAGAAAGAGGATTCCTCTTTCGATAAAGCGATTAAAGTGAACCATTCATCTAAAATTTATTAGATATTATTCCAACTATTCTCCTCTGATTTCCAGAGGATTTCCTCTTACATCAGTCAATTTTCCTCTCATATGAAGAGGAATATGTTGATTTGAATGTCAGCTTCTTTCGTTCAGTCACGCTCTACCTCCAGACATGAACGAAAAAATAATCATAGGTCAGAATATTTGAAACGCTTTTTAAAAAAGGTATGTATGTTGCTGTAACATATAACGAAGATAATTTACCTATATTTGGTCAAATAAAAGTTTATAATCTATTGCAAGAAGTTGAATAATACATTCTTTCTTTTAACTATGTTCCATACAATTGATTATGATGAACATCTTTGTAGCTGTGAAGTCCATAACAAAACTATTTGGAAATTTATTTGTTATGATGATCTTATTTCATTCGTGCCTACCTATTGTAGAACTGGAGCCAGAAGTACATGTATATATATATATATATATATATATATATATATATATTACTTTTCGCTGTACATTATAATAATTTTTTTCAAATTAACTAGTATAACCAGTAAGAATAAAGTACAGTAAGAATAAATAATCCTCTTAGAAAAAGGTTAAATAATCTGTGTATAAGAGGAAATTTAAATTAAAATCAATAAGATTTGCATTATATATATAACGTATAATCCCTCTAACTTTAAGAATAATGTGTTTATAATATTTTCCTCTTAATCTTAGAGGAATCCTCTTGAGGACTCATATAAGACACATATAAGAATAAAATCCTCTAAAATTTAAATAATTCCGCTTGTTCTGAAATTACTTTTCTTTGGGTGTAGGATAGAAAAGAACGTCATAGTGCAGGAAACAACATAGTGCAACACGTTATTGCAACTGTTGGTGATTTTTCAGATGAAGATTTTATTTTACTTTTATGTACCTCTATTACATGAAGAATCTATCTGGGATTAAGGACATGGGACATGGGAATATACTGTTATTTCATTCGGCATAACTGATTAATATTAATAAAGTGAAAACTGCAGAAGTATCTAACAACCTGATAACTGTAGGTCTGTTCTTTTCAAATACACTGCCTGAACTAGTATAAATTTTGTCCTAGCAATGTACTAGCTCCAGACCTACAGCGAACTGTTGCACAAAGTTCTGTTGCACTGGTGGAGAGAACAGTAACATCTGACGTCATTTCTGCTAAAAAAAAAACACATCACGCTTCTTGAACTAGTACAGAAAGTTCAGCTGAAAAGAACAAACCCTGTGTTTTATACTCGAAGGTAAACGTGAGGTACACATAGAAATCCACATATCTGGGGTGCAAAATAACAATGACGCGCGTGATCTTTAGACGCGTGTGTCGATTCTTTGTCTGATAATAATGCAATCACGACGATGTAAGAAAATGACAGGAATCTCACGCAGAGGAGGGTTATGATGCATCGAAAACGTCAAAGTGACGAGCGAGAGAGGAAACGAAACTGCGCCGTGCTAACCTTGAAGAGGACCGCTATAGCGACCGCGACGCCTTTGGGCGCACTTCCGACGACGACGACCTTAATGCGATCGCCATCCGCAAGCTGTTCCGGCTGTTTGTTCAGCAGGAAAGTCTTCGTGTTGCCGGCGGTTGTTCTCCTCGATTCCGTCATACTCGGCACATCGATACTTTCTTTCCTCGCCTCGATGCGAAGCCACTGCTGACAGCGTTTTTATACGACGAGTCACACGCCGCCGCTTGACATCTCTCTGGCTGATACTCCGCGAAATTTTGCGCTCCGTTGAAAGTCACGCGAGACAGCCAGCCGGGAAAGAGCAGACAGTCGACATGAAAAAAATACTCCTGACAGGGAGGCGATGAAGTTGACGGCGGATATGTAGCAAGTAGCTTCACTGTCGATTCGAAATGGCTACGGTAAAATTGGATATGCGATAAGCCGGTCGAATTGCTTTTGCATCGCGTGGAACGTGAGAGAGCTCCTTCTTCCTCCCGTATCCCTCCTCCCTTCTCGCTCTGTCTCTCTCTTTCCTCGCCCGAGAGAGCCCGACGTGTCTTGTACGAGTCCGCGATGTACCGTACGTACATCGGAGATGTGAACCTCCGGTTATCTGCCGTAGCCGGAGATATACAATCCGATTAACACGTTCGATCGAACGAGCGAAAAGATACTATCGATCAATCCAATCGCGCTGTACAGAATCAATTATCGGGTCGGGAAAAAACGCTCGTTACGAAGTACAATGCGCGAAGGAGCGAGCGCGTCGCCCGCGCCGCTCGGCAGATGTAGAGAGAGACTCGCTCGCTCGCTCGCTCGCTCGGCCGACTCGTATCGCCTCGTCCTTCACGCGCTTTTTGTTTCTCGCCGACTAGAAGATCGCGGAATTATTGATCGACAGCTGTTCGATTCGCACACAGGTGGGACGCGCCCCGAAAGTATCCTGTTAAAGGATACTTTCAATTTCCGTTTCGACGGATACCCGAGAAGGGTATCCTCAGAATCGATTTCCATCCTCCCCCCCTGAATTCGAGCCAGTTCATTATCATCACGGATGCAACGATTTCTCAAAATATCGATAACGGTATTATCGTCATTCAGAACTATCAATAACGATAATATCGATAATTTTGAAAAATATCGATATTTATATGAAAAAATGTATGCATATAGGAATACATTTAGAGGTATGCATATGAAGGGTATGCACGAAAAATTTGAAAAGATCATTCAAAAATTTTTATCTTCGTATAATTTATTGTCGTATTCTTATTAGAAAATATATAATGAACCTCAGTCATTTGCCGGAGATCACCACATACACGAAGCAGGAGATTTATTACGGTTCAACGATTGAGGTGGAAATTATAAAAGTGAGCGAATTTACTAGACATCGAGCAATTACATAATACATATATATTCTAGTGAATTCACTCACTTTTGTAATTTTCATCTCGGTCGTAGAATCGTAATAGACCCCCAGAGCTGTAACTGAAAAATACGAAAATCAGCAAAATTCATATCGATACATCGATTTTATCGCAGACAAAAAGTATCGATAAATATTCGACATTCATCTCTCGATATATCGATATTTCGATATTATCGATATTTATCGTTGCATCCCTAATCACGGGCATATAATCCTATTTCGTCCGGACGATCGCTCGGACGACCTTCCGCGCTCTCTTTTCCGAGCAAAAGAGCGGAATGTCGAAACACGCGCGGGTCATATGCGAGCGCTCGTCTCGAGCACACTCGTGAGGATACACGCGCAGCGAACGGAACGTTATACGGGGAAACATAAAAGCTAATGTAGAAAAAAAGGTTGTAGCTTAAACGATCCAATCTCCCTCGCGCTGCCGCGGTCCGAGCGAGCGGCTCAGCTCGCGCTCGCTTCGCGTGCAACGGGGAGTGCATTTTCATCCGACCTCTCACCTTCCCGCCGTGCATCGCGTTCGGCTGCGTAAATCAAAATTCGATCGAGCGAGAAAAAGAGGTGCTCGGTAATAAGCTCCTCCGCACGCGTGCTACATTGTAGCTACGCGGCTTGAGCGTTGCATGTAGCAACGATCGATCGTGGGTAATCTTAGGAGAGCGCGGCCGCCTTAATTTTCCAGGAAGTCGAGTTTCACTGCTCGTATATGTCGTTTATTGTGACGCTCGAGAGCACGCGCGCGCGGAAACCGGTCGCCGGCTACGGAATCGCCGTTATTGCTGAAGAGACGCGCTTCTAAACCCCGTTGTGTCCTCTCCTTCTTCCTCCGATCCTCTGCTCTCCCTCGCCCTTGTGACTTCCGCCGTGGATCTTCCGCCTCTCTCGCCCTCCCGCCTCTTCCCCGGCTCGCTCTCGTCACTCCTCAGTTTCGCAAAAAATGCCGCACTCGCGCAGCACAGCGCGAATGTTGTCGGCGCACCGCTGCACCGCCGCCTTCTCGTGATCGTTTAGGTTCTGCCGCATCTTGGCGTACACACCCTCGCGGCCGAGAACACAGGGCACCGACATGTACACGTCCTTGTCGGTCCGGTGGGAACGGCTCTGCGAACATAGACTCCGTCAGCTTGCTCGCAGCCCTGTCGAGAGTAGGGTTGCCAACTGCCCGGTTTTGACTCGGACTGTTAAGTTTTCAGAAGTCTTGTCCAGTGTCTGGTTAATAAGTCAAACCGGATGTCATATGTCCGATTTTTAAGTTATTGCAATATATTCAACCAATGGAATGAGAGTTCAGAATTTTTAGCAACGTTTCTCCGTTTCAAGCGTCTACAAACGATCGAGCGCCACGAAAAGCCATCTAGTAGATGATCTGCCGATCCATCATTCCATATATATTAAAAAAGTAATAGTTTATTATTTTATTTAATCAAATCTTGTAAAATTGTTTGGAAATTAATATTGTAAATAAATTCTTGTCATATTTTATATTTAATGTAACGTTATGATTATTATTTCTGTCCAGTTTAGTCCGATTTGGGTTTGTTACCAAAGAAGAAATGTCCGGTAATTTTAACTTTTGGATTTGGCAACCCTAATCGAGAGCCGATCGACATATGACTCGGCGCGTCGCCGGCCGCGTTCGTCCAACGCGCGCGATTCTGTGTGACGCCAGTCCTGGAAAAGGACTGCACCAGGAGCCATTCGACAGTCGATCGAGCGAGAGTAGGTGAAGGCTCCAACATGTGGCTGCCATCTTCTTTTAATCGACATCGCGCGCGTTGAGGAAAAAGAAAAATTTTATTTCTAAAATTGGTTCAGTAGATTACGGTTTTCTCTCGCATCAACCGTGTCGCATTTGGATTTCCTTTGAAAAAGCATGTTAGTGGAGAGAGAATAATAATTTATGTAACACCGTAGAGTCGTAACACTCTGCCTCGTTTTCCGGACCAGATCGTCGATTAACGCATTTTCCCACACGCAGAAAAATATTTTGTAGTAACAACTAAAAAATGGTTCAACTAGAAAGTGGTGGTGAAGCGAGAGGGCGTTGGGGAAAATGTATTGAAGTGGATGGAGGCTATTTCGATTGACAAGATATGTATAAAGTATGTCGAATAAAAGTTTAAGTACACAATTAAAAAATAGCCATTTCATCTACAACAACCTAATAAAGGGTGTCCCAAAATTCACGCAAGAAGTAATTTTGATAGAAAACATAGGTTTATAATTAAAAATTGTAAATTTTTTATTGATTCATAAAGTATACAGTATAGGGTTATGTATGGAATACATATCGGGTAAATGGCTTCCACGACTTTGCTGGCACATATGCACTCTTTTGAAATTTTCCATGACCGTTTTGTATAAATGTGGCTGAATTTCGTTGATACAGCGCTCAATTTCCTCCTTCAAGGCGTGGATGGTCGTGGGCTTGTTGGCATAAACCTTAGACTTCAGAAAACCCAAAAGAAAAAAGTTCAACGGCGTTAAATCGCATGATCTGGGCGGCCAAATCTGATCACCAAACGGGAAATTACACGACGACGAGGAAATGACTCATGCAGTAATTGAATTGTTTCTCGGGATGTATGGCATGTGACACCGTCTTGTTGAAACCACATGTCGTCCATATCCATATCTTGCAGTTTAGGCACAAAAAACTGGATTATCATGTCGCGATAGCGAGCCCTATTAACTGTTATTGCCTGACCAGCCGCATTTTCGAAGAAGAATGGTCCGATGATGCATCCAGCCCAAAATTCACACCAAACAGTGACACGTTGTGGATGCATTTGTTTCTCAACAATCACTCATGGATTTTCTGAACTCCAAATGCGACAATTTTGTCGATTAACCAAGCCATCAAGATGAAAATAAGCCTCATCGCTGAAGATGATTATGTTCGAAAAATCAACATCCACTTGTTGTTGCTCCATAATCCATTCAACGAACTCTCTTCGCTGTGCGTAGTCAGTAGGCTTCTGTTCTTGAGTCAATTGAACTTTGTAAGCATGAAGATGCAAATCTTTCGTGAGAATACGTTGTAAAGAGCTTCTCGAAATGTCCAATTCTTGACCACGGTGCCAAATTGATGTTCCTGGACTCTCAACAACACTCTTACGAACTACTTCAATGTTTCGTGTTGAACGACTTGTTGAAGGACGGTCAGAGTGTTTAAGATCACTAATTGATCCAGTCTCCCTAAATTTTTTAATTAATACCTTCACAGTTGATGAAGTTAAATCACTATTCCGACCATATTTTGTACGAAAATTGCGAACTGCAGCTGTCAAATTTTCATTATTTTTCAAATATTGCTCAACAATGAAAACACGTTGTCCTTTCGTGCAGCACTCCATTTAAAAAACCCTGAACTGTCAGCTGTCACGCTGTCTTTTTTTTTCGTTGGCAACACTTTACCGCACAAATGGCGCAAAATTCAAATCTTGCGTGAATTTTGGGACACCCTTTATAAAAAGTATGATTTAGTTTTGAGAGTTTTGCAAGAGATGGCACTAATGTCAGTTTTCGTCAGATGTCGAAGACATTTCAATCACAGCTATTGTTTCTTGATGCTTTAATATTAATCCATTAACCAAGTTAATCATCGTGTTAATATCAAAAATCGTTAGTACGTAAATCGTAAATCATCGTGTTAATACCATCTTAGAAATGGAGCTTTCTAAAGAGCATTTTTAACAAATTATTGTTGATGATAATCAGCGGTGACAGTTTCATTCGGATTTCGAACGAAGTTCATAATACACAACATCTTTCTGATACCACCAAATACACAGCAGTATCCTTGAACCGTGAATATTGCGCTCCTCAAAGTGAACGTTGTTGGTTGACCTGGATCAACCCATATTCACTGTTTATAAGTATCATAAATATTGTATCAAAGGTAATTGGTGAGATCAAAAAGGTATTGTGTATTACGAGCTGTTAAATCCGAATAAAACTGTCATCGTTGATCGTTATCAACGACAATTATACAAATTGAAGCGAGCATTGGACCAAAACAATCACCAATTGTGAGTAAACGATGCAAAGTGATTCTTCTTCACGATAATGCTCAACCTCATGTTGCATTATCAGTGAAGCAAACGCTATTAGAATTGGAATGGCAAGTCTTGCTGCGTATTCTCCAGACATTGCTTTATCTGGTTATCACTTGTTTCGGTCGATGCAACATGCTCTAAAGCAGGGGTTCCCAACCGCGGGTGCGAAAAAGCATTCTTGGGGATGCGAAGGAAAAGTAATTGTAATTAATAATGATTAAGATGAATTCTGGAATAATCCGGCACTTTTACTATCAAATAAAAAAAAATGTTGTTAAAATTATATATTTTTTACATATCTGCACGTAGACATTCATTACGTATCACTATGTGAAGCTTAATACTAGGTAGATAGATAAGGTAGGTAGATAATTTTATAATATTATAATATAATAAATATAATATAATAATATAAATTATAATATTATAATATAATAAATAAATATAATATTATAAATAATTTTATAATATTAAAATGATAGTTAATTTCTATAAAACAATACTATGTAATAATAAATTATTATAAATTAACTGCTTACCTTAAAACTCTAACAACTAATTTTTACCATAAAACATACGAATAATTTTTTTTTATAGGAGATGCGAAGGTTCATTAATAAATTTTTAGAGGTGCGAAAGACAAAAAATGTTGCAAAACTCCGCTCTAGAGCATGTTGCATTGACCGGAACAAGTGATAATCGGATGAAGCAGGTATCGGATACACACTTTCATAACTTGGAACAGGTGCAAAAATTTGTTGAAAATTGGATAAATTCCAAAGAAGAATTTTTTTATCGTCACAGAATCCATCTCTTGCCAGAGAGATAGGAAAAAGCTAGAAAACGAAGGAAAATATTTTGATTAAGGTATCCGTTCGTTATCTTGTTTAAGTAAATCAGTTTTTAAGAAAGAAACCCTCAAAACTAAATGACACTCGTAATATATGTGAAGAAAAATGGAATCTCAGTTACCACGACCGAAATGGTTTATTTGAATTGAAATTGAATGCCGCTGCCGATGAGATGCGATTTTCAACTCGGCCGCGTAAATTTCCCTCTCCATTTATGTACACAGTGACGCTTTGTTTGTCCGTGTAAAGAACGGAACTTGTATTCTTGACAACATTAATGTTCGGTTCATGACCGAATATATTTCTGGGACAACCCCCTACCGGAATTTCTCTTGCTTTGCGAACGTTTCAGTTGATTCCTGAGGAAGGTTTCGGTTGCCGTAACTGAAATTCAGTTGTATCAACTGAATAGTTTTCTGCGTGTATGAAAGTAACAGCACCGTCAAGCCCTTAGAGTCCACAAAGTACGTTTCCGACAGATTTTCCCGGGACGTTCATCCCCCCCTAATTGTATCTCTTACATGTATGTACGTGGACACTGGCAACACTATTTTCGTGTTCCTGATTATAGCGTCGATGATTTCGGCGGTGCAGAAACCCAGAGCCCAACAGCCCGGCCCTTTGTCGTCTTTCCGGCGATTAAGCTCGGCGTCGCTGTAAACGCAACGCAACGTTTTACTACTTCCCTAAATTCTCTCAAGAACGTTCCGCGCTCTCGGCCACTGACGTTTTATTTACAGCTTCGGCGATGTCGCGCCACTTCTCAGGGTCGTTCTCTTGGCCCATTCTCGGGTTTATGTCGCATATCCTCGTGCCGGCCACGTTAACGCTTGACCATATGGGAACTGTGTGTGTGTGTAAAAGACATAGATGTTAAGGGCGAAGGGCAGTCGCCGTGGATTGTTAGGCGAGGTCATTTGCAGCACAGCGAAAATGCACACGATGCTTAAGCGCGCGATCGGTATTTGTCGGTCGCACGACGATAAAAGCTCTCCGGGCATATTTATGACATTCGGGAATGACGATGACGCGAATGGAAAATAGACTCGGGAGGCAAGAAGGACACTTATACCCATATTCATAGTCCTTCCTTATCTTAAAAATGGAGGAAACCTCGATGAAGGATTCTTTGAATCCCTAAGGTCACCTTATTTCATAAATGGATCTCGAGTCTTCCTTTCAGAAGGAAGGAAGGAAGGAAGGAAGGCTGCGTTCCGATATTCACTGTCAGTACTGAAATTCTATAATATATGTGACACGAGATATAGATTTTTAGTACTAGCAGTGGATATCGGAACGCAGCTATAACCTAGCATCAGTTTAGCAGTGCATATTGCAATATGGATAAAGCTAATAAAAGCGTACGTTATACGGAGCAAGAGCGAATGCTCTTGACGCAACTTATCGCTGAGAAGATTACCGAAAAGAAAAATCCTTTGTCAGAATCACTTAAAAATTCGCTGTCCATTGTTCTCTTTTTCCTTTATATATTTTCAGTTTGAAAGCGCGACATCACAAGTAAATTGCAATGGGACAAAGTAAGTGTTGTAGGTTATGTTTAATTTATTCTGCGTATCGTGCTAAAAACTTATTGCACTTTTGTGCATTAGTTCAGAAATGCAACGAAAAGGAACAGATGTAAGGTAACATTTCCTTCTCAAGGAAGCTCGTGACTTCCTTTGAGATAAGGGAGCCAGTAAGGCTCTTTGTTTGGTCGAGGAAGGTTTATAAAATGTAAAATGAGGAATGAGGAATCCTTATTTCTCAAGGAAGGACTATGAATACGGGTATTAGGTGTTCGCTGATTGGAATTAGCAGACGAGCTCTCACGTACCGGACGTGTCACCCTGCGCACCGATGTTCACGCAGCTAATTGACTTGCGCGCGACTCCCAACTTCTGGCTCACTAGATCCTGCAACCTGCAGCTGTCGAGCAAAGTCCCCGTGCCGAGTACCCGGTGCGACGGAAACTTGGACAACTTCCAAGTGACGTACGACATCACGTCGATCGGCTGACTTACAACCAGTAACACCGCTTTACCCGCCAACTTGGCGATCAGGGGGATGATCCTCTTAAACACGTCGACGTTGTTCTTCACGTCCAGCTTCTCCCCCGGCTTTTTCTCGCAAGCCGCGATTACCACCACCGACGAGTCTCTTATCTTGTAGATGTCTGAAACACAATAGACCGTCTTCGATGTTGGATCTCTCAGCGCGCATTTTCATCTCTCACCATCCCCCCTTTTCTCCCCATGCGGAAAGGGTAAATTATAACGGGAAATGAACTCCGTTAAGAATCGGATCTTCCGAGGAATCTCTCTCTCTCTCTCTCTCTCTCTCGTTTTTTGGAACTGCGCATCATCAGCTACTCGGAAGCGTGTGGAATACAAAACGACGAGATGGGACAAGAAGTTTTCTCCCCTTTCGAGGGAGGGAAGGAGAGCGAGATTCCGCATCGGCGGAGATGCGCCGATAAAGACGACGAGGAAGACAATTCAGAGCGGCTGGAAAAATAAAAAGTCCGAGGCAACACCTTCTCACCAAGTGCTTGTAGTAACACACAGCGGTACCGCGCGCGCGGCCATACGAAAGATACATTTACGACGGTGAGATGTTGTTACAGATAACTCTCGGCAAGCCCGTAAAAAAGTCGTCCCACTTGTTCCGGTAATTGCTACCTCGCACGAGACAAGATCGGGAAGAGCCGATTCCGCTATCCTACTTGTACCGAATAGCGGCCAGGTCGACTTTTGCTGCCTTGCTCGCAGCGTGCCGGAAAATTCACGACGAGGTCGACAAATCGAGGCTTTTCCGGGCTGAGAAATTCGCTCGACGGAACTCGACGCGAACGTGGAATCTCCTTATTCTGAGTTCGTCGCCGCTGCCTCGCGAAAGAATTCCCACGAAGGGGGTCACCGTGCTTTTCTAGGTGACAAACTCGCCCAATCGTCGGACGGGGCACTATGGGACGTTTACACCCTTTTTCTGGCCAAAATTGGTAAAATTCAAAGTGACTGTCCGTAACATCTAAACATTCTAAAAGTTTCGACAAATCGTCATAAAACATAAGAAAAAATTTGAGTCAATTTGTTCCACGATAAGCATGTTTTTTCTTACGTTTTGTATTCAGAAGTGCGCGCACAGAACTGTACACTAAAGTTGCGAAACGCTCATTTCTTTGAAATTTGTTATCTCTTTAACTATTAAAACCTTACGCATCACTGTTTTAAATACAATATTTTTTTAGCACAAACTAGTGCTTCAAAATAATAATAATAAATTAAACTTTGAATATTATGGATGAGAAAATCTTCTATATGAAGTAGAAGGAAATAAAGATTTAACCAGTTTCTAATATTTGAAGGACCAGAACTTCCGGATAACAACCGATAACAAACCAAATTTTGGCTCATATTTTAGATGGAACCTTAATCTTCGAACCAAAATCGTTTAGGAAATTTGCAGCTAGGCGCAACTTTGTGAAATATAATTTTCACAAGCAAAGATCATTTTAACCAGGTCACTGGTGAGCCGAAATCAACGTTTTGTGCCAAAAGTGGTAAGAGCGACTAATATCGTATTTTATATGTAAGCTTATCTATAAAAGGTTTTTTGAGTCGCTGATTACGAATCTGGAGTCGAAATTTTAAAATTCAAAATGGCGGATTCAATATGTGATTTCAAATGGCTAACTTTTATATGATATTATGGATATGTATCAAACTCGGTATACGTATGTTTTTTCGATCACAGATGACAAATAGAGTCGAAATTAAAAAATTAAAAGCATATAAAAAAATTAATAAAAACAGAAACAAAAAATTAAAAGTATATAAAAACAAAAAATAATATAAAAACAAAAAATAAAAAAAAATTAAAAGTAAGGAAAACAAAAAATAGAAAAATGGAGTGTAAAATCCTACTGTAGCCTTCACGTGGCGCACTCTGGGGTCGTGATATTTCACCAGCTAATATGGAGGTAAAAGTATATATAATGAAATATTATTAGTCACCAGAAGCAAAAATTTTGATCTGTCATTTTGGATTCGCCATTTTGAATTGCAGGTTCTTGATATCAAATTCAAAATCAACGACTATAAAAATTCCTTGCATCTCATTTCCACAAAAAACAAATAATTTTTACTATTTTCGACCGCCATATTGGATGTGCCATTTTGAATTTTAAGTTTTTAATATCAGATTCAGAATCAGCGACCCCAAATACCCCTGTGTATACAAATTTACCTCATAAAAATTAATCTTTATAATTTTGGCCAGAAAAAGGATACAAACGTCCCATAGCGGCGGGGTAAGCGCCGAGGACGGAAATAGAAAACCGCAGCGTGGAGAGTCGATCGTGGCCGCGATAAATAGGAGTGCACGAAATTTACGAGCGTGCCCGTGAAAAACTCCGGGGAAACGTTCTCGGCCCGATTGCAAGCGCAGGCCGTTGTAGATGAGGATCGAGATTAAAGAACGACTCCGAGGAGAATCCCGAGCCTCGAAACTCGCCGCGTTAACCCAAAACCCATTCCCCCCCCCGCCCCCTCTGGGCCGTGTTGTGCGCTGGGGAGCATAGTTTCTGATCCGCTGCACCGTTGACAGCGGCCTCTTGACAGCAGGTAACCCGACGGCTCGTCGCTTCGAATGGGCGTCGATCGAAGCCGGGCGACGATCACGACGCGCGATTGACGCGCGGTTGACGCTCGCCGAGGCTCATCAGTCCGAACGTATCAATCTGAAATTTGTGGAATTCGTGCCGGCCCGTGAACCAGACTGCCTCTCGTTCTCAACGCTCGGAAGGTTCGCCTCGTTGACGGCCGCTCACGAGGCGCTCTGATGCCGCGTAGGCTGTGAAACGGAGCGTGACGACGGGATCATTCGGAGTGTGAATCACTGCGACTACTTCACCATCGGCTATACTTTGATACGCGATGGACGGAGCTCTTGGAGAGTCACATGTGAGTTAGAGGTACGAGGGGAAAATATACAGAGTATATAAAAAGTACCGGGACGGCGAAATATATTTAAGCATTTTAGAAAAAAATGTTCCAGACGAAAGTTATATGGTTTCAAGGGGGACATAAAGCAATTATATCATTTTGTTCACAAATGTTTACAAATGTTGTTTACAAATATTTTTTTAAGCGAAAATCCCAATTTCCTATTATATCATCTTTTCCTACCGATTAATTTTATCAACTTTTGTCTGAAACATTTTTTTATTTGTCTACTACTTTTTATAATAAAATATTGTTGTTACAATAGAGCCCTAACTTTTGTTAATCTATCGACCATTGGAAATTTCCTAATCATCAAATTAATAAAAGTCAGGGCGCTATTGTAACATTATTATATTCTTGAGACTAAAGAGAGTAAAAAAGTATATCATTTTCTCTTTCGACAAATAATTAGCGAGATATCGTGAGTTAAATATTAAAAAAGATATCAAGTTTTCCTTAAATATCTCAAAAATATTAGACAAATAAAAAATGTTTCGAACAAAAATTGTTAAAATTAATTGGTAGAAAAAGATGATATAATAAAAAATTTGGATTTCCATTTAAGAAAAGTAATGATCGGTGAATATCTCGAAAGTGGCATCCTCTGTAAACAAAATGATATAGTTGTTTTATATCCTCTTTAAAACCATACAACTTTTGTCTGAAACATTTTTTTCTAAAATGCTCAGTTTTTGAAATATTTCGCCGTCCCAGTACTTCTTACACGGCCTGTATATTAGGCGTACATATTAATTCGGTGCTTTTACATTTAATATCTTGTAATTTTGGTTCAAATTAAAAATTTTTTCTCCTTCCATGATGATTTGAAAGTGCCAACTTTAAACTTTAAGGAACACTATTGCTACTTGACTCTTTGTAAATAAACTTCAAATTTCATGAAAAAAAAATACCAAATGTGCAATCAATGCAATATTACGTGTTTTGATTAATGTTAAGAGTTGACGATGAATGGATTGCTTCTAAAGAAAATTCTTTTTTCTACTGTGGACTTCACTTATTGCTAGAAAAATGAGAAGATATTGTAGCAAGCGGTGAAAAATATTTTGATTGAAATAATCTAAATAATTAACCGTCGCATAATGCAGCGGCTTCAACGGTTAACCCTTTGAGGCATAGTAGTAAGTATACTTATCACCTATTTATTCTCACATTTTCATGAAATATTTCATATTTGAGGGATTCTTGTCGGGTTTTTTGCGTTTTTTAGCTTCTTATATGATATGGGAACATACATGAAAAGTTGAAAAATGTTTTGCATAAGTTGTCCATTTATTATAAATAAACAAAGTGCGAAAAATACATTTTTACAGAAAAAAATCATTTTCCACGAAATTACGAATATGAGAGAATTTTTTGCTCAAAATCAAGATTTGGGGGTTTCTTGAATCGCTGATGACGAATCTGAGGTCAAAATTCCAAAATTAATTTTCCAAGATGGGGGATTCCAAATGGCGGATCATAGAATGTACATAAAATTAGCTAAAATTGTACTCTAGTTAGTTTTTGAGCTCGCTGATTACGAATCTGAGGTCCAAATTTTTAAATTTATTTTCCAAGATGGCGGATCATAAAATTTTTATATGATTAGTTGAAATTGTACTTTGGTTAGCTTTCAAAGTCGCTGATTACGAATCACCGATGTCACCAAAATTATCGCGATTTTTCATATTTGTGGCCGCTATCTTGAATCTGCCATCTTAAATTTTGAAAATCCGATAATGGATTTGTAATCAGCGGCTCCAAAAATCCCACAATACCCATTGTCACCGAAATTATCGTGATTTTTCATTTTTGCGTCCGCCATCTTAGATCGGCCATCTTGAATTTCGAAAATCTGATAACGGATTCGTCATCAGCGACCCCAGAAACCCTCGTATATAAATTTTCATATGATTCGGATTTTCTGAAAAATACGTGCCTCAAAGGATTAACGGTTCGTACTCGAAGACCCGCGTAATTTCTCGTTCTTCTCGTAGCGCGCGTTCGCGCTGCGAGCCTCGAGACTAATTGAAACGCGACGCAACATACCTGACGTGCCAGTCACAAGCGGGCATCCCAGAAACATGGAGGCGTGCTGAATGTCTTCGGCTTCGGCGGCAGCCTTGTCCAAGTTCTGATCGATCAGACAGACCTCGCTCGCAATTCGCTGAAAAGCACGCGAGACAAGATCATCGCTCAAACGCCGGTGGCTTCCGCATCTCGCTGCGCGGATATACTGACTCTCATGAGGAGCGCGATGGCGCAAGCCATGCCGACCTTCCTGGTACCCACGATCGAGACCTTGGTGTCGTGTGGTTGAACGTCACACGGGCCTAAATGCCTCGTTATCAAAGCGTTCGGCGTGGTAGTCGTCGTGATCGGGCTCTTGTCGACCTGTCGATTACCCCGCGTCAGACACAACGCAAACGCGGAGCATTCTTCCAAACAGCGCTGAATTTCTGCGCTCGAGCAAGCTGACGAAAGAAAAAAAAATGCCTCCTTTTTCCTCAACTCACGTCTTCGCCTTCATTTTCATCCTGAGTCGCCTTGCCGACGACCTCCCCTACAACGTCCTCCCTTCTGGGCACGTCAGAGCCTTCGTCAGCCATACTGCGGTCGTTACTGTTACCTCGCCGAACAGCTGCGCGATAGCCGTATGTTTAATGGAAGCGCGCTCGCGCCGGTCTATTTGCATTTTTTAGTCGTACACACGCGCGTCCCCTCCCTCCCCCCCCCGTCATGCTCGCACCTTGCCCCTCTGGGACGTATTAATGCCCTCGATACGTATCAGCCGCGGTGTTTCGTCACCCTCATTACCTGAATCGCGTGACTTCCCTCGGCCACGTTATTGACCACGCGGCCGCTCGTCAAGGTGGTCGCTACTTCTCAGGAAGGGGCTTAAATGAGCGGCGTGTGCGAGCGGTCGTTGCTTACGCTTATGCAGATCCGGATCGACCTACGCAGAAACGAGTCATCGGTTTTTCAGGTGAATCAGGTACCTCCGTTATGAGGAAGAGGGAACGTCCGGCGAGCGGGTCGGGCAGGGGGCGAAAGCGAGAGAGAGAGAGAGAGAGAGAGAGAGAGGAAGGAGAGGCAACTCTACCACGAGAAACTCTAGCTGGAAGAATAACGGCGGAACTTATCCGCACGGCTCGCTGTAAATTAGCCGCAGGTAGTCGTCGTAGAGAAACGCAGGCTACCTCCCCCGCCCCTCCCTCTCCCTCCGTCCCTCCCCCGCGACGTTGTGTTGTACGTCGGTAAACAGTCGCGGGTGTACCTACGTAAAACGCGGATCTGTCGGTCGGTCATGGCGGATGAATACGACTTTAACGACAGTTCCGAAATGAAATAATTAAGCCGCCGAGTCGAGCGCTAAATCATCCCTCCTCTTTAACCTCTTAACGGCCGGTGCGCGCGACTCGCGCAGGGAGAGACTCGTCTATCGATAGCTGTGGTGAATTTTTCCCCGAAGAGATCTCGCGTCTCAGCGACGAGCGACGGGGATAAATCTTTGATGGTTTACGACGCGGAAGCCATTAGCCGCGGTATGTTTTCAGCGTCTTCCCGTTCAATGCTGCGCGCGAGCGCGCTAATTAATAATCGCATTTATCTCCATATCTGCGCTCGTTAGCCTCGCTGATCGCAGCGCGACGGAAAGTTACGCGAAGCGGCCGACCTGCAATTTGACTCGCGAGAGCACTCGCGGCGGAGAATATTGCAGCGTGTACTTTCGGGGCGGATTATCAACGTCAAGCTGCTATATCATCTCGGAGTGTCTCGGGAGTCTCTAAAGACACTCCGGGAGAGCCGCGTGGCGAAACACGCGACGCCATATATAATTCGCCCGGCGCGGGGTGCGCGTTGAAAGTAACTCCTCGCGTCCGCGCGCGCGCGATATAATGCCCGAGCGACAATCTTGAGCATCTGAAAAAAGGGAGCAGCTGAAAGAGCAAAACTTTTCCATTTACTTTGCCGGCCGGCCGATAAATCACGAGGAGCAGCGCGGCCGGCGCGCTGCATTTAGAAGTAACGTAGCGAGGCGTTCCCCCGGTAGTTCGGGGGCAGCCGGCGAGGTTTTTTAGCACACATTCGAAGATGGACTGCCTCTCTCTCTCTCTTTCTCTCTCTCTCTCTCTCTCTTTCTCTCTCTCTCTCTCTATCTCGAGGAGTTCCGTTCCCCGCGATCCGCACACACGCGCGCGCAGCTCGGGCCTCTTGATCAGCGACGAGCTGGTCCTCCGCTCTCACACGGACGCATTCAATTTTAGCGTTAATAATCGCCAGGAAAAATGACGACCTTAAACGCGGCCATTCATCAGGGCCGATCGATATTGCGAATGCGCCTTAACGACGGAGAGATACCATCGACGCCGTCCGACGCTGCAGAGTTATTGAATCGCGTCAAATAATATACGAGCCAATAATGTATGAATAGTCCTGCAATTATGGCCCGCCGATCGTATCTAGAGGCGCGTTGTAATTTAGTAATCGTTCATTCTCGCTGCGCCCTCCCGGAGGACGGGAGGGCTCTCCTCGTTGGGCACCGTTGAATATCGATCGGCCGCGGTGTCGCGGATTTTTCACCGACGCCCGAAACTTTCGGCGAGATTCGCGCTGCAACGAGTCGCGCGCTGCCGTGAGTCGCGCTCGCTCCCTCCCTCCCCCTCTTGCCGGGCTGCGCCATAGGTTGCATCGGGATTGTAATAGGATAATAAGTTTTGCATCTTTTTTTCATGACCCCGTGACGCTCGAGGCCATTCATAATACCAGTTAAAATCGGTATCTACCAATTAAACGATTTCCTAATAACATCCACACACACACACACACACACACACACACACACACACACACACACACACACACACACACACGCACACACACACACACACACATACACACACACACGCCGGAACGAGAGGCTGAGGAAGTAATTTCGTGCCTGACATTTATAGCCGGAGCGCCGTGTAACGGCGTGTAAGGTGCGAACGAAGCGCCCCGCTTCCAGATAATTAATTCTCTGCCTTAATTAATCACCCCGCGAATTTTATCGGGCATCGAGGTCGCGGGACAATACGCGCGATCGATATAGCATCGCGTTGCACGCGCGAGCGAGTCCTCGACCCGATCAACGTCGATATCTCGGCGATCTTCGCGATCCTTGGCTCGTGCGTTCGGGATCGCTATTGTACCCGCCCGATGCCCAAACGCTGAGCGTACTGAAGCAGCAGAGAAAGAGTGGGAGGGAGGGAGAAAGGCCCTCGCGCAGGAGGACACGAATCGAGCGCGATAAAGGCGTGATTCGACGATAACGATGTCTCGTGGGGCAAGATTTAGTCGAGTGGATGGTGCAAACGAGCCTCCGTTTACCGCGAGGATAGTCCTCGAAGGTTGCTCGTAAGCAACCGATCTTCTGGTACCCAGACCCAGTCAACCGATCCCGACACTGGCTCGCGCATGCCTTCGGTGCACAATGGTTGGTGGTACTGCAGCTGATACAAGTATGTTCGCTGTGCAACCGGAATTTTAATTGGCTATTTGTTTGTCCGCTACACTTCGTGGAGCTGCTATTGTCCGCCCTGCCGCGGGAGAACGACCATCACCTTTCTTCTCTCTCTTTCTCTCTCTCTCTCCCCCTCCCCCTCCACCCCTCTCTCTCTCTCGCTCGCTCGCCCGCTCTCTCTCTCTCTCTCTCTCTCTCTCTCTCTCTCTTTCTCTCTCCTCGCCTCATCCCTTCCTCCTCCCCACCTCTTTCTCCTCCTTTGCTCCCGTTCCGCTTTTCTCATCGGCACGCTATTAATCTGCTTTTGAGAAAGGAAGCGCTCTTTCGACGGGGTCGCCCCTTCAATATGCTAGGATTGTTACATTTAATCCCTGAAATTAGGAATCTTTTCTCGGGCCAACAAGCCGGTGTGAGGAAAGAGCTGGAAATTAATTGAATTTTTAAGGTCAACACTCGCGCGCGCGCACGATTATTCGTCACGTTAAGTTGTCCACGGAACAATATTATAAGGGGTACATGTTCCCCGAGACCGTCCAGCTTTTTATTCTCGCTCCTCCCGGCGCGTCACTCTCTCTTTCTCTCTGTCGCGATATCAGTAATTATTTCCCCGACTTGTTCTCGCCGGTTATTCTCGTCCCGAGAACGAGTATCTCCCGGACGGAATTTAATTTAGCGTGCGAGTCTCGACTTTTCTCGGTAATGCGCTCTAATAAATTAGGAAGTTACAAGCTTGCCGCTCGGTTTAATCAACGGCGCAAGAACCGACACGGTTCAGTCGTCGCGTGGATTGCCCGAAGCGGAGCGGAGGAACGTCACTCGCCATCAGGACCGGGCCCGACGCTTTTTGCACTGTGTCCGTGATACTTATTCCAATTAAAAGCTTACCTCTATTTTAGGCCAGGTCGCTCCGACGGCACCTCGCCGGCGAGACGAGGCTCAGAAAGGGCACATGCCGTGACCGTCAGAGAAGAAGACGCCGTCGACGCCGTGAATCGGAGATTATGAACGCGGGATCGGTAGCTCTCCGACGAACATTATCGCTTCCTCCCACCCCCCACCCCTCGCACGCGTTGTACTGCTTTATAGCTCGCTGTTCGCGGGGAATGAACGTGTCGAATGACCGTCATTGCGCTCATAAGATTTTTCCTCGATGTGAAAAATACAGCAGCAGCCAGCTTTAGTTTGAGGATTTCTCGTTTTTCTCTGTTGAGAGGGAAAAAGCGGGTCTCTCTCTCATTCTATTAGAAGTATGATTTGGGTGTGAGGGTTTTTTTTCTCAACATTGATTTACTTAAACAAGATAATGAACGAGTACTTTAATCAGAATATTTTCCTTTGTTTTCTACAATTTTTTCCTATTTTTCTGGCAAGAGATGGATTCCGCAACGATAAAAAGATTCTTCTTTGGAGTTGATTCAATTTTCAACAAATTTTCGCACTTGTTCCAAGGTATGAAAGTGTGTATCCTCTTGAGCAGGGATTCCCACCGGGAGTGCAAAGAAACATTCTTGGGGGGGGGGGGGCGAGGAAAAGTGATTATATTTAATAATGATTAAGATGAATTCTGAAATAATTCGACATTTTTACCATCAAAATAAAAAAAAAACATTATTGAAATTATATATTTTTTATATATCTGTACGTATATATTCACTACGTATCGCTATGGGAAGCTTGATACCATGGATAATAATTTTATAATATTAAAATGATAATTAATTTCTAAAAAATTGAATATGTTTTTTAATTTTTAACTTCTTACCTTAAAATCCTAAAAACTAATTTTTATCACGAAACATTCGAATAATTTTTTTTTCTAGAAAGTGCGAAGGTTTATTAATAAATTTTTAGGTGTGCGAAATGCAGAAAAGATTGAAAAATCCTATTCTAGAGCATGTTGCATCGAACGGAACAAGTGATAACCAGATAGAGCAATGTCTGGAGAATACGCAGCAAGATTTGCAATTCCAGCTCTAATAGCTCTAATAGCATTTGCTTCACTGATAATGCAACATGAGGTCGAGCATTGTCGTGAAGAAGGATCACTTTGCATCGTTCACTCGCAATTGCTGATCGTTTTTGGTCCAATGTTCACTTCAATTTGTATAATTGTTGTCGACAACGATCAGCGGGGACAGTTTCATTCGGATTTAACAGTTCATAGTGCACAATATTTTCTTGATTCCACCAAATACCTTTGAACCGTGAATATTGCGCTCCGCTAAGTAGATGTTCCCGCTTGACTTGGATCAATCCATGATTCTTTTCGTGGGTTTATCGAAATTATCGAAATTATCGAAATAGATTCATCTCTCATCCCCAGTAACAATTCAATACAAAATGCTCTTCATTTTGTCAAGCATTTTGTCAACGATATGCAAATGTTCAATCAGTTCGCAATAGCATTTTCCGATAATTGATATGGAACCAATTTTCCTCCTTTGTGAATCTTT